GATATGAACGATGAGGGTAGACGCGGCGGCAAATACCACTGTTGATCGACGCCCTTTGCCAACATCCAGATAAAAACTCGGTTCAATTGGCAAAGTTCGTTGGGCTAAAATTTTGGAAATTTGATGAATCCGAAAGGTCTCAAGACTTTTTTAAACATTTCAGCATTTTTTAGAAAATTTTCTTATCTAATTCTGCTTTTAACAAATAAATAAAAATTTATCAATACTTCATTCATTGTGTCTTTTTAGACAAATACTGTACATCAAACATAAATTATAAAGTATCATTTTAAATTAAGAAATAGGACACAATAATTCATATAATAATCAATAATGAATTTATTTATTTATAATTACTAGATTTACCATGAGAAAAGCTCCAACGGATGGGATCTTTTAGATCTCGGAAGTTTTTACAAAATTCTTGCTAGTGGTGGTGCCTTTTTCTCCAGCAATGCCTTTTTTCTTGTGCAAATTGTTTTGAAAATTTGAATGCAAACAATGTTATGAAATAATTGGACAAATAAATAAAATAATAATAATAAATATTAATAAAAAAACAGTTTTGAAGGATGGAATTTTGGATAAGCTTTCAGATAATATATTTCTCTTCACAAAAGACGCAGCAAATTCAAAAAAATATTTAATTAAAAAAATAATATTATGTTATTAAAATAATTTAAACAACAATATGTAAAATAATATTAAATAAAATAAAAAAAAAAACATTATACCATAGTTATAAAAAAATAGCTTGATGTCTTTAGCCACAAGAATTGCTGCAGACAATTAATTTTGTTCTTGTCTTCTTCGGAGGTGAATTTGAGAAACTTTTCGTTTCCAAAGATGAAGCTTGCGGGGCCGGGGGCTTCGCTTTGAGGGATCAGGGGTCGAAGCCAAGGCAAAGGAATACCAAAAAGAGATCGATTTTAGTGGCGAGGTAGGCAGCAGGCAATAGCGTCGGAGGAGGAGGAGAGGCGCGGAGTGCGCCGCGGCGCGGCCGAGTAGGAGCGGCGGTGCCGCAACCATGTCAGGGCTCGCCGCTCAGTCTGCCGTCTGCCCAGTGCCGCAGAGGTGTTGTGTCGTGCTCGGTGTGTCTGTCATGCTCCCCGCCTCTTGTTGAGCGGCCTCCGGACCTTTTGGCGAGTGCGGTGCTGCCTCCACCCTCTGCAGCTTGCTCGGCCCTCTGGACTCGAAGTGCAACTTCTGCTCGTGCAGAAACACCTTTTCCGCTCGGTTCGTCTCGATTCGTTTCCTTTTACTATTTTTTTTTAATGCACCCCGGCTTATTATCTTCTGTGATTCACGTTCACAATCTCACATCTAATCTTCAATACCGACAAGCTGACTCAACGCACGCACCCACTGCATATGTAATCACAGTTGTTTTTCATGCATAATTTGACGTTCGTTTGAAATGTTGCACCAACATGTAATTGGCATGTATGGCGCACCGGATCTGCACAGATTTGGCTCGGCATGACGTTGTCCTCGTCTTGACATGGAGTGCTGCGAGAATCAATCGTGTTTGCTACTTAACTAGATTAGTCGGATGCACATAAGAGGAAAAAAACGAGCGATTTCCCTCTTTGTCTCGCAGGAGCTGATTTAAAAGCGCCGGCCGCAATATTTATTAAGGGCAGAGCTGAAACTTTCTCCGTTTTATTCCTCCGCTTTTTTCCGTTCAATTCGCGTGAGTACAATCGCGTCTCGCCTGCTAATTAAGTTATTGATTCAGCCATGATAAAATCAACGCTCCCATACTAATTTTCGTCGTGTATATATTCGCGCCCGCCAATAACACGTTTCTCCTTCACAATTGTCAAATCGATATGCAAAAAATTTGCACCTTTGATAGTCTTGACGTGGGTTAGGTGAGGAAAGAACACTTGGCAAAAAAATTGACACTGCTGATTTTTATCACATTCATTTTAAGTGCCTTTGTTCAATCAAAATTTTAACATATTCTGAAGCGGCTAAATCTAAGTCACCAGTTGCGTAATTCAATAACATTGGTTCTAATGTGACAGTCCTAATTTAGAATGATTGTATCCCTTCAATCCTAGCATATTTGCTACTATAATGATGCAAAAAAATGGCGTTGGAAAAATCAAAATTCATTCAGCGTGGGGCTGTAGTGAGGCGATCAAAGATGTGTAAATTAGACAACCAAAGCCAATTTTTTTTATAAATTTTTTCTAAGGTCGCCTGACTGTACCAATTTTGATTTTTCTACCTCCAGTATTTTTAATGCTGCATCTAATATCACATATCTTTGGATTGAAAGATACAATCAATCTAAATTAGGGCTGTCAGAAGAACCAATGTTGAAGAATTACGCAACTGGTGAACCTTCACAATCTTTTCGCCTTTTCCATTTTAAATTTAAAACCCATTAACGCCCACACGTTTTGACATTAGTCGGTGAATGACAGATATTTGCAGCAAAGACAGGTGCGACGCAGCATGGCGCCCAGCCTGCCATTCATTGTATCAATGAAAATTGACTCCTGCTGCATCTGCAGGCATCGCAGTGCAAAACCATTACAGTTGATTGATTGCCACCTGCGAATTCGCCAGCAGGAGTGCTTCAATATAAATAAATTTATGCACGACCTCTCCCAACACGCGGGCGGCCTTCTCAGAATCAATTTCTGCCTTCCACATACGTCATTAGCCGAGAAAATCAATCAAAATCAGTTTGTTGTCCAAACATCATTTCTCTCTTTAGCAAAGTGTGGATTAAAAACGTGAGGAATTAAGATCACATGGCTTTTTGGCCTGTTAATTGAAATTTCGTGTGCCGCCTGAAGGCGCGAGCTTTCCATTTTAAGCAGGCGTTTTGTCCCGGCGGCCGGCACGTGAACGAGTTCTTCAAGTGCCCAAAGCACCGCGCCACTATAGATATTGTATCCCTTAAACCTAAACCCCCTTTGTGCAGTCTACTCTGATTAGAGGGCTCTAGAGTTTTTCATTTCGCGCCTCCTACTCATCTTCTTATTGTAAACACACTGAGAATACAACCTCCGACGCAGCTTATTGATTCCGTCAAATTCTGATCAGCATCAGATCAAAATAGGTTAACATGGACCCAGTTAAAAAGAAAAATGTTTGTTTATCAAGCATTTGATAATCGGTATGATTAAGGAGAGGCTTTTTCTAAGAGCAAAACCGGCCCGATTAACTTGGATTATAATTTTTCTTTACATTTGGAATCGGTTAGAAATGTTGTTAGAAAAATTTAAATAATTGGGAGAACTGAATGTTTAAAATTAATCATTTATTTTAAAAAAAAAATTTGATAAAAATTTCGCCAAATCACATTAATATCACCTAAATTAAGATGGAAAAATAAATTCAATAGATCAGTTGACGTGCAAAATTTGCATTGATCTTATTGGAAAAGCTTCAGAGGATTTAATTTCAGCTTATCAGAAACTCCTCGTTAATTCAATTGGAAGAATGCAAAGATTTTAGAACTTCCTTCAGTTGAATTGTTGTAATCTAAAGCAAGAAAAGAATTCGTGCAAAAAAATGTGTGATTACTTTAATCTGGCGTGAGTCACCTTTCATTCTCGCGCAGAAACTCATACCAGTCATAAATTGTTCGGCGTTATCTAGGTTAAATCAGTGCTCATGTGGCGATTATTCAGAGGCGCCTTTTCAAATTCCCTTCGCTGATAAAAAGTGATTATTTCGCACATTACTAAAAGATAGCCACGGGATGCCATGCATTGTGCCGTGAAAAACCCACACGTCATTATGTGCGCTCCAATAGGAAGGACTGTCATTAAAAAGTCCAAATAGATACACACACGCTGTTAATCGAGAGCGAACTCTTGATAGTTTGAACACGTACGGAGTGGTCATTGGCAGCAGTTTTTTTTTACCCGCGGCAAGTTTAGGTCAAGCCGTAAAAAACTGGCGGCATAATCAAGCCAGTGCATCCCGCAGAACCAGTATGCCCTAAACGCGATGGCCGGCAGCGTTATCAAATAAATAACTGTAGATCGGGCTGTGAGACAATTGCACGTTTAAAGAAAATCGGAGGTTGGAACAAAAAGTTTGATCGGAACGAGACCGCATGCGGCTTTCTTCGGAGACAAAGTACAGAAGCGATTGAAAAACGGATCAATCGAAGTTTTTCCTTTTGCGGTTTGGCGAAAATGCAGTCTCTGGTCCAATCTCGTTCTGAAATTAGTTTCGCGCACGGGGGCCTCGCCGCAGTCGTAAACATACACACAGGCCGCGCAAATCCAGAAAGCAGAGAGACACGCCGCGCTGCTGCAGAGAAAAGTCTTCTTCTTTGCGGAGACGAAGATTTATCGCCTTTTTCCCTTACTCACCTTTCATGTTTCCCACCTCGGCAAAACGTTTTCGTGTCGGAGCGAAAAAGTAAGGGAAAATATTTATGGCCGCATTTACGCCGATTGATGGCGCCGGTCTCTGCCGGTGTGGGATTTTTCGCACTATCAAACGCCCATCTGCAGCCTATTTATTCTACTGCAGTCCACAACAGATAGGAAATTGAAAAAAGACAAGATTTATGAATTTTATAAATTCAGAATCAAGTTTTCACAACAGAGAAAATGACATGAAGATGCAAGTTTTATTTAATTTTAAGTTTTGAAAGGAACATTTTTTTTAAATTTAGATGACTAAACTGATAGTTTAGTTTATTTTTTTACTCTTCAAATTTAAATTGAGAAAAGAAATGAATGATTGACGTGTAAAGTGAAACCACATTTTTCACGAATTTAAAAAGAAAAATATTTCAAAAAGAAAGTCATTTTGTTTCATAAATTGGCATTAATACAAGTTGACTTTAAACGCAGGTTTGTTGATAAACTTTTCCCCTATTTATATGAAATGCAAATATTTAGGTTTATTTTGCAAACGGAAACAGAAATAGATCAAAGGCATCAAAGCCAAACTAGATTTCATCTTTGGTTTTCTCAAAAGCTACAAAACCAATAACAAGACCATTTCGTTTGTTTCAGAAAGTGTAGTGTGGTGATCGTCTGGGCGTCGTTTGTGTGTTCGCAATGGGGTGTTTCGGCAGCAAAGAGAAACTCTCCAAAGAAGACATGGAGTTCCTCAAGACCCACACTCGCTACGACGAGGCCACAATCAAAGAATGGTACAAAGGCTTCAAGGTAAGAAAGCAATTCCTTCCCAACCCTTCCTCTGTCCGCTCGATAATTATTTTTTTTTTACCTTCGTCCACTCCCCGGAATTTGAAAAGCGAGCAATTCATGTATTCACCGCATAATGAACGAGGAGGGTTAACAATTTGCAAGCGGTTTGAGCGCGATCCAAAAAAAAATTATTCGCTTTTGGCACGGCGTTGCGATCCACAAGTTGTTTAGAGCGTCGGTTTCCATCAGTGTTGGGCGGAGGAAACGGTGAAAAATTAATGTTAACAGCCGCCAAGAGAAAGCATTAGATGAGCGGCGCAGGATTTCTCGCTTTCCGCTCACTTTCCTGTGCGCGCGGGGATGAAACGCCAAAATTCAAACTGAAACCGAGCTGTTTATTTGCTTCTCGCGGCGACGGTCCTTTCTTTCCTCACGCGATTTACGACTTCATTATATTCACCGCGACCTGAACATTTGTAGCGGCAAAATTGGTTTTATGTTGTATTTTTGAAAGGCGCGGATTCACTTGTCGCTTCTTGTACGGCTTCCTGTCGACACGGAGATTTGCCAATAAACATGCTTTTCGCTCGGTTTTCTCATTTTATGGGCCCTGAGCAACGGCTTTGCGTGCGCTTTTCAATTACATCGGCTTTTCGAATCAACAGTTCTTGCGATAAAAGTAGTTCGTCATCGTTCCCCAAGTGGTTTTTTTCTTAATCTTGTTCCCGTCAAAGTTACCTAAAAAGGCAATAGGGCCAATCTTCACGCAATAAAATTTTTATTCTTCAATATTTTCTCTTATTTCATAATAAATTCATAAAAATAGTTAATCACAAATTGCATTAATTTAAATTAATCTCAATTGTCATCAAAATAATTTTTTAATCTTGATATTTTTAAATTAATTTTGAATGTTTTAACCAAGCATGGCTCTTTTTTATCTTGAATGTTAAATTAAAGATACAAACTACTAATGGCAAGATGCTGACCAGACTGGTTTTGATAAAATCTTGCGCTTCTCAGAAGTCTCGGAACCATATTTTTCCTCCGAATCCCCATTTAATTTAAAAATTTTTAACCGCCGCAGGTGAGGCTCCGTAATCTGGGTTAAATAAAATGCAAGACGTGAAATTTGTTTTATTTCGCCTCGGAGGAAGCGTGGACGGTTGGGCAATTATGCAACCTGCGCACGCCCCTGCGTTGCTTTCCAAGCATTTGCAACGATCCGAGCCGGGCAAGCGCCGGAATTCGGACGTAATTGAATATAGGGTCCGAACATAAACGAGCGTTTTGCTCGCCCGGCCGGCCAAGCCAACAGACCCACAATAAAAATGAGATACGAGCCGAGCGGCGCATAATAAATAATTCTGGCTGTGGGCACGTGAGCCACTTTTGGCCAGCTTCGCCTCTCTAATAACCGATTTTGTTCTTTTGGCGTAATCCAGGTTAAATTTTGAGCGATTTACACACGTGAATATGCGGCTCGTTTCAATGCTAATCGCTCTCTCATGCCACAATGGCCTGTTGTTCCAGTGCGGTGGCCTTGGCTCGAAAATGTAACTTTGCTTTTCATCGAGATTGCGTTCGTTATCAACCAGCAGGTGTCAAATTTGTACCTAAAACGGCTTTTGAAGTTTTAAGCTTCTAAGTCTGTTTACTATTTTAATATTTTTACACTCAAACTAGTAGATTTTCGCAGTTTAAAATTAAAAATTCAACACTTGGAATTTCCAATTTTGAATTTTCTGTCGAATTATGAAATAAATCTTGGTCGTTAAAATTTTACAATTAGAAAAATATTATTTGGATTCTTTGAAGTTTTGTGGATAAAAATATTTTTCTGACATGGTCGAAAACATCCGCAGAGTAATTTCCAGAATTTACTTGTCCACAGCGTTGACTAGGCCCATCAACTATAGTTAACGACTGTAATTTATAGTGCGATTTTTAGTGCTCGACGCTGTAAAAACATTTCTAAAAAGGCCAAGTCACCGCCGCTCGTAATTAGCCTGCGAAATTGTGTTATTTTTATTGCTTCATTCTGGGCGAACGATTAAGCAATTATACGTCCAGCATTAAGACGTCTCTTCTTGTCTCTTTTAAACGATAACCGCGAGGCATAAAGTTCCAAACCTAATTCCAACAAGAGTCGTAGGAAGCCATTCTGACGCGGGAAGAGTGAAAACGAGAGATGGCTTGAACCGCACCTGAATAATAAAAAGGCAGATGAATTTTTAAAACCCTCCCCAGTGAAGTTCGGCAAATTAAACGCAAAACAATCCGTCAAGAGACTGTGCGAGCTTTAAAATTTCACGTTTTCTCTTCATTGTGTTCGGAACGAACAAAGCCCTTTTTATTTGCAAACCTCACTGCGAAATGCCCACGTGGGAATTTTTGAATAAAAAATCACGCTCACTCCGAAAGCGGCGTTTATCATTTTGTTTCCGTCTCATCTTTTTTTTTCAAAGAGTGTTTTTGACGATTTGACTGACGCACCGTTTGTTTTGTGTTGCAGCAAGACTGTCCAAACGGACAGCTGACGCCGGCCAAATTCGTGGATATGTACAAGATGTTCTTCCCAAGCGGAAACGCCGAGGAATTCTGCGACCACGTTTTCCGCACGTTCGACATGGACAAGAACGGCTACATCGACTTTAAGGTGAGAATCACTTTTTCTCTATGGAAAAATTTTCGCCGGGGAAAAAATTTGTCCTGGTTCATTCAGCGAGCGGAATGACGTCAATCCATCTTTATTGATTACCCCAAAAAATGGTCTGTTATTCATGTGGCTCTGGTGAAAAAAAAAGAAAGAAACAGCTGCAGCTGTTGCTCGGGGCCCGAAATCCAGTTTCCGAGCCAGATTGGATTAATTGATCTCCAGGCGCGCGTTTGGACAATTCGGTTCGCTCGTTGGCTTTGGAATTAACTGGGCCGCTCGCAACTATTCCTAATTGACCGATCAAAATTCGTAAGTCTTCCGTCGAGTTTCCTTTCTTTATTCCTGAAATTTATCAAACAACGCGGGCGAGGTGTCGAGTGCGGGAAATTAAAAGCTGGAAAGCGGATTTGGCGCAAAACAATTGGCGTGTGCGACGAGGAAAAGATGCGTTTGTTTTGGCTGGAGCTGTTTTGGAGCTGGAGCGGTGCCCAGGTGAAGCACTCAGAGCCACAGGTCGATACCACAGCACTGGTGCGCGCACCCCTGAAAAGCACCCTCAGCGCCGCCAGCCCCGCATCAACCACTTTCGGTTCCTTCGCACTATTCACAGCACTTTCTCGTTGCGCGCTGCTGCTCGGGTGGCGGCGGCGACAACCTCTGCTTACTCACACGTTTGCTCAGCAGGAACACACCCGATCGCAACGCAAACACTTGAACACGGCAAAATATTATTCTAATGGCAGCACCACCGATTCCTCCTTCGTCCTTTTGCCTCCTGAGATTAAAAAGAAAAAACTGCAACTTGTGCAGCTCCGCCGTTCATTCTTTTCCCTTTTACATCGGAGATGGAAAAAGAGCGCACAATAAAAGTCTGAAATGAAAAAGTGTGCACGTACGCAAGAGGTCACAAGGGGAGTTCTTGCCATTCAATGCAAGAGGCTATAAATGGAAACGCTTTCACGACCTGTTCTCATGCTCTGCGCCTGCATTTCCAACTTGAAAAAACTTTTTAATATTCCTCTATTTTTACTCATTATTATTAAATTCACTTGACGAAATAGTTAATTGAAGGGATGGAAATATTTCTGATTTCAATAATTCTTTTGCTAGTTAATGTGGATGAAGGATAAATAATTCACAGTCCTTTATGGAAAAAAATAGTATTTCATTTAATTAAAAATTACAGAGTTTTACTTTTCTCGTTTTAAATTATTCAGCAAATTTTCAAACACAAATACATTTCTGTAAAAAAACATCATTTTTCATTTTTATAAAATTTCTTGGTATCAAAAAAAGCCTTTCTCGTAATTGTTCCCACATGACCATTTTACTCTTAATCAAATTCAGAAAGCTGCACGCGATTGTTTTGTATTTTTTTACAGAACGCCCATCGCTGTGGGGTTGGATTCGACTGCAGTTTAGGGGACATGCAACCTGCCGCACAAGGCTGTCGTGCGGGTTGCATAAGAGGAAAAGTGGCAATGATCATTATTCGGCCGAACCCTAATGGGCCTTCAGCCTCCACGCGTAGTATGCTAATAAAAATTAACAGGCGTGTCATGGTCCAAATTTGTTCTTGCTTCGACACATTAATATGTATTTAACGAGTCAAGGGTATTGAGACAATGACGTTGTTAAGTGATAATGATAAAACCAATTGACGCACATCTGTGACTAAGCCAAGCAAATCAACCTTTGTTCTTCCAATTGAGCACTCAAGGCCCATTTAAATTTAATTTTTGTAAATTTTGATGTCGTCTGATCTATTGAATGTATTTTTCCTTCTTAATTGCGGCGATATGAACATGATTTGGTGAAATTTCTATCAATTTTGGTCAGTTTAATTTTAAGGAAGAAAAAAATTATTAAAGAAAATTCAGTTCTCTCAATGACCTTAATTTTCCATGCTATGTCTCCTTCGAACTGAAATCTACAAACCAAAGCTAATGGAAAGAAAATTTTAATCAAAATTAATCAGGCCACTTTTTTCAGAAGCCTTTCCTTGAATTATGATTTACATTTCTCTCTTAATCAAATTTTTCCGTTGATTGTTGCAGGAATTCTTATTAGCCATCGATGTAACCTCGTCTGGAACTCCTGAAGAAAAACTCAAGTGGGCATTCCGAATGTACGACGTGGACGGCAACGGCGTCATAGACATCCAGGAAATGACTAAAATAGTACAGGTCTGTAAAATAACTACTATTTTAAGGGGTTCAACACGGCTGTTTATCGTGATTTGTGTTGCAGGCGATATACGACATGTTGGGCGCATGTTCTTCCAATCGGCCGGCCGACTCTGCAGAGGACCGAGCCAAGAACATTTTTGCCAAGATGGACGAAAACAACGACGGACAACTAACGCAGGACGAGTTCCTCAAGGGTTGTCTGCAAGATGAGGAGCTTTCCAAAATGCTGGCGCCTTAAGTGGTGACCACGCGGACCTGTGTCAATTGTTGGCTAGCTCTTGGTGCCCACAAGTCGGCGACCTTCAGTCGCTGTATTTGAAAAAAAGTCGACTGCTGCCGGCTAATAATTCTCAAAACAGAAAAAACAAAACACACTAACACACATAAACACAGACAGACAAAACACACACACACACTCAGACATTTATAAGCTATAAGTATAGGAATAATATCTTAAGATAAAACCAGAAGGGCATGCATCAAAAAGAGCAACTCTGGCAAAGAGTTTCTAGTCAATCACAAGATGTAATTAAATTATGATTGCTCCTCTTTTTTCGTTGGTGGAAAAAAATGTTATGGTGGATTTTATCGAATTTCGGTGCTGCATTTTTTTTTTCATTGCAGACACAATTTGGTCGAGCTCATTTTCACCAAATAGAGAAGAAAAATACAAATTAAAAATAACTCTTGAGCGCACATTGTAATTTACATTATATTTGTCACAGTGTCATTTACGCATTTGAATATTAATGTAGAGATTATATCACACATGATTGGCGTGAGTCTAGGCAAGCAAATTTCTTACCACAACATTCTCACACACACACAATATATTATTACATTCTGTTGAATATGATACGTGAATGGTTGAGTTTTCGAGCGTTGCGGAAAGCTAGCCTAGACTTGTTTAAAGAAAAGAAAGAAAACACATTTTGATACTAAAAGTTAAGATTTTTTTGTGTAAACCCTCTAGCTTTTAACTTTTCACAAGTAAGATGTAAACTCAAGACCAAGGCGGTCTTACTAATTGACGACAGCAAATTATGGGATCTGGACCAATATAACGAATTAAGACCAGACAACGCATTCCACTATAAAAAGTCCATTATTGATTGTGTCTCAAATGATAATAAGCAAAACATTGTGTCCTGGTCATATATATATTTATCATTCTTATAGGCTACATGTTCCGATTGTGTGCTTGGATAAAACTCTCTTCCACCCTGGCACTGGGTTTCTTTCTAGCTTTCTGATCCTCAGCGAACAAAACATGACGTGTAAAGCTGACTGAAAATTCTTTCGGCCCAGGCTGCTTCTTCGGTGTTGCATTTACGAGTTGAAATTGCACGCGCACTTTTATATTTTTGTACTTCTCTGCAAATATTGTAAAAAGGGCAATTAGCGGATAATAAAAGAAAAAAGAAAACGAGTTTAAACATAAAAGAGTGATCAAGAATGGAAAGAAAAAAACAGTAGCAGAAAATTTGCACTCACGAAATAATAACAAGAAAAAAAGCTTGGTGTTTACAAATCTGTTGGCTCATTTGTGTGTATGTGTGTTCCTTTAATAGTCTCTATCAGGCTGCTATTTATTCCTCACATCTCTCGAAATGCGTTGTGGCATGTAATAGATAAATAATATTGATCTATATTAGCCCATAAATATGTCAATCTTGAAGTGCGATTGTGTGAGCGATTCTTTATCAAAGATCAAACGAAATTATATCAAATTGTTTTCTTTGTAAAAAGTCTTTTTTAAGTTTTTATATATTATATTTAGCACGCCAAAATTTTAGATTATAAACAGAAGTGAGAGATGATTTAAAGTGTTTAGATAAAAAAAATTGTAAGATATTGTTTGCCTATCAACTCGTCCAGTAGCTGCAAAGCCAAAAGATATATAGTGATTGTTATTCAATAACTCTCTTTACTATCATTTTGGATCTCTTTGTATGGCATATTTTCTGCCCCGAGTAAAAATTGTTGGCTGTCAAATGATATAAAATGTAACACCCTTTCTAATGACTCTGCTCTTGAATACAAAAAATAATCATGCTACCAGGAAAACGCAATATATTGTACTTATTATCATTGAACTCTTGCATAAAAAGTATTTCAGCCAGTTCCTTTCCAGAACTTGATCAAAATTTTGATCAAATTTGTTTGTAAATTGTCAAACTATAGCAATAGCTACACGCGGCTCCTTCTTTATTTATTTGCCTAGCGCACCTTGGAAACTATTTTTTTTCAAATAGCCTACAAAAAATTTAAAAAAAAAATTGATTCTTGGAAAATATCAAATCATGATGCATAGGCGGTGGAAAATTTAAAAATAAATGTTTGCGCATAAGTTAAGAAAAACCTGTGGTGTCAGTTTACTGAAGGCGAGGGAAAATAGGCGATTTTTTATCCACTTGTTTTTATATCTAACAAGAAATTAGAGAAATAGTTGTGTCGTTGGTTAAATATCAAAATCTCTCTGAGTACAGGAACTTGACTGACGAATCGACTATTTTCCCTACTTCCTTCTCAAAACCACCAATCAATAACTCAAAATTTACAAAGTGCTTTCCTTCCTTGTGGATAATTTGCGATACGCCAAGTTACAGCTGTACAGGGTATGGTCGTCTACCTCCCTCAAAATCTTGCATTTTACAATTTCACCTTCATCTCTGAGATGAAGAGAATGATGTTTGTGATTTTTGTGTTATATAATCATGATGAGATGTATAGTGAAAAGTATTTTTCTATTTCAATCAGAATACATACCCCTTCTTAAAAGATTAAAACACGCATATCAGACTATATAGAATGGGAATAAATGTGTGAGTATAAAATCATCCCGTCCCAAAACTCGTCGATAATTTTAAAATCCTTATTTAAAAATGTCTATTAAATGTTGAAATTTTTTCAGGTTTAGTAAGGACTGAGAGCACAGATCAAGAGAGTGGATAATGGGCAAGCAGAACAGCAAACTGAAACCTGAGGTGCTCGAAGACCTCAGGCAAAACACCGAGTTTTCTGATGCGGAGATCCAAGAGTGGTACAAAGGCTTCCTGAAGGACTGCCCCAGTGGTCACCTTAGTGTCGACGAGTTCAAGAAAATATATGGGAACTTCTTCCCCTATGGCGACGCCTCCAAGGTAAATCTCAAAATGAATTTTAAACAAACAAAAATTAAAACTTGAAAAATTCCAGTTTGCGGAACATGTCTTCCGGACATTCGACGCAAACGGCGACGGCACGATTGACTTCCGGGAATTCTTGTGCGCACTGTCAGTGACCTCGAGAGGGAAACTGGAACAGAAGCTCAAGTGGGCGTTTAGTATGTACGATCTTGACGGCAACGGCTACATTTCGAGACAAGAAATGCTTGAAATTGTCACTGTAAGTTCAGATTAAAAAAAAAATATTCACAGTAAATTTAAAATGAAACTTTTCAGGCCATTTACAAGATGGTGGGCTCTGTGATGAAAATGCCAGAGGACGAGTCGACGCCGGAGAAGCGGACGGACAAAATTTTCCGTCAAATGGACAAGAACCAAGACGGCAAGCTGTCTCTGGAGGAGTTCATCGAAGGCGCCAAGAGCGACCCCTCCATTGTGCGGCTGCTGCAGTGCGACCCGCAGGCCCAATGACTGTTCTAAAGCAGCAATTGCATCTAGCTCAATGTGGGAAGGGCTGCCCGAACCGTGGAGCGCACACGGTCTGGGTGGGTCCCCACAATGGGCTACTTGCGGTTGCTGCTTGGTGTCGAATAAGCAGGCCACGTTCTCATTGGTTCCATTTGTTGGTTAATTGAAAAAAAAGGCCACCCACCACCTCAGCCTGGCGTCAGTTCTCCCTTCTACGGCTGACACAAAGAAAGAAAAAACACCTCCTTGACCTTAGTCGCATAAGAAGTTTTCTCACAATCAGTGTTTTGTGTCTATATTGTTTGTACCGAAAAAAAATTAAATCGCGCTTTTCCCTTTTTATTTTTGTGTAGGTTAATTTAATCGTGAGCAAGTGTCCAGATCTGTTTGTGAATTAGATTTCCTTAATTTACAGAGTGTATATTTATCGACGCCAACATTCCCCTTCAATGTATGTGTACGAAAAAGTATCTCACCCTTTTGTCAGTTTTTAGAGGCGAGGACTGCTGGTTTAATAACAATTGTGTGTAACATTTCCGTTCGTTGTTTCTATTGCCCGAGTCCATCAACGAGACCATTTGTCTTTTCGATTTTTAGCTGAGGCTTCACTGTGAGGCGTCTCCTGCGCGCTTCAAGCCTTTACATGAAAAAAAAAACACTCATTATCGGCAAACTAAAAGTTGCAGTAATTCTTCGGTTTCGGACGATTTGCCCGGTTCAAAAATCGAGCCTTTTGTCCGATTCTGTGAGAACTTTGTTGACTATTTTCTGGCCAAGCAACCACAAATTCCCGACATTAAAATCAAGCTCACAAGAAAGACTAGTAGTACGTTGGTAGATTTTGTGATTTGGGCAGCTCGAGGTTGTCTGAAGTCTTTTTTGGTGTGTAACATCTCGAGATCGTTGTGGTTGCGTGAGGCACTCAAGTGAGGACTCAGCTGCGTTGACTTATCGACTGTGGCCATGCGATGTTGAAATACAATAAAATGTATTGATAATTTTGAGAGATACAAAAATCCCACTCCATAGCATAAAACTTACTGGAAAAGTTAACTGTAATTTAAAGAATCTAGTTGAAAATATGTGCATAAAAACACTAATAATTTTTAAACTTTAAGGATATTGCGTATAAAAATAAACGGTTTTGCTCATTCTCCATACTGACGGCGCTCCCCTTTGGGACGAAGGAGGGGCTCGGCATGCTAATCACGTAGAAAAATAGACAGAAAAGAAGGACACTGTTGAGATAGGGAGTGCGAATCGCGATTACAAAATTATACACAACAAAATATATGTCCATACACACCTAGGTCTACTTCTAGGCGCTCTGTATTAATCGCCACCTGTTCTTAATTAACCGCAGCCACGTCAGTTTAACAAAAAGTTGAGGTTTAACTAGGGGTATATAATATATACAGTCCACATCTTGGAAGATAATGTTGTTCCTTTCCTCGGAAAATGTTTAATGAAGAATTCATCCTAGACCTTCTCTCTCCCTCACCCTGGACGTTTCTTTTCCCCGCGAGAAAAAAAATACTAAACACTTCAAAATTTTATATCGCATTATTGAACGTTAAAAAGGAATTAATATTTTTACAATCTTAGTCGTTGTCTGTTATGGAATCTAACCTCCTGTTTGGAATATCCAACACACTTTTCCGCGTGTTTACATAAAACCGGGGGAAATTTTAGAAGCCGCAAACAAATTATATAAAACGATGATGAATTCTTGGAAAAGACTGCTATGCTTAGCAGGTGCATTTGCGAAAATTTGTGGTGTGTATAATAATACCTGTAAATATCGACTTTACTATCTGTGTGTAAGAAGAATTCTCTACAAGATATGTATGATACCATAATTGAAAGCAAACAAAATTGCTGCAAAATGAGTAAAACGTTGTTATCCTGGCATTGAGGTGCCCCTGTTCATGATTCCAGCAAAAGCTATTTGAGCACGTGAATTTTTGCTTGGAAAAATATTGCATATTAATATACTAAAGAAAAAAATTATTGCGTTGTTCAAACATTAAATTATATGCGCGGTTGCGTTGAAAAAATAGCAAATTATACCCTGCTTAGAAAATTCAACGTAGTGAAAACGAACTAGCACATTATTTGAAAACATACATAAAATATTTCGATCAGCCCAGAGGACTCGCTTAGATTAAACAAAAAATATGATTCACTGAGATTTTGCGGCGCATTAGACGATTTGCATGATCTAAACTCTGGGCGCTTTTGACTCTCAGGAATTGCAAAGCTGCGCGTTACATTAATTTCACCTAAGCTGGTGGATAATGTGCCCCGTTGGAAAAATTCATGTGCTTGCAAAAAGGCACACTGAAGAGTTACTTAGAGCCAAAACTTTTGCTTTTGAAAAATTTCGTTTATTTTCCTCTCCCCAAAAAACTCTGCTCGGTGATAATGTTGTTGAATAATTATAAATGTACTCTGTATATTGTCAACCGCAATTAATATTTAAAATCGTGTATATTCAAAACGCAAAAGTTTAAAATTAATTAAAAAAAAAATATTGTATATTGGCACATATATTTGGGGCGTCAACGCGACGAACTCGGAAAAAGCGTATCGGAATTATTCAGAAAAAATTTGCCGTTCACTTCATCAATAAAAACGGGCTTTTTTCGAGTTCGGGGCCTTGACGATGTCCCCGATAAAAGAAAAAAAACGCATATGGAAAAAGGGAGACGAGATTTTCCGTTTCGCGCCGCTTTGTGAACATCCCTAACGCGTAATGGACGTATTACGCCTTTTTCACACACACACATTCACACTCAATTAAGGTGTGTTTTTGATAAAATCGCTAATATGTGCTTGGTGTTGACCGAAATGGAAATTAGCCTCTCTTCTCTGGTTATTCAAAAACTTTGAAAGCAATATTCTGAAAAATTCAATACATACAAAAACATGTTTTATATAAAATTATTCTATGGTCAATGTTGTCGCTGCTATTGCGAAATTTAAAAGAAAAATAAAATAAAAACGAATTTCGAAATTTCTGCCCGCCCTTGCCCTTTTCTGTCGATTTTATCTCTTTTCATTATATATTGAATTAAGCGATCGTTGGGCTTGTGAATTAATTTCCTGAACGCGCATCACTTTAATAAGAGATGCGAAGACACAAGAATCACAAGAATTTGAAAATGTTGATAAATTAATAGGAAAATTTGGAGATTCATTTTAATTAAATTATAATTTTGGTCTTGTGTCCTCTGATCACAGCAATTATTATATTCCTCCTAGACAATGCTCTTGCCTGGGCGCTCTGCTGTTAAAAAATAAAATGAGCGAAGTAGCTTAAGTAAAAATTAGGCTCTCTTTAGCTGCAAATAAACACTCCAAACAACCTCCCATAAATATGTCAACTTCAACAAACTTTTGTTAGCTAATTTTTGCTAAATCAAATGAGCGTATGTTTCTTTTGTGCAAGTTTCATTATGTTGTAACATGTCCCATTTCATTAATTAATGCGATCATTGCACACAATTAAAAAGTTATGTACTTAAATGAAAGGCTTTAAAAGTAAATAGTCCTGAAGAATACTGAAATATGTCACAAGCCTACTCGTCGCTTGAATCGTAGCACGCCTTTAATTTATAATCTAGTCTGTAATTATCGTTTGTAACTTTACGCTGATTTCAATTATTGATTTGTACCCAAATTGAATTACTCTAGACGATGAATTCGCACAAAACCATGTGTAGATTTTGATTTTTTTTTAATTTCAGAAAAGTCTTTATAATTTAAATTCGACTTTCGTGCTTTTTTTAGTAAAAAATTTGATTTTGCAACCTCATTAAGGGTGTTAAGGGATGGTCATACAGTGAGTTCATATTATTATAACGTTTACAATTTCGCCCTGCTGAGTTCTTGCTAAAATGAAACTTCATAATTTGTAAAATTGCCTTCAATGAATAAACGTGTTACAAATTCATTTCAAATGTAGTTTTTATTATATCAAAATACCCAGACATTTACTCTGTCAGATTATAATTTTCATCTCTATTTCTCACATCATTTTATGTTATTATTTGTAGTCAGTCAAATACACTAATTGATATTGAGTTGTCATAGAAATTGAATTTTTCAAAAGTACCTTCTAAATCAAAATAAAAAAGCACAATTTTTCAAAAGTTTAATTAATTCCCATCAATCAATGCTCACAATGGTAAATTTAGCACCTTTATGTTATAAATTAAATCTACTGACTTGAGTTTCGTTCTGCTTTTCGTCTTTTTCTTGACGAACGTCTCAAAGGCACTTCCTCTTGCGACGAGCTTGATCGCCGCTTCTGCGACTTCTTTGTTTGTGACTTTTCTGCCCAAATGTCCTCGTCGTCCGAAACGTTCAAAACCACTGGTCTTGAAGGGGTAGTTGCACTGTTTGTACACTTGGTCTGCAAACTAAACATGTCATTTTCTTCGTCCGCAGCCCCTAGAGGCGTTTGAGACTTTTCTTTTCTCATAATGACAGGAGAAGTCTGTGTAAGCAGCCGATCCATTTCTGAATCCGAAGTGCCTGGTGAATTTGACGGAGAACTTTCATTCCCTGTCTCAATTATGGCTGGAGGATTTTCAGGTACAACTTTCACAGGGATGGGCTCATCTGGCTTGCTTTCTTCAACCTTCTTCTTTTCCTTCCTTTTCTTCAGCTCCTCAACCAGCTTGGAAAAGTGGTTGCCATTTTCAGTCCCTGGAAAGAATTAAGTGTAAGAAATTTGATGAAAATATTGTTATAATTAGAAATGCTTACTGTATTTAGCCTGAGCCTGCTCAATAACTTTTGGGTCGTCTTTCCGATCCACTTTAAACGCCTGTATTGCCTAATAATTTAAACTTGTATCATTAAATTAACACACACCATTTACCATACCTTCAATGTTTTACAATTAGCAAAATTTTCGTCGCGCTCTTCCTTCTCCACCTGGCGGACTATATCCTTGACAGGCCTGGGATTCGCACAGTCACATTCAGAATTGTACAATAAAGTGTACCTGAAATTGAAGTTCAATTAAACAGAAGAAATTTGAAAATTATTCTACTTTCTGTGTCTCTTGATCAATGTTTGCTTGTCCCCCTGAGTGCTCAGATTTGCTTCAGAGCATTTCTTGCGAAGTTCCGCTTCCTTCATTAACGAATAAACTAATTTTGGCAGTCTCCTTCTTGCCGTACTTGTGCTCGGCTTTGGCCTGGAATTAAATATTTTGTAATTATTCACAATTCTCAAAAAGGGTGATAATCCAACTTGAAAATAGTAGCTTCTGCTTGGTTTCCTCTCTCCAGACACTTGTCGATGTGCAAGTTGATATTTCTCTCTGGAATTTGTACCTGGCAAATGGGACAAGAGACCATTGAGGCGGCGGGCAACACTTTCGACGAGCCTGCCAATGGACTTCTGGACATATGATCCATAATACTTTTGGGTCTTCGGCTTTCTCCCTTTGAATCTGGCGTCTTTGGAATGCTCTTGTTCAAATCAATCGGCGACTCAGTTTGCTCCACAATTTGAGGCTCATCTTCATCGTCGTCAAGAAAGGGCGAAGAAACGCTTGTGACAATTTTGTGGACTTCTTTGACTGGGGTTTTTGGTTTTTCAGGCGTCGATGTTGGTCCATTTTGGGCAACATCAACTTGGATTGTCGCTTTGTTCATTTTCAACTTTATTCTTCGCATTACGGTAACCATTTCGTCTACAACTCGGTTATTCTTCAACTCGGTCTCCGTGACATGTGCAAAGCACTGAGGACACGTCGTTTTGTACTGCATGAAACGTCGGATGCAAAGTGAACAAACTGTAATAAAAACAAATGTAATTAATTTAAAATTTAGATAATTATTTCATGATAAACATACAATTATGTGAGCACGGAGTAATCAGCGCCACATTCAAGTATTCGTAGCAAATTCCACACTTCAGAAGATTTTCCATTATCTAAAAATATGTTGTTGTAAATATTTATTCAATTAATAGGCTTTGAAAATAAAATACCTGCATTTCGGGAACAGATTTTGGCCATTCCAACCCGTCTACATTGGACGGTTCCTCTTTCATCATGATGCATCAGGTCCTGTGAAGTCAATCAGGGGAAAAATGTTATACTTTTACTTAAGAACCTTTCTAAATCATATAAAGTTTTTTTTTAATTAAAAAATCCAGTATTTTACTTTTTTGTGTTAAGGTTTTTGATTATTTCAGTATTCCAAAGTCAAGATTTTAAGAGAACATCATAATTTTATTACACATAAATTATTGTAAGAAATGGAGTGTCAGGCGAACATGAATAAAATTAAAAATAAACCAGACTAAAGCGCAGCTAACAGTCTGTTTTTAGCATCAAGGTAGTCATTAACTTTAACATGAGGTCGCTGAAGGAACAATTTGAGAATGTCTTTGGTAAGGTTGGGCAACAGGCTTTGGTTGCAAATTTTCTCCAGCACAATCAAGCACCCCTCAATGTTCCACACCACTGGCTTGTACTTGTTGCCCTCCTCCGCCTTGATCAGCTGCATGTTGATCAGCAAGGAATTGTTCAGCAGCGAGACGGAATCGCTCTTTTTGGCCCAGTCAAACAACTTCGTGAAAAGCAGCAAACCAATCTCAAGCGCGTCCGACTTTATCTTTTCATCCTTGCAAGCCGCAGAACTGCAGACACACATGAAGAGTTCAACGCCCCTGGTGGTCAAATCGGATTCCGCGAGACTTTCGAAGTAGCTTTTGATTTTTGAGTAGCGCTCCGTGCCAAGCAGGGAGAATTTTCTGGAAAGGGGCTCCTTCAGGAACTGCTCAACACTCAACTCCTTTTCCGGAGACTCCGTGACCTGGATGACCTGCGGCTGTGCCGCTTTGACAGGGGTGGTCGCAACCACTTCTCCCTCTTCTTCTTCTTCAGACCCTCCCTCCTTTTCTTCCTCTACCTCCTCCTCCCCCTCTTCTTCAGACTCTTCCTCCTCCTCCTCTTCGTCCTCGTCTTCGCCAAGTTTAATCGGCAGATCCGGATATCGAGTCAGAATTTCTCTGCCTTTGCTGCCAAAAGTGTTGCCCTCAAGATCAAGAATCTTCAGAGCCGTCTTTCCGCGTAACGAGTCGCAAATCACCGGCAGTGCGCGAGATTTTATTTCGTCAAAGGAGAGAATCACCTCCTCCAGTTTCTCGTTGGCTTTCAGAGCAGAGGCAATTTTTATGGCACCGTCGGACTTGACGAGGCAGTCGCCGAAATTGACCGACTGGAGGTTTTTGAGCAAGGGCAACGCCTCAGCCACAGACACGGCGCCCTGCCGCGCCATGCAGTTGTCGTTCAAATTCAGCACTTTCAGGTCAGGACAATTTTTGAACGCCTCGCTCAGCGCCTTCAAGCCAGGCGCGTAAATTCCGTTTTGAGGCATCGTGATTTCTTGAAGAGAGCCCAGGGTGGAAAATACCTGAAAACAAAATCAGTTTGAAAAAACATAATTTAATGAAAATTGCAATGGAATTTTCTTTTAAACAAATTAATTTAATTTTTACCTGAGATAAGGCCTTGGCTCCTTCATTTTCAAGTCTGTTTCTGCCGGCGATGAAGACCCTGAGGGCCAACTGGTGGCCGCTGGCTTCGTAACACTCCAGCAGGCTTTTGGCCAGCAACTTTCCGCCGCTGATGCCGAGGCCGTTGTTGTTGAGCTTGAGGATGTGCAGACTGAAGCAGGGTTCGCTCTTCAGCAGGGTGATCAGTCCGCCGATGCCGATGGGTCCGAAGGCGTTGTCGCTCAGGTCCAGCTCGGTCAGCTTGACCTTGCCTAAGACGAGGCCGCACCCCAGGAAGCGGAGGGCGTCCGGGATTTCCTCCTTCATGCGTCCCGTGAACATGTCCTTCCAGAGGGCGAAACGCAGCTCAGGGTGCGACTCGATCTCCTTGCCGATGGCTTTACACGCGTTCACACCCAGGGTGTTGCCGGCCAGGTTGAGCACCTCCATCGTGCCGCGGTGCTTGGCCATTTCCTGGACAACCTTGTCCGCGTCCTGCTCGTCGTTCAGCTTCAAGCCTTGGCCGTCGAACGAGACCGTGCCGAGCGTCAGGGAGCTTTGCTGCAGCGCGGCCGCCAAGCTATCCACGTCGCTGCTCGTGTCCCGCATTTTTATTTTGGCCCTGCAAAATATATGTGATCGTTCAGATTAGATTTTGTTGAAAGACAAAGTTGAAACTAAATCTATGTTTAATTGCAAAATATAAAAAATATGGGTTCAAGACAAAATCGAATCTTGCGATCTGCACTTTTGCAGGGCCAAAAATTTAGAGGAGAGCAAGGTTTGTTTTAACATTTTTTTAAAAAAAAAATTTAAAATGCTTAAAAACTTTTTGAAAGCAATCAATCAAATTTAGATGGGAGGTTTATAATTAAAAAAATTATCATTCCTAAGATCCCCATGCAAGATATCCCCCATCAAGAAAAACGCGGGCAAATGCCGGTCTATTTGCACAAATGTGTGTTGAAAATTGACTTGGAACGTGATTGCATTTTTCAAAAATTATATTTGCAGAAGGTCTTGATAATTATTCTGACGTTAATTAACGTAATCTCCGCGTGTATACCATGATTATTTTGTCCAAAATACGGTAATCTATCCAGTAAACGCGTTAATTTATGTAATCCGGTGGAAGTGCGGTTGCGTTTTGCGAAACGAACTCGTCATTTCATCCAACACGTTGTGGATTCGCCACGAAAGATTGAAAAATCCGGTGTGATTGCGACTTGTGGACAAAGGTCGGATTATGCTTACCTATTAAACGATTGATGGACAAAATGAATCAAAGCGAAGACGTTAATTTTGCTAGATATTGAGATTTTTGCCGGGACAAAATCGACCCCGCTTGGACGACGGACGACAGTGCATGGAACGAAACAATTTCTTGCTATTTGCACAAACAGCCACGCATAGTGGGGATAACAAAAAGCGCGCGACTTTTTGAAAGTTGTTAAACTTTTCTTATGATAATAACATCTGAGCTTTTATTTACAGATCCTGTTTTATAATTTAGGATATCTTCATTTCAAATAAACAAAAAATTCCTTTTCTAGAGATTTTTGTATATTATTACTTAGAGATTCTGATATATTATTTTAACATTCAATTTGGGCAGTCAGCAGTGCGGCAAAAGCCTACGCAAACCTGACCTATATAATAATATAATCTTATTTATGATCAATCGATGACAACTATATATGCACATTTCCTCTTCCAAACCTTGACCAATTAGGATCAGATCATTTGATACTAAAAACTATATTGTATTATTGCTTTGGACATTCATTGATACATAAGATTAGTCAGACAAGCCAAAAGTCCATGTCTTGACTGGATTTCTTTTCTGGTGTCTCATATAAAATAGTTGAATTTTTTAGATTTTTCTTGTAGTGTGTATATATAACTATTTTGCAGACAACAATTAGGCATCAGCACAGTGCAGCACTCACGGTCATTAGTGCCCATTATTAACTAAAATTTACAGCGTGTATTATAAAATTTCACAAATATACCTCTACATTTAAGCAAGGGGTTCCCAAGTTAACTAAGAAATAAAAACATCAGATTACACAATGGTGCCAGGCAAGCCTACTTTTAGTTACATTTTCCTTTTTCAATAACAGGCTGAATGAGCGCAAGTGCTGTGCTTTCCCCAGCCATTACCCATATCTTGCACAGGTGCTCATTTCTCTAAAGGTAGTCCAAAATTGGAACTCTCCTGAAACTTCATTGCAATTTAATAATCAGCAAGAGTCTGCTCTCTATAAATTCTCATAAACACTTAACTTTTCTCCTGCCTATAAAATCAGAATGTGTCCTAAAGTTTGGATCTATATTATAATGACTTAGTTGATGGGATTCTTTGAAGCTCGCAGCATTCAATGATTAACTGACCTTGCCAAATAACAATCAGGTATTATGGCTAATTCGGAGCAGATATGCAATAGGCTTTAACTGAAAATGTATGTGTAAATATTCGTAAGTATTTCTCAAATGAGCTATTCTTCCTTCCTTGGCCGAACCACGGTGATGGCTACAGATCCACGAATTTTGCGCACCAAGTCAATAACTTCGGCTGTGGGTAGAACTTCCATATTTTCGTCATTGACCTAAGTACATTTAACAAATTTAAAAAAACAAGAAGAGAAACTTGTAAAATTTCCTTACCATGACAACATGGTCCCCTGCTTTCAGCCGACCGTCTTTGTAAGCAACACTATCAGGGTAAATCTGCTTTATTACTGTTTTTCCACCCTCGGCCTCAGTCAGTGTAAAGCCAAGCCGACTATTCCAGCCTCGACTCAACTCGACAACCAGAACCTGGATACAAATAAATTCATTAATTTAAAAAAAAAAAAAATTATTTGCTTTCACCTCTCCGTCAACGTTGTCAAGGTTTGTCGGCGGCGGTTTCTGAACTGGCGTGGCTGGAGTGGAGGCTTTCGAAAGGGGGTTCAACATGACCCCCTTCCACTTGAGCAAACCATGAGGATTTTGCTGCTTTTGAGAAATTTCCTGGTCCGAAGAGGCGGACAAGGAAGGTGACTGTGTGGCAGAAAAATTTGCGCTCTGGTACAGGGGTTTTCGGTACGACGAGGCCTCCAAATTCATCGGAGGCATGCTGGCAGGCTGCGACACTAAACTGCTAGGCCCTGAAAATGTTAACAAAGATTATTCTGAAGTTAATATTTTGAAAAAACAAAAATCTACCAGGGTATTCATTGGGGGGACTCAGGCCTGCAATTATGGAACTGTCATCCTCGTCTTCCTCGCCACTGAATGACGGCGATATAAATTGGAACTTTTGTTTTCGAACACTGGAAGGTGTGCTGAGATCTAACGAGACCGGCCTGCTGCTGCTTCGAGACTGGTTCTCTTCATTTTTTGCATCAGCAAGAGCTTGTAGGCTGAGTTGGAGAGCAGCTCGTCCTGATGCGTCAGTCACATCTAGAGCCGCTGTTTTTTCCACCACTTCTATTTTTATGACATCATTAAGTAAAATTAATTAAAAAATAAATCTTTACTCTTTTCTCCTTGGCTAGGGGGTGTCTGGAGCTTTTTCCTTCTAGGGGAAGAACTTTTTGGAGGAAAATGTTTGTGAGGTTGACCGTCTGAAGCTCTGCGGTTGCGGTCAGAGTCGTGGGGCGAACCGTGCTTCTTGCCTGCCAAATCGTTCAGCATGTCCATGGCCTCTTTCCTGAGAATAGGCCTTGTCCGAGGAAACGTTCTGAAGCCTTCGGTGGGCGAGAGGATCGAAAGAGGCGTCTGTGCAGCATCTCTGTAGAGCTTGATCGTGACGACTTCTCCACACTTTCGCAGAAAGGCAACCGCTTCTTCGTGTGACAATTCAGAAAACTCAACGTCATTCACCTGCAATAAAAAACAAATTTAAATCAAATTGTGATCATTGCCAAAATTTGTTTGAGACTTACAGCCATTATTTTGTCACCAGGCCTAATTCTGCCGTCACTCACTGCGGGCTCTTTCACCAAAGCTCGCACATAGTGTCCCAGTCTACTAGTGTCTTCCTTCCAGAGAGTGAATCCCAGACTTTTCTCAATTTTGTTAATTGTAATAGTAAACTCCTTAAATTAAAATAAATCAACTCTCGAACAAAAAGCTAAAATTTTCAACTCACTCCGCTAACAGGTCCCTTATCTTTGGAATGGTTTCCGTCCCCTTCGTCGTTGCTCTCGTCACTGTGCTCCGGAGGAGGAATATTTAGTCTCAGATTAGACCCAAGTGGTTTGATTTCGCTTTCATCGAGATCAACTGAAAGCAGTCCTGCTCCCGCTGGTGGCCGGCACACTTTCAGCGTCACGTCTACTGAGGTAGTTCTCAGCACTTCAAGTGCCTCCTTTAATTCGAGAAAATTAAAACTTGCACTTTTCAAGATTTTTTATCTTTTTGCCAACTCACATAGTTAGTCATGCCAGTCAAATGAATGCCGTTGGCTTCAAGAAGGACGTCACCTGGAGCCAGGTTGCCGTCCTGCCAGGCTGGCTGGCGAGGGAACAGTCGCTTTATCCTAATCAACCCTGGCCAGGGCTCATTAGCGCAGTCTACACCTCCAGTAACACTAAGGCCGAGCCCCCTGCTTCCTTTAGACAAGTTAACTTCGAACACATTTTCTGAAACAAAAAAAAATTAATCAATAAATCCAGGTGGATGAATAATTAAAAGCAACCTTGAGTTATGAAAGGGTATTTGGGAAGAAGCAGAGGTATCTTTTCTTCTTCAGGCGACCTTTCCGAGCCGTAGCCCTGGTCGTTGACCGCGTCGTGGAAGAGTGGCGGCGGAGGTAGCAGCAAAGGTGGCAGACGCTCCGGGGCGCCGTTGTCTCTTGGCAGCAACGAGTGCAGTTTGAGCTCCATGTTGAGCTGGCTGTTGACCCGGTTGTTGTTCTCAGGGTCGTTCTCCCTGTCCAAGTAGTCCGGCAGAGAGGCGCAGTGTTTATTCAGCGTTTGGCTTCCGTTGTGGTTGGCCAAGTGAGCCACCTGAAAAGCGACCAATTCAATTAAAATTTATATTTAAAAAATAAAAGTGAGCCCACTGACGTATCAAACTTCAAACTAGGGGATGCAGAGAGAAAGAGGACTCACAAATAATCATGGGGTGCTCACTTTGGAAGTGCGAGGAAGGGGCGCATCGATGTGTCCGCTGGACACGCTGCGCCTGTGAAGTCCTTTTTCGCAGCTCACATTGGAGCCCATTTCTACGGTCGCGGCGGCATCGGGCAAAATTCGCAGCTGCACCACATCGGGGCCGATTCGGAACAGACGCACCGTCTCTTCAAGAGAGCCCGCCGCTGATCCGTTCACTGCCAATATTCGGTCTCCTGGAACAACGCAAAAAAACCAAGGTAAATAAATTGATTTGCACAATTCGCCAGGGAGCGCTATTTTCTTTTTATCTGCACTTCTAATCTCCTGTCGGCGCAAATATTTTCAGTCGGAGTTGCCCTTACTGATAAATGAAATAGCCTTGAATGATATTTGTGCAGAAATAATTCGGAACGGGTGTGGTTGTTTTTATCAAAATGGTTATATCCGGCTCGGATGTATTAAAAGTAACGACAAATGACGTTTCAAATTTATTTTCATATGGAATTAGTCAAACAATAAAAAAAAACTATTTTCGAGAATTATTATTTTTTTTCTAAATAAAAAAATATGCTGTCATCATTTTCAAATGGTTAATTTATTTTTAGATTGCTAATCATTTCCCTTTGATAAGTTCTTGAAGGAAGTTGAAGAGCTTGATAAGATTAAATCTAAAATTAACTCTCAATTAAATTAAATCTAGCTGATAAGGCTTTAAAACCTGATACAGTGATACATAATTAATCAAATTAACAAGAAAATTCCAGCGCATACAAAATAAAAAAAATCTCCATAATTATTTATCAAGTAAATTTTAAACCTTTTAAACTTCAAAGACCACCATATAAAAGACAAATTTTTTTAAAGAATTTCATAAATTGTTGATGTTGATCAATATTATTTAATCTTGATTAAAGGTACGCAAATAAGGACGTGATAAAACCACAGACGCTCGTTAATAAAATTCTCTTTTTGCGGAAAATCCAGGTCATAATTACGTGTCTCGGCAAAGCTGCTTCTAAATTATCTCGTGTTCATTCATGGCTCGACACGAGAACAATACATGCGTGTCGTTGTTCTAGAAAAATTCAATTTTGACACAGCCTTGCTTGCCCAAGCTTCGTGCCTGTTACAGCCGAAAAAAATCAAACACTGACCTTGCAAAATTTTAACCCAGAAAGAAGCAGAAACGACTTGGAAAGATGGAAAAAGTAGCAGACTTACCAGCAGAGGTGCTTTGCCGAGGCACTTCTTGAGCCGAAAACAAACAAAAACAAGAAGGCGGCTGTGGTGGTGCTGCACGAACACCGACATGGTCCGCGGCCCACGACCCCCAGTCCGACTCTATTAACAAAACTAACCCAGCCTAAACGGAATCCAGCGTCGACCTGCCTCCGTTAACACGGTACAAGCGTCAGGGTAGCGGTTCTGCGACCCTGCTGAGGGCAAAGTATCGTTCGCCCCCACCTTGCACTCGCCAACTCCCGTCTGCACACCCCAGAAGGTCCAGGCGCTTTCCGTGTGAATAGGGCTGAATGAAACGGAACTGCAGGTGTCCGTCGACTGAGCACCCAGCGCAGCGCAAAGAGGAAGGGCGGGCCAAGTGCACGGCGGCGAGACAGATACGGAGGAAATTTGTCCGCAAGCGGGAGAGTCACCGCGACCGAGGTTGCTACGATACCAGGTAAATAGTGTCAATTTGATGCAGCGCAATTTGTAAGTAAACTATCCATCGCGTGTACATCAATTTTTTATGCCATACTTTTTGTAACTTGAGTAGAAGCAGGTGTCTCATTTTTCTCATTATCGCAATGTTATTCTTGCACAGATACTATGTGAGAAAAATAATGACGTTTTTGTTTTGCAAACAAGTTTTACGTGGAAACGTTAAGGATATTAAAAGCAGATATAAAATATGTAAATTTACAAGATAATTATTTGTCTTAAATATGCTTACATTTTCCTATAATACAAAAGTTAAAAAATTTATGTTTTTAATTAATAGGCACGGCTTTAATATTTAATATGCATCGTAAATAAGTATTATTTGTATTCAAATTAAGCTTTTAAAGAAAAAAATTGTACTAGCCGAGAAGAGTAAACATTAAATAATTAAAATTGAAGAGAAATAATAAAATTATATTTTGCCAACAATTTTAAATAAAAAAATATTATAACATTGTATTCATATACTTCCTTAACCATATATATATTTAGTAGTTAAATTAAATAAATTTAATTCTCAATTTATTAAAAATACATAGACTTATGAATACTAATAAACCACTTTTATTAGTTGCAAATTAGGTTTTAGGTGGTGTTTATGTTTATTATACATTTAATTTAATGATTTGCGTCGATTATTAGCAGTCAATTGCATATTAAAATTTGGTTGAAAAATTTTTAATTTAAAATTTCCTTTTTACACATTTTTGGCACTAAATTTAAAACTTTTTGGCAGAAAAAATGAATAAAAAATATTTTATTATACACTAAAATTTTGATAATATGTTAATAAAAATATTTTTATCCGTTTTTATCTTCACATTATTCATATAATGCTCAAATGATTATGCATTAAAAAATTGAAAAAAAAATTAAAAAAAATTATAAATAATAAAATTTTAAAATACAAAATTTTAGCTTTGTAGAATTAGCGGATGAATTTAATTTTAAATTAAAATAACTAACCAATGGAAGAAAACAGTTGTTTTCAAAATATTAAAATATCAAGAATTAATTAAAAATTGATAAAAGAATAATAAAGCAGCAAACTTTTAAAGTGAAATCTTCTCACCAGTTTGGAGGCGACTTTGCTTTTTCTTGTGTCGGTGGCCACTGCGGCCAGGGATGGCGTATTGGAAACTGGCCATCGGGATTTTCCGCCTGCAAGACGCGTCACTTTTTCTCTTTCCGTCTTCGTCGCAATCATATCTCGGCGGTTTGATGTACCGAACGTGAATCACGTAATCTCGAGTCATGCTAATACCCCTGGTGTGTTGAAAGTTGGAGATGCTCGACCGCGACTCAACGGATCAAAATGCGGGGTGCACGCGAGAGACACTAGCGCGCGGTCAGATAAAAATAGACCAAAGAAAGTTGGAGCCGAGAGCAGCGTAAACAAGAAGGTTCCCCTGTGTCCATTCTTTGAATTGGTCAGTTTACTTTGAATGAATGACTAAGAGTGTTTCTTTTTAATTCGAGTTAATTTGAACCACATTAAAATAATGCATTAAATTATCCTCACCGGGTTTTAATGTGCCCTCGTGCTCTGCCGCTCCTCCAGGCATCACCTCAGCGATGACGACCGCAAACTCTTCATCTTCCTCCAAACATGTCACCTAGAAATTGATCAGAGATTTTCCTTGAAGCGAGTACGTTGAGCTGCGGCAAGTCGCAAGTGCCCCCTTTTGATTGAATATTCATAATTATTAGTTTTAATTTGCAAAAATTACTAAAACTTACTTAAAATCTTCCACTGATTTTTAAAGAGGGCTAAAGAAAATTCAGGAGCCGCTTGCAACTTTCGTTCTTCTTCAGTTTTTCAGTTCCGAACAGCGTCAGGCAGCATACAAGCAATTTAAACTTTTTCTTCGTCTTAAACTTTTTTATGTAAATTATGTTTTGAGGTTGATGGGTATGTGGTGACGTGTGATTAATGAATTGTGTCGTTTGAATATTTAAAATCCTAAATTTTATTTGGAATTAATTAAAATTTTAAAATTTATTAAAATTTATAAATTTAGATTTTTTTTACATTTCATCAGCGAGCCTATATAATAAAAGAAAGCTTAAACATTTTACGCAATAGAGTGAAGCAGCATTATTATGGCATGGTATAAATGGATTGACATTCTCAGAAACATTTTTAATCCTATATAAACGTGTGTTTGATAATAGTGGCGCTAATATTTTTTGAAGCGTGCCGCGCTGCGCTTGTTATATGACTGTGGCAAGCAAGGAAAATGTTCTTAAACATTCGCGACAGAAATAAATTTGAAGTTTTAAAGAAAAAGATGGGTGGCCAATTTAAATATGTGCAATCACCTCTAGACGAAGTCCGAGTATGCCCCACGATTTTTCAAGACGGACTTCACGCTCATTTGGGTTTTGCGGCTCTTCAGTTGCTGATTTTTCCTCGTCATTATTTTCTGCAGCTTCTTCCGATTCTGCAAAAATCTCCTCAGTCACGTCAGGGATCAAAGCATTCGTTATTTGAACTGGTTCGCATTCCTCTTCTTCCTTTGGTGGATTATTTTCCTCTGCCTCATCATTTCGCTCTACATTGCTTTCAATTTTCTCCGATAATAATTCAACTTCCGGGGCAGAGTGCGGCTCATTTGGCTGATTGTCGTACAAAGCGTCGTAGTCGACCGGCCATAATTGCTCATTAAAATCTGAAAAAATTACCCAATTTTAATTTATTCATATACATTTCATTATAATAATTTTTACAAGAAAATATTTAATATGAAAAAATTCTTGCAAATTTAATTATACCTTTATTTGGAGATTCCTTTTCGCCGTTGGCCGAAAATTGACCCCAGTCGACGTCAAAAGCTCTCTCCTCCAAAATAGTTTCGCACTTTTCAATCACCCAGTTTGACGCACCGCCTGCCTTCGAATTAGATTTTTCCTCTGCATTGATAGGCTGCTTTCCAGCCTCAATCAAAATGTAGTCATTCGCTAACATGTGTTTTGTGAAATTATTGAAATTTTGATGGATCGTTTCCGTGCCCTGGTTCTCTCTAGGAGAAATAGCAGCCACCGAAAAAGTGCCTCCGTCTTTTCTAGCAATGCCAAAAATGTCATCCTCAACCTCGTCGATTAAAATTTTCAATGGGTTGTTTATTTCAGCCGGTGCCTTTGTTTCAGGTAGTTTTTGAAGATTCTCCTCACTCCCAGCCTGATCATCAATTTCTAATGTTTCTTCCGGTTCGTCGATGCTATCGAAGCTCAAAAGAAGTTGGTCTTTGGTGCTCGTTTTCGTCTCTTCCAAAGTCTGATTTTCTAATTTTTCATCGATGACAGGTTCCATAATTTTTTGTTTATTGTCACCGAGAGCGCTTTCGGCAACCTGTTCTATGGGCTTTGGAAGACCAAAATCTATAGGTTTCACCTTAAAAGCTCCCGTCGAGTTAACCCTGGGGTTGAATTGTGAGGGTGTGTAAAATTTGAAAATGCTCTTTGACTCAACAGGTGTGGCTGGAATTGGTGGCAAACCCGAGACTGGAGGTAGCCCCGCGTTGATCAGAGTCAGCCCGGAAACGGGCTCATTTTCTTCTTCCTCGGTCAAAGGGATAAAAGAAGGAGGCCTTAAATCAAAATTCTCGTCCAGAACAAGTATTTCTTCAACAGGTTTCAGAATTTCGTCAATAATTTTCGGCGCCTTTGAAAATTCCTCATTTTCCGTCACGACGATATTTTCCACATAGGCGTCAGTTTCAAAGAAAACCGCGCCTTGATCATTTTCCAACTGCATATCATTCACTTCTTGCCCAAAATTTTCATGATTTTCAGAACGCTCCACGCTGTCCAATGATTTAAAATCATAATTAGGCAATCCGCCCTCGTCATTCTCGTCAGTGAGATTTACTTCCGTCGGCTCCGAGGTTTCAAGCAAAACGAAACATTTTTCTTCTGCAGCAGTCTCCACTAAATTATCCTGAATTTTTGTAGAATAAGATTCCCAAGGAAAATGAAATAAAAAATTATTCCTACCTCAACTTCGGTTAAAACGGCAACAGTTAATATTTCGTCGGACAAGGATTGAGTTTCTGTGGGACTGCAACTTCCAATAATCTCGATTTTTAGGCAAGGTTTTTCTGGAACCGGTGGTTTTGGAGCTTTTTTACCTTTCTTTTCGCGTTTGGCATAAGGAGGTGGAGGACTTTCCTCTGTAAATTCCACTGGTGTGTGGAGGCATGGTGGCGGCGGCGGTGGAGGCAAAGGAGCGGGATTTCTAACCTTTTTCGTCCTTGGCGCGGCCACAGGTGGATCTGATTAATTATTATCAGAGGAGAAAATTAGTCGCAATAATTAATCGTTTGAAAATAATCTGCTTACTGGCCGTTTCGCGTGTCATAGCAAACGAGAATGGAGACACACTGACTGGTACTATATACAGAGAATTAGAAACAACCTTATCACGTGTTGAAGACCCCCAAGTTTTTTAAGTGGATCAACACATTACATATATTGATTTGAAAAACTACGTATTGTTTTTGGCATAATTTTATTTATGTATGGAAATATATTTCTTAATAAATAATATTCGATATCGCAAGAACATTATTATAATGACGTATTGCTGTTAAATTTTAATTAAAGAGCAAAAAAATAATATAAAGTAGCAAAGTGAGCGCGTTTTTATGCGTGTAATATTCAAGCAGTGCCAATCCCCTACAGAAATGTGATTTATACAACCGGCAGAGCGCGCGCAAGTACACATATATTGTGTAACTCTCACCATGCCAAAGGGAAGATTCTTTATTTTTATTGATTTGCCCATGTGTGCTAATATTTTAATTGATTGCGATCAGTGGCACGTGAACACACGACTCACAATAAGATGATGCACCAGTAATTTATGAGAAATCTCGTTTGTACTTTGACCTATCACATCAAACATTTCTCTATAATATACGTAATATATATATATATATATATATATATATATATATATATATATATATATATATATATATATATATATATATATATATATATATATATATATATATATATATATATATATATATATATATATATATATATATATATATATATATATATATATATATATATATATAAAAGTCTGCCAGAGATGCAAAACTTTTGAAACTTTTGAAAATTTTTGCGACAAGAGTGTAAGCTGGGTAGAAGAAAAGGTGCGGCTTAAAATTATGAGCTGCAAAACTTATGCTGCCGGATCAGGATCAAGGTGCCGAGAGCAGTAACATAAAAAAAAGCAAGTGCTCAAGAGTGCTGGGGGAAAAGGAACACAAGCATGCGGGAGTAGGGCGCATTTTCCATCAGGAGAAGTAGCATGTCCCATTCGAAGGCGATTCAAGCTTGAGTAGAAACTGCGAAGCTGTCCAGGGAATAATAATAATTCTTTTATTAAACGCGTTTGCATACAACATACATGCACTGCTGGAGCAGCACTACAAAAAGAACATTCATACACTACCTACACTACCTAGCGGTGGGAACCACAAGCAATACAAGCATACATTGGGACTACATTTAAATTTTTTTACAAAGAAAATCACAAAATATTAAAGCTCCGCCCATTTGATCAGAAATATAAATGTCAAAGAAGCGAACCAGGGCTGACCAATAATAATAAGTCTTTTATTTTAATAATAGCGCGTCGGAGAGGGACTTCTTGGATCCCGCGCTCTTGTCTGATTGAAACAGTTGAAAATCGCCACGCCACGCCCCCTTTGTACGCAGCTCAGCTTCACTCAGCTTCTTGTTGGCTCAGCTTGTTCTTGTTGCTCTTTCACGGATGAATCTTACTTACAATTTGTTCTTAGTTGTTGTTAATGAAGAAGTCAGCAATCTGAATCATGATGTAAGTTAAAAATTGGCTTTTTTATTTCTTCTATTTTTGTTTTGAAAAAAGTTGCTTGGAACTCGGAACTCGGATTTTGATATGTACTCACACTTACCGGCGCCGGACACTCTAAGTTTACGAACATGTTGACAAGCGCAAACCAAATTTTTAGCAACCGATAGTCTAATACATGTATAAAAAACCTCGCATTTTGCAAGGATTATGTACAATTTCAATGAAAACTAAATATATATTAAATATTATTCTGGCGTAACTTGTCCCAAGATTAAAAGAAAATGTTAGAACTGCCTGAATTCATTTCTTCTGAGCTGGCCAAGCGAATATTTTGCATTCTTCCATTTCTACCTTTCATTTACATTCCTTACTCGATCGATGCATATTTTCAGACAGCAACCCGCTCATCAAAATCACGAGCCGGCGCTGAGGCAGCAGGTTGACAGTCCTGCTCGTCTGTATTTGGCCAATCTTATGCAGCTGAGGGAGGAAAAGAACTTGACCGACAAATTCATCATGACTCTCCTTGACACCTGCGAAAAAAAGCAGGCGAAAGTGAGAAAAACAATAAAATAAAATTTTTCCTGTATAGTTAATGTGTCAATTTTTAATTTGCAGTCGAAGTCAAAAATAGACGAGGAAGAAAAAAATTCTGCTAAGAGTCAAGTCTACATGTTGCTACACTTGCTTCCAGTCTACAACCATGACTTGGACAAAAATGTAAGCGTCGACCTGATGGACCTGACACTGTTCGCCGCTCGAGATAAGCTTGAAGATTCACTCAAAGACCTCAAGATGATGCATCAGCTTCGACTTAATGAACGAGAGAAACTAGAAGAACAGGCGGGGAGGAAAATTTTTGAGTGGAAATGTTCATTATGAGACCTTAAATTTGTAGGAGTTGATATATTGCACGAGTTTGGGCCGAGCTGTTGAGAAGAAACCAGCAGCCAAAGCTCTTTCAGACCCAGTCATGAGACACTTCAGGGAAAGGGTTGGCAAACTCAAGCAGGAAAAGGTAAATAACATTTAAAAGTGATTTTTTACTTCTTCAGTAAATTTAATATTTTGCACTATTAACTATATGAGATAAATTTACATAGGACACACTACTTATGGAATTTCAAAAGACGAGAAGTGAAATCATAGATTTTTTCTCAGAGTTGGAAGAGCAACCTTTTACTGAATTCCAACTCAAAGTCACTGACCTGAACACGGACACTTTCCCATTGGACCCTGAAACATTAGCTAGTGTTTCCGTAAGTTTTATTTCTCCTCTGCACCTCAAAAACTTATTTCAGGTTAATTTATTTTTATTCGCAAGGTGCTGCACGCGGACCTTGATGACCGCGTCAAGCAGATCACTGAGGAAACTGAGCAACTCCGGATGAAGTTATTGCACTTGTGGGACAGACTTAACGTTGATATCGATGATCGAGCCAGTTTCTTGGAAAATAACCCTGGCATTAGAGAGACCACTAGAAGAGAAGTAGGTCTTTCAAAATTCGTGTGACACTTTCAATTTTTGAGTTTTTAACTGCTTCATCAACTAAAAATTTCTGTATCATCAGATAAAATCTTTTACGTTATTACTAAAAATCAAAATAAAATTCATGTTTTTTTAAATTGAAAATTTCTAAACAGATTTATTCGTCATATTTTTAGTTGCGCCGTGAAATCATTCGCTGCGAAGAACTCAAAAAGCAAAACATGGAGAAATTCACATTGAGAATGAGAGACGAGCTAATCTGCTTGTGGGATCAATGCCACGTTTCTGATGAGGAACGAGAAGCATTTGCTCCGTTCAAGAGCTTGGAGTTTACTGGGGAACTGCTTGAACAGCATGAAATTGAGGTCCAGCGTTACAAAGCGTTTCTGGAGGAGAACAAAGAGGTGTTCGACCTTCTTCGGCGCAGATCTAAGCTTTGGGAGCGAATGCAGCAACTGGAAATGGCTGCCACTGACTCAAACAGGTTGATAAACCGAGGTGGCCAACTGCTGAAGGACGAGAAAGAGCAACAGAAAATCAAAAAGGTTTGTATTTGCAGTGAGAATATTTCATTGAGTAATTAATTTTCTTGTTTAGGAGCTGCCCAAGGTTGAAGAGCGAGTCATATTGTTGGTACATGCCAGGGAGGAGGCCCATGGCGAGCCCTTTTTGCTGCGTGGCCGGCGCGCTTCTGTCGTGTTCAGCGAGCAATGGGAGTCCAAAAAGCAACTGAAAGAGACTGAGAAACAGAGCAAGGTAATGTGAAATTCATTATAATCCAGAAATTTAACTTATAAATATCTTCTAGAAAGTGGCTCGGCAAAAGCAGTTGGAGCGTGAAGCAATGATGGAAACTACCACTGTGAGCTCTACAATAAAGAGGAAGTTGGCTCCAAACCATTCCCACAACCAGAAAGTGCCCCGCTCCACTCCTTGGAAGTAAACAACATGCTCTTTAGTTTTTAGTAAACTCATAGTTCCTCTCCTGCTTTTGATAGTGTCGCATCAGTCTGTGTAGGTTCAAATTTTACCATGATTCAATCTTAATAATAGTATTTAAAGCTGAAGTTCATTTTTTTATCATGGACCAAATATTTTAATAATTGATTATCTAATAAAGAATTGTATGATTAATATATTTATCTAAAGTGTTATATTTAATCCAGCTCCTATATTGTTTTTTCTTTTATTTACCTTGTTTAAAGGCCAATTTTGATGTATCGGACGTTTTCTACATGGTCATTTATCTTATACTAGCATTAATATTATTTAATAATAACGAAATGTAAATTTATTAATGCTTTATTTTAAGTAAGACAAAAATTAAGCAAAAAAATGTTCTAGTGGGCATGAGTGGGCAAAATAAAATAATTAAATAAAGCTTATATTTCTTAATTTCATAAAACCATGATTTTTTTTTTGTCTTTTTATTTTTATTTATTTCGCATATCCATCGCATTGCGCCATCTATGGAGACGTCGAAATAATGAAAACTCCGTGGAATAGTCACGTGACCACCACGCACACGCACGAGCTTGCGCACGAGCGAGAAAAGACTTAAAACACAGCGGCCGTCGCCGTTCGCCGGGTTGATTTTTCAACACAAAATTTGGGCTTGCAACTCCTGCAAGTCTTGTTTTTGCAATCTGGGACTGCTTGCTGTTTTCTCCAAGGCCCGAAGGTAATATTCCACAACGAATTTCACTGAATGCTGCCATATTTTTTTGAGATTTGTGCAAAAAACGAAACCTCTGACGGTTACTTAGCCTTCTAACAGACCCAGCTGTTTCCCGCGCGATTGTGAATTCTAATGTAAAAATCTAATTTTGACAATTAAAACGATTTGCTCGAAAGGCAAGGAATTGATAATCATGGAGACATACTGAAATTAAAGTTTAATTATAATTCATCATTCAACAAAATCTACTTATGTACATGTCGTTATACTACATAATATGTACATGATTGATTGATTGTTTTAAGAAAAAAATTATCGTTAATGAATATTTTTAATTGACATAAATTTTTGAATTGAACAAGATATTTCAGATTATTTTTGTTTGACATTTATGAAATTTTTAGAATTTTATAAGACTCAAAATGGAATGATAAAACGTTGCGAGAATGTTGGAATTCAGTCAGAAATGTTCCAATTCCAAATGTGTGCCCGATCATGTCAGTAATTATTGGAATCCCTATGTCAAAGCTCTGCCTTCGTTACATACAAATTTGATATAATATGGCTTTGAGGAATTTGAAAACTATAAATTGAAAATTTTCTATGTGAAATGATAACAAGTCGGTGAGGCTAAATTTTATGAGTTCACATTTTTTTTAGCACTGCAATTATTTTTAATTTACTTTACTTTGTTTACAGATGGTTAAAGACCACAAAGAGCTTGTCAAGGCCTGCGGGGAGTTAGATTTGGATAATTTGAAAGTAAAGATAGATGATGAATACAAAAGCTCCTTTCGAAATATGAGGAGAATAAAAGATGTAAGTTGGAATTATTTAAATTTAGAAATATAATATAATATTTTTTAATGATTTCTTTTTTCTATCAGGAAGCTCTGCAGTGGGCCAGAGAAATAAAGGAGAAGCTGCAAGAAAAGCAGACAAGCCCTATGCCACCAAGGACACCAACACTCAAGAGACCAACTCGGAAGAGGAAAATTCCCACCGCTTCCGAAGGTATAGTTAATCAATGAAAACTTCAATGTTATTTTTTACAATGCGTAACTTCTGCAGTTGAGGAGAAGGAAAATTCCATTGCTGTAGGGCGGCAAGCTCGAGCTGCCTCGCAAGCTGCAGCTTCCAAGTTCCACAAGCAGCTGTATGTGCCTGTAAAGCTGAGACGACCCAGCGAAAAGCCTGCCGAGGTGCCTCCAGCAAAGGAACGTAAAAGGGTCAGGATTGCCAGTTCTTCAGCAGAAAGTGATGATGACGCTGTGTCAGTCGCCTCTACCACCAAAAGCACCAAATTGAAACGTGCAGCTCGGAAAAACAAAAAAGAAGTCAGTGACGATGAATCAAGCGAAGAAGCTGAAAAACCACAGAAACTTGAAAAGCCAAAGATGAATACCAGGGGCCGCGCAAAATTGGTAGCTCAGGAAAAGAAACTGATGGTAAATTTTAATATAAATTTCGTCCTTCGTTGTGATGTTTTAAAATTGTATTATTTTGCTCTAGCCTGCCAAGAAAATGAAGGTGGTTAAACCGGCTGATTCAAGTGATTCTGAGTTTGAAAAGCCGCCTGCAAAAGCCACTAGTAGCTCTGAGGCTTCAAACGATGAACCAAATTCTGAGCATGTTGAGACTTCAAAAGACGAGCAACATTCTGAGCATGTTGAGTCTTCGAATGAGGAAAAGAATTCTGAGCATGCTGAAACTACAAGGGAAGAAACGCATTCTGATCAATCGCAGGAAGAAACTAGCCCTCCAAACCAGAATATCAAGAAGAATGACGCGCTGCTCCTGAGTCGGGTGGTTGCCATCAAGGTGAGACTTCAAATTGTTATTTTTATCTGAAAAATGCATTTTATTTTCCACTCCTTTTTAGGTTGAAAAATTATCAGAAACTTTCATTAAGCGTCAGATAGGAGAAGACGTTTCTACTGAAGAAGCGACTACAGAAGAGTCTGAGCCACCTGTGAGCTCTCCCGAACCTCCAGCAACTGAGACTCAAAGGAAGTCACCCAGGACTAACAAAGTCGAGACGAAAGTACCAGACAAAGCGTCTGAACTCCGTGCTTTGTATGTGTCTTAATTTTGGTTGAAATAAAAACTTTGAGGTTTTTCCATTTAAAGAACACCACACATTGCTGGAAAAGTGAAGGAGATGGTGATGGCAGTTGAGCAGTCGCTGAAGAAGGGTTATCCGAAAGTCAACATCCAGAATCACCCTGAGCATGCGGCCACCACTCCTCACTCACCTTCAAAGTGGTTGAAGGCCCCGGAGCTGATGCACGCCATCAGCTCCCAGGACATTTCCCCAGACCCATTCAGTGAGAGCAAGCACGCCTACTCGCCGACTGTTTTGCGGAAGAAATCCATTCCCACCTGCAGCAAACCTACAACATCCCAACAGCAGGGCTTGAGCACCATCCAAAGGAGTACAGTGGTAATTTTTAATTAATTCTGCCTGCTTGAGAAAACAAATTAACCAAGTTAACTTGTCCTCCTTTTAGACGAGGCCTCACAACGCCACTAGCACTCTTAGCCGGAGCAAAGTCATTATAAGCAAGTTCACCCTTGAAGCAGCCAAGGAGCAGGCCCAGTTGGCTGCTGTTGAAGTTGAGAAGAAAAAGGAACTCGAGCGTCAGCTGAGGGATGAGAAAATAAACGAGGCCCAGAAGAAGAAAGAGGAAATATTGAAACTGAAGATGGAAGAGAAGAAAAAGTACTTTCTAAAACCATTTTTTGTCTGAACTTTGTTTGTAACAAGCTTCTTTTTTCAGGATCAATGAAGAAAAAAAGAAAAAAGTAAAACAAGTGCAGGAGCAACGTCAAAAGGAACTGGAGGCGCAGCAGAAGGAGAAGGAGGAGCTGCAGCTACGCAAACAGGAAGAGAAAAGTAAGAAGAACAAATTTGAAGAACTGAAGGCAAAGCGTCTGGCAAAGAAAGTGCTGCAAGAAGAAGCAAAGAAAAAGCTGCAAGAAGAGGCAAAGAAAGCCAAGGAGGAGGAGGAAGAGTTAAATCGGAAGGCTGAGGAATTGAAAAAGAAGGAAGAAGAAAAGAAGAAGAGAGACGAGGAAAAGAAGAAGAAAGATGAGGAAAAGAAGAAAAAGGAGGAGGAAAAAAAGGCTGCTCTCAAACTAGACGCTGCCAAGTATGCAAAAATTTAAATCATAAAATATGAAGTAGAAATGAATTGTTTTTAGGAAATTAGCTGCTGCGGCAAGTGTCCGCGAGAAGGAACATGTGCAAACTGCTGTGCATGAGATGAATTGCACTTTCACAATGCCTAAGGAAGATACATGCAAGACGCCCAAACCTAAAGCACCTAATCCAGTATTGGTGAGGAAATTTAGAATAAATTGTAAGATAATCATTATAAAATCATGTTTTTTTTTTTTTTTTTTTCATAATTTACAGGCAAAAGTAGCCGGAACTGAGTCTTACGAGGTGACACCCAGCAGGGATGAAATGCCACCGGCACCACCTAAAAGTGACAATGACTACGGCATTGATGAGGTTGAAGAAGGTGACTCCAGCGATGATGATGAGAAGCCAAAGAAGAAGGTCCCTCTTTGGGCTCAAAGTAAGATCCTTAATTATTGAGAAACTAAATTATTTTTCGTTTTCAACCATTAGAAATGAAGAACAACATGAAATTGGATTGTGCTGATTATGTGAGGGTCAACCTGCGCAACAACTTTTTTGGAACAAGGGTGTTCAAGCCATCTGTGAAGGATTTGTTTGGAGACGATGCTAGGCCTCTGACACGGCGTTCGAGCGCCGTTTGGAACACACCGCCCAACTTGCATCACATGACCCTTAACGCTTCAATGCTCCAGGATTAGTAATTTTCACGATTGCCTCTTGATAGAATTAGTTCATGCATTCCATATTGTAAATATATTGGCTAGCTCTTTCCGTTTTATGAGATGGACAGATCCAGGCAAAATTGTTGTTCAAACACTTCCACTTGCTAATGTTTAATTTAAAATTTCAAAGTGAATGAATTCATCGATATGTTAAATTTCCAGTTTTATTGTCACTGATTCGATCTGATAATTTTAATTCATTATATTCATTCATTAATTTTGAAAGTGCACTGTGAGTCTATGAAATTTTAATACATAAACGTTTTTTATCATTAAACAGAGTTCCAATAAAATTAGATTTCATTAATTGTCATTTTGTCTGCTCTTCTTCTTCTTCACCTTTTCCTCAGGGGCCGATGGGTTTGTCCCTGCATAAAATTCCTTTAGAAGGTTTATTGCTTCATCTGCTCGCACATTGCCGATTGTCCGTGGCTTTGGACATGGACACGTCACTTCCATTGCGTCCAGCACAGTTCCCATCCCTCCGAAGCGTGGATTGGAACAACCAAAAACTACTTGTCCGATTCCGAGCATCTTCAGTGCCGCCGAACACATGATGCAAGGCTCGACTGTGACATAGAGACTGACTTGACCCCAGTCAATGTCCGGTGTCTTCAAAAGAATTTTATCTATGCATTTGATTTCCGCGTGCGCCTCACCGGTCAACCTGTTGTTTGTCGCATTCCTTCCCTCGCAAATTATGTTTTCATCCAAGACGAAAACACAGCCTACAGGAACTTCTCCCTCGGCTAGAGCTAGTCTAGCTTGCACGAAGGCTTTTTCCATGAAAAAATCCTCCTGGCTGGAAGATCTTTTTGCAGGGGGCGGAGAATCTTGATGGGAAGCATCATTTGCTGAATCAATTTTTTCGTTCATCTCGTCTGGAGAAAATGTAGTTATTATTAATAATTATGTATGTATACATGAATATAAATTGGATAAAATTTTATTGTTGTCACATAATTTGATAATTATGTATAATATTATTTATTATATTTACCAAAAAGTCTTCAAAATAATTACATATTCACAAGAGCAGCTAAATTTCACAACAAAATACTATTTTTTTCTCCTAGATCGTGTTTGATAGAAACGGGGCGTGGAGAGGACAAAAGGGAAGTAAAAAAGATAAAATTTGATGTGGCGCCATGACAGTTTTGTTGTGCTCAAGATTAATATGAATGAGTTGGTAGCAATGATGGCACCTCGCCTACCCTTTCGCATCTCGTGTAGGCGATTCACATCTTCTGTTTACAAATATTACAAATCAAATGTCAGCTGTCAACTTCTTGTTAAACTGTTATTAAATATTTAACTCTTCACGGTTTGCTAATTATTTTCAGGTAATCTGTGAATGCATAATTTAAAAACGGATTATTATAATTCATAAAAAATCTTTGGTCGTCCCTGATAATGTTTTGTTATAGTTTTCTGGATCGGCAATTATAAAAATGAAAATTTACAATCTCTACATATTCAATAACTCTGGAACCCTTTTGCATTATGCAGAATGGAATCGGACAAAACAGTCGGGTATAACAAGAGAACACGTAAGACTTGATTTTAAGTTAATGCAGTTTTAAATAACAATTATTTATCACACTTTCCAGGAAGCAAAGCTGATGTATGGAATGTTATTCTCTATCAAATCTTTTGTGGCAAAGATGTCATTGACCGACACCAAGGACGGTTTCTTGTGCTACAGAACCAACAAATATGCTCTGCACTTCTATGAAACCCCGACTGGCAACAAATTTGTGTTGAACACGGACGCCACAGCCGGAAGAATGACTGATTTCCTGAAAAATTTGAACTCTCAGGCTAGTATACAACAAAAGAATAAAGTCAAAACTGAATTTTTCTTACTTAAATTTTCCTGTGACAGATTTTTGTTGAATATGTGGTGAAGAACCCTACAATAGATCTGAAGCAGCCGATTAAAAGCGACCTGTTTTCTGCCAAGTTGGACGCCTTCATTAAAAGTTCACCATTGTATGTGAGTTGAAGAATGATCACGCAGGGCTGTTAATATGAATTTTGTTAAATAATTTAATTATTGATACTCATTAAATCAACTTTATTTTATTCATTAAAATGTATTTAAAATAAATTGTCAATTAAGTGCTTAACTTTTGAGTTTGTAAATTAACATTGTTCGTGAGTATTTAAAAAAAAAAAACCTTTGCTATTTCAGTCAGTCAGCAACGTTTTCCTACTTTCTTGGCTGAATTTTGATGTAGGTTTTTATCGGACTCGAGAGTTTGAGTTTCTTGGAGGACTTTTTGTCGCTGCGTCCAGACCGTTTGATTCGAGCTTTTGGCTTGCTCAACGGACTAATAACTGGTGCATTTTGGGGACTGAGTGCTGTCAACCAATTAGTGTGACTCTTTGGCAGTCTGGGGGAACAATGGTGAACCACTGACTCGGGATGGTGCACATACGACGGGAAAGGTTTCAGCAATTTGTTTGGCATCATTTGCAAAGGTCCGCAATTTCTAAACTGAGACGAGGCACTTTTTGAAAAGAACAAAGGATGCAAAATTTCAGTTCTTCCTTCGATCGGATTTTCAACATCTGCCTTGTCGAACTCATGCGACGGTCGCCACACCCGATGAGTATTGTCGTCACTCAAACTGAGCAGCTAGAAATATATTTTAAGTAATTTGTGCCAATTTTTGCAATCTTAAATTTTACCATTGGCTGGTTGTCAACAAATCCCCACTGGACGCAAGTGACCTCCTTTTCGTGACCAACAAGTCTGGCCAACGGATGCGCAATTGGATACTTCTCGTCACTGTCAGTTCTGCTCCTACCCAATTTTGTTGACCACAAGTAAATGCTTCCGTCAAACGATCCCGACGCCAAATAGTCACCACAGTCACTTAAACTAGCGTGCATGTACGAACTGTAGGCCGAATTCGTATCATGCCCAACAAATTTGCAAACTGAAACACAATTATATTAATTTTTTTTTTAATATTCCCGTAAATTTAATATACTTGGAGTCTTATTGAATGTTCCTGCGTTGAAACAAAAAATTGAGTGATTAGTGCAGCTCGCGTAAAGTAGGTTGTGCTTGATGTTGAGGCTCGTCACAGTGGCCCCGACGTCAAAAACATGCAGAGGGGCAGGCTGTTTTAAAGCACTCTTTAAGTAGGTCCTTCTCAGATCCCAAACTTTGACAGTCCTAGTTAAAATTTGTATTAATTAATTAATTTCATAATTTTTTAAATGAAAATTTACCCATCAGTGTAACCACCAGAAATCAAAGTGTTGGAATCGTAAAGCGCAAGAGCGGTGACACTCTTGTTGTTTGCCTTCACAGTTGCTGGTCCTCTGGCTGCAATCCAAATACTTATTGAAATTCAAGTTATGAAACTAAATTTATTACTTCTGCTAGGCACTGTGTGGGCGCTGACAATCACATTGGCAGCTTTGTAACTTCTTTCGTCGTAAATGACGATATTGCCGTCTCTACCGGACGAAGCCAGAAATCCTGAAATTGTTTCATTAAATTATTCAATTTACTTTTTTCTTCAGTGGTAATATTACCAGGATGATCTACATGAGTGCAAAGCGCTCGAATGGATTGTTGGTGATCGGTGAGAATGTGATGCTGCAGAGGATCGTCAAAATGAGTAACTTTTACCGTCTTGTCTCCGGAAGCTGTTGCGATGCACAAGACTCCACTACGCGACTTCATCCAGGCCACATCAAAAATGGCATTATCATGCATCCGAATGCCTGTGGGTTTTTAATTATATTATAAACAAAATCTCGGTACAACTGCCTCTTGTTTACCTTCGTTCATTGCATCAAATTCAGGCATGTGCTTCTTGTCAACAAAGTCAAAGTAGATGTAGCCTAGCTCGTCTGCAATGGCATACAGACCGCCCAATCGGTCGTACGGACAAAACCTGCCGACGAGGCACTCACTGTCCGCATCTTCAATGTCCAAATCAGGCGGCTGCCTTTTCCGGATGTCATTCTTGTAATTCACTAGTCGAGGAATGCAGAAGTCTCGATTCTTTACAAAGCCTAAAAATGAAAATCAACAATGAAAAATAAATATAATATTAAAAATTTAATATTGTTACAGTTAAAAAAATGTAAACATCGCTGCAAAAGAGTTTAGGAAAACTGATGTTTATTGATATTAATATTTTCTGCGTCTCTTTTTTTCTGGAACGAAATTTTACCTCGACCAGACGATCTTCTCTCCAAATTGCGAAGAAGTTCCATTTTGAGAAGTTCCCTAAGTTTTCCACTCATAAAATGTATTGCTACATAATTTATTATTTAATTGAAGTTTTTAGATCACAGCACCAACATCGCGCCAGCTGCAGTCATCTGGTTGTTGTGCTCTGTTCCCGCGTCTTGCGCTTTCAGTGGAAGGGCAAATACGGGCAAATAGCAAAGTTGAACACGAATGCTCCTTGCACAAGGTTCTGTTCTGTGCGCATAGCAATTTTTGATCCGTTTGGAATTTGGAACCTCCTTGCAAACACCTTCAACTTTCAGAACCTCTGTTGCTCCTCTTCCTCTTGATTTGTCGTTGCTCGTCGTTTCCGGTCTCGTGTTTCGTTAATATTTGATAATTTTTGCGATTTAATCAAGGTTTAACTTCTTTCCTTTGTCTAATTGTTCCCTCTGTTTGTGCGCGGAATCAACGGCTTAAACAACATTATCACCATTATGGCGTAAGTATTAAAGTTAACTAATAATTAAGTACCAATAAAAATATGTTTTGCTCCAATCAACTTATTTATTATGTATCATAAGTTATTTACAAAACAGTTATTGCCCTCGAAAATGAAGCCCTCTTTGTTTATCACAGGCCTTGCATGCACGCTTGCTTAGTCTTACAATTAGTGTATAATAAAATGCAGCTTCATAGTAATTTTATTTTAGTCTTGGAATAATGTATGTGACACTTAAAGTTTAATTAACTGCCGCGCTACAAAAGGAATAAAATGAAAATAACATGTCAATTGACCTCCTCATTTAATTTTATTGAAAAAACTACAAACCACAACGATCAAGTTAATGTACACACAAGTGTATGAAACTGCGGGAATATTGCCCTAAGAAAACAACAATAATCGACATATTTTGCCCTTCTGGCGCAAAAGATCTGCATTTTTTTTTAAACCTTCTTGCTTGCGCTTGCCTCATCTAAGCTCTCTAATAATCCTTGCAATTAATATTGTGTAATTATGATTCGGGTCTTGTCGACGAGCAGGTTAAGAGTATGGAAAGCGTCATATAAGTGAACAGCTGGCCAGTTTGAAAGCTGAATTGGTCGATCTAAATGAGAAAGAAGTCCAAAACAAAGTAATGGAGTGCCAGGATCATATTTCAGTAAAGCTTGGAACAGCGGTTATCAGAATTCAACTTTCCTGTCGGAATTGCCCTATCATAATTTTTGTATTCTGATAGGCAGCGCATCGGTCATCAAAATATTTCTATCGGAATCCACTAGCGACAGTGGTGACACCTTTCCGTTGCCCCTTGCGCCCTTAGCAATAATCCCTAGTCAGTTGTCAGTTCGTTTGCAAATTTAATTTTTTTATTAAATTTTTTATTTTGATTTGACTGTCAAAAAAAAAATTATTCTAATAAAAATCAATTTAATAAAAAAATAGTTAGTTACAATACAGTATTTATGCGATTCAAACACTCGATGTAATTTTGAAATTTGAATATTTCAAAAAATTTTATTAATTTTCTTAAATTAATTCAAAAAGAAATTTTATTCTTTAATATTAATGCATTCTCAATTGCTTTCCAGTTTAATATTGTGGATACCCTGATTCCCAATATTTAATAGAATATCCAACTATATAATTATCAAACTTTAATTAAAATATTGAATAGTTTTCAAATAAAAATTAGCAATGAGCAGCTTTCCACACAAACATCTATATAATTCTAGTGAAACTAGATTGCTTTTGTTAAAAAATAATTTCAAAACGACTAATTATGCACTTTTACCTATTAAGTCTTTTCCTTATTGCCCCGTCTGATATCAAATTTTGTGTAATTTATTTTCTAAAAAAAATAATAACTTAATATGGAGGGCGTTGTTTATTTTCTTTTAGCGCGAGATTTAAAACTAAATACCTTGAATATGATTGGTTGAAAAGTCTATCAGAATTTATTCCTGTCAGAAAAGTTTGGCTCGGCCAAACTCTATCAGAATGCTTGAGTTGGACATAATTCTGATAGTTACGCCCCCCTATCAGAATTATTCTGACAGAAAAGTGGAATTCTGATAACCGCTGTTCCCTGCTTAAGTGCTATGTCTGAAAAAGAGTAAGCATAGCACTTTTCTATTGGCATCAATTTGGGTCTCCCGCCAAGGCGCAGCGCAGCGCGTTTACCTTTTGTTTTTGGGTTAATAAAGGTAGTAGAGAACAAGCAAGTAAACTCGAAACAAGCCAAGTTTTATTCAAGTGAAAAGGTGCCCTTATTTAGGTTACGCAAGCCAAAAGAACCTAAAAAGCAAGCATAATGAGAAGAATAAGTTGTGTAGATTATATTTAGGTAATGAGTTAAGAGTTATTTCAAGTGGCGACGAGGATGAGAACCAACTAAGTCTGTCCAGAGGGATAGATTCCATGCCAGAGTTCAGCAACCTGGAGAGCCAGCCATAGAGTTTATTACGGAGTTGTCAATTATATAGAACATTCTACAAAAAGAAATTTCATATATCTTATAATTAACATTAATCATTAATCCTCAATAAATTCCAGAAATGATTGAAAAGTTTGCTTGATGATGATCGGAAGGTCCAGGAGGAACTTTCTAAAAAAATCTCGTCGCTGATGGACAATGTGGAGGCCCACAATAAAGACTTGGGGCTAGATGTCAATATTGACTTTGATAAGCTTACCCTCCGTGCGGCTATAAATGACCTAGAAAAGTTGCTGGAAAGCACAAAAATGGAGCTTCAAAGCCGACGTGACATAAAGGTCAAACTGGAGGCTGAGGTAAGGATGGAAAGAGAAGTTTTGAGCATAAACATTTTCACGGTGTATTGAAATTTTGCAGGAGACAAGTATATCCCAGCAGTTGGGCCAAGATGTGGCCAAACCAGCATCAGCCAAGGCCCTCTCGGACCCAGTTCTGAGAGAAATCCGTGAAAGAGTTGAAAAACTGAAGGAGCACAGGGTGAATACAACTCAAAGAAATTATTATATTTTTAATTTATTTTTAAATTATTTTTTCTATCTTACTACTTAACTAATTACAATTTATTTTATTAGAATTAAAGCTACTTTGATTAATCCAAGCACAAATAATTATTTAATTCAATTTAACGCAGGATACTTAACTTCTAACTCTCCAAAAGACACGCCGTGAAATAATTGATTTCTTCTACGAGTTGGAAGTGCAGCCAACCAGTCCATTGGAACTCCTAGTCACTGGGCCTACTACTGAAAATATTCCTCTCTGGATCCTCTCTAATTGGCTAATGTAGCTGTAAAAGTTTTATTTTTATCCGCAAATTTCAGACTAATTTCTCTTTTTGTTTTTATTTCAAGGCTCTTGCATTCTAGCCTTGCTGATCGGGTTAAAAGATTGTCTGAGGAGACAGAGCAACTCCGGACAGAATTGTCTTGTGGGAAAAAACTTCAAGTTTCCCCTGATGAACGAGCCAATTTCTCCGACAGATACACTGGCATTAGGACGAAAACCAGGCAAGAGGTAGGTCTTTTGTATGATTTTTCAATTGTGCTTTATGCTAAAAAACACTTGCATCAATTTTAAAATACATTTTTGTTAAATTTTTAGTTACATGACAAAATTGTCTACTGCAAGGAACTCGTAAAGCAGCTGACCAAAGAAACCACTCTATCAATGAGAGACAAGCTGGTCAACCTCTGGGACAAATGTCATGTTCTTGAAGAGGAGTGAAGATCCTTTGCGGCATTCAAGAGTGTTGACTTCTCGGAGGAATTGCTCGAACAGCACAAGGCTGAAGTCAATCGATACGAAGCCTTTTATCAAGAAAACCTGGATGTGTTCAACCTTCTTTCACGCAGGGATGAGATTTTTGAAAAAATGGATAAGCTTGAAATGGATGCCCTCAACTCGAATAGGTTGAACAACCGAGGTGGCCAGCTGCTGAAAGAAGAGAAAGAGAGAAAAACAATTGGAAAAGTTTGTGTTTGAGTTTAAAATGTTTTAATAAATAATTATTTTTTACAATTTCTTGTGTAGAACTACCTGAGATTGAGAAAGCCTTGAAATGTACCAGGGTGCAGGTCAACGGCGAACCAGTGATGATAAACAATTGCCCAGCCTTAAGAAGGTTGAGGACGAACTCTCTTCCAAACTATTGCAACTAACTGATGGACGATGTGGAAATGTACAACAATGACTTGGGGCTGGACATTAAAATTGACTTCAATGGCATAACTCTCCGTGCGGCCAAAACTGAGCTGGAAAATCTTCTCCAGAACACGAAGTTGACTCATAAGAGTTGACTTGATGAGAAGATGCAGCTGGAGACACAGTGAGGATGGGAAGAAAAGTTTTGAGCCACAACATTTTGCAGGAGGCCCTTATTTGCAAAGAGCTGGGAAGAGCTGATGTTGTGTCCACACCTGCACCAGACAAACCACTACTATCAGACACAGTTCTGGCAGGCCTCAGAGATAGAATTGAAATACTGAAGCAGGACAAGGTGATTACGACACCAATTTGGATATTATTAATTGATTTAAAATATTTTTTTCTATCTTCTTTAATAATTCTAAATGCAAATAATTATTTGATCAATTTAACATAGGAAACCAAACGTCAAGAGTTTGAAGAAAAAAGACGTGACTTCTCTGAGTTGGAAGTGCGGCCAAACACTGAGTTTGAAATCTAAGTCACTGGGCCAACACCTGACAATTTTCCTCTGGATCCTCAATCAATGGCTAACGTGGCTGTAAGTTTGATTTTTCTCCACAAATTTCAAACTCGATTCTCATTTTGTTTATATTTTAAGGCATTGCATTCAAACCTTGCTGACAGCGTCAAGCAGTTGTCCGACGAAACAGAGCTACTTCGCACAGAGCTGTATCATTTGTGGGACAAAGTTCAAGTCTCCCATGATGAACGAGCTAAGTTCTTGGACACATACCCTGGCATTAAGACAAAAACCAAGCAAGAGGTAGGTCTTTTGTGTGATAAGTCTTTTTTAATTGTGCTTTATGCTGAAAGGACTTGCATCAATTTTAAAATATATTTCTTTAACTTTTTCAGATTTGCAAGGAAATTGATCGCTGCCAGGAACTCCATAAGCAGCAGGTGACAGCAGCCACACAGGACCTGAGAGGAAAGCTGTTTGACCTTTGGGACAAATGCTATGTTCGTGATGAGGAGAGGGGAGCATTTGCTGCGTTCAAGAGCGTGGACTTCACAGAAAAAGTGCTTCAAGAACACAAAACAGAAGTGGAGCAATACGAAGCGTATCATCAGGAAATCCAAGAGGTTTTCAACCTTCTCTCCCGCAGGGACGAGCTCTATGAACGATTGTATGAACTTGAGATGGCTGCACTTGACTCGAACAGGCTGAACAACCGTGGTGGCCACCTGTTGAAAGATGAGAAGGAGAAAAAAGCCATTGAGAAGGTTTGTGTTTGAGTTTAAAATATTTTTTTAAATAATTATTTTTTACAATTTCTCTTGAAGGAAATACCTGTGATTGAAAAAAGTTTGAAAGATGCTAGGTTGCAGGTCAACGGAGAGCTTTTAACTATCAACCATCGCCCAGTCTTAGACATCATCAACGAACAGTGGGAGTCCAAGAGGCAGCTCAAGGAGGCTGAAAAGAAGAGCAAGGTATAATTAAAATGAATTAATCAAAAATAAATTCTTAATCATCACACATAATCACACATTATAGTTAAGTGAAGCAGGGAAAAAAGATAGCTGCAAATTCCTCCTGCCTAAAATTCCAAGTCACCACGAATGAATGAAAATTAAGCAGCCACATCAGAGGAAAGGGCTCCATTGTAATTTTTAAAATGTCTTGTGTATAATTCAATAATTATTAAACTTGTAAATGAAGTTCAATTAATATGATGATCTCGTCAGATCTCGTCAAATTTCTGAAGACTTGTAAATTAAGTGATTGTGATATATTTCAGAGCTGTTGATTTATTGTCAATTTTTGAACTCTGGAGTTAAAACAGGTCTTTTACAATTTTCAAGTGGGTCACAAAATATCAAGCAAGCGGAGAACGCCCTTTATTTCTTTGCCAAAATTTTCACTCCATTTTTATAAATTGAGCTAATTTGATTGGGCCATTTTTAGAAGAATACCCTCCTTTATAAATTTATCACACCTACATTCCAACCGTTGTGCAGAGGTGAAAATGACTGAATCTCTTTAAATACTTTGATTGAAACAATACATTTTATTAAATATAACCATGTAATCTTTGGATTTACATTTAATGTCATTGAGAATAAAATAAAAGAAGACAATCTTTGAAAAATACACGGTTTGTATTTGTTATATGTAAACCATTACCAAACAATACAAATAGTTGTAATTTAAATAGATAAACCAGTACAGGAATTATCAATTTTGTAAAAGGTATGTAAACCTCGAGCAGGCAAGTTTGGCGCCTTGCGTCACCTCCCGAACACAAGGGATCGATTCCCCGTAATAATGTTTTATTTAAATTTATTATAAAGGCTTCTGAACAATTAATCTCCTACCTTTTTATGATTGATGACAACAAATCCCATTCTTGTTGCCAGAACAAACAGCCCTTTCAAGTTCAATGACCTTCTGAACCCTCTTCTCAATTAAGTCTGTTTGGCCTTAAGCAACTTCTCTCGCTCTTCGGCACTCTTGTGAAAGAACCGTGAGGCAACCTCACTAAAATCAATGAATTTGAAAATTAATTTAAAAAATTATCCCAGATTGTATCCAATTGAGGATTATTTTTTATGCAACATAACAGATATGGAATCATGTGGTCCATGCATGTGTAAATATTTTAAATCATTTAAACTTTCAATAAAATTTTCTTTACCTCGTTTCGTGCTCCATAGACGTGGTCCGGTGGTGCCTTGCACCGTGGTCCATTACAATTCCCTTGAACCGAATTTGTGTCCATCTCAGTTTTGAGCTAAATCTCCCATGATTTCAACCATGTGAAGGTCAAGAGGGCGGTCTTTGCTGGTAAATGCTCAAATCTCCATCGACGCAAGCTTCGAAGATTAGATTTTTGATTTTTTTTTTTTAACAATCTTAACATAAAAAACTTTCCTCACGCAAAAATTTGTATTTACCTCGCTACTTTAAAGCTGATCTGCCAGACTGGAGTGTAGTTTAGTTCTGAGGACAGTTCTAGAGACCCCCGAGAGGCCTTCCTTGGTGATTTCGACAGGAATTTCGACGCTGTCCAAAATCTCCATGGCCTTCTTGCGGGCCTCGTCGAAGCCTTCTTCGGCAATGACGCAAGGGTGCAGACCTTCCGAGGAAAAAACGTCAGCCTGCTTGAGCAGCTCTCCAATGACAAGCACAGTGCCATCGCCGGTCATGTCATCCTGGGCCGTCGACGCCCTGGCAAAATTAGCGAAGCTGTCGAGTGTTGGATTTGCTGAAATGAGAATTGAAATTTGTTTAATCAATAAAAAGGGAAAACATTTTATATTATTTAAGATTGAAACTACGAGTTAGTGCTTGGTTTAAATGCAAACATTGCAGATTTAGATAAAAAAATATGCAAAATCAGAAAATATCGGGTCAAAATTGGTATGGGCGTGTTTGACAACTTTGGGTTATTATTTAGGATAATATAAATATGTATTATAAGAGACTTTTCTCGCTAAAAAGTTTGAAACACGAGAAATACTGCCAAATATAAATAGTCAAATGACAGTATTAAATAAATATAGAATTTAGAAATAATGTGAACAACAACCTTCTCATTTTCCAACATTTTTGAGGCAAATTTAATTTTTGGTCCTTTTATCAGATTCCTGTCTCGCTACTCCTGAATCAATGCGACCTAATTGTGTATGTTTCCTGTTTCCATTTGGCTGCATTTGGATTTTACGTACACGAATTTTCTAAAAACAACCAAGAACCAAATTTTAGAGACTAATGTTTTCGAGTTGCGCCGGTTTGTTTATTTACATCGATTTCCCCCTCTCCCTCCCACCCTCCTGTCAACTTTGTTTGGTTGGCGCACACCATCTTTCTTGCCATCTTTGGCCTGAAAGCTGCCAACCTGCCCAGTTGCCCACCCCAGGCCCACCCGAGATCCGAGGTTGTTGTTTTGATTTTGAACGTCGACCTACACGTCAGGGATCTTTTCGGCGGACAGTAGTTTTTGCCTAACAGCAAACGGAACAGGCCGGAAAGATGGTTTTGAGTTGCGAATCTTTGAAGAAGAAAATAGCAAAGGAACTCAATGCATCACACGTGGTAAGATTCTTTGAAAAATCGACCAAACAGGCCGTGTTAAATTATTATTGTCAAAAATTTATGACATCATGACGATTATCATGATGTTCAGTTTTAATTATTAATTTTAACATTTAGCTGTTTATGTTTTTTATATAATAAATATCCAAATTTTCTAGGGTTTTAAAATATTTTAATTTAATTATTTTTCCACTTTTATTTAATATGTATTGTTAATCTAATATAAGTAAACAATTTTATTGAAGACGTTTGAATAGCACTAGATCAGATAAAAAATTTAATTGATGTTTACATAAAAAGTTGAGAGAGAAGAGCTCAGAAAATATTATTATAAATGCTCAACAATTAGCATTCACATCTGAACTTAAATAAATAAATAATAAATTATAAACTTGAAAAAAAAAATCGATGAAAAATGTCCAGCAGTATGCTTCAATAAAAAAAAATATTCTCTTTATTTTAATTATTTCGCAATTTTCAAAGCTTAAATTTTAACAAAAAAAAAAAAAAAACTAATTTTGAAATGCAATTCTTTCCAACAAAATTGAAAGCAAATTGAACATTTTCTCAGGAAAAAATTACCTTATTTTTGTTGATTCAAAATGTAATGAAAATGTAAGGGAATAGTTTGTTAATTATAGAAATTTCAAATCTCGTTGAATGGTGAAAAATGAAATGAATTTGAATGGAGAAAATATGTCAGGTGGCCGGTGCCTCTCGACGGTCGGAGAGCAGCGTCCTGAGGGGCTTTTCCCTTCTGATGGTGGTGGTGGGCCTCGTGGTGCGATGGACCGTGGCCGTGGGTCCGCACTCGGGACAAAACCGACCGCCCCTCTTCGGCGACTACGAGGCCCAGCGCCACTGGCAGGAGGTCACCGTCAACCTGCCGCTGACCCAGTGGTACACCAACTCAAGCGCCAACGACCTCGAGTACTGGGGCCTCGACTACCCCCCGCTCACCGCCTACCACAGTTGGGCCCTGGGGAGGGTGGCGCGGGTCGTGCAGCCGCGGTTCGTTGACCTCCACACGTCGAGGGGCGTCGAGGACGACGAGCACCGACTCTTCATGAGGGCCTCCGTCCTGCTGGCCGAGCTGGCCTTTCACCTGCCGCCTTTGGTCCTGTACCTGAAGGAACTGAAGGTTCGATCTGTTTATTGCCACGACGGCCCCTGACGACCTTCTTCTTTGACCTTTGCAGACCAACCCCGTGCTGGCGGTTTTGTACCCTGGCCTGATCTTGGTCGACCACGGCCACTTCCAGTACAACTGCGTCTCCCTCGGCCTGACCCTGGCCGCCGTCGTGGCCCTCAAGAGACGCAGGCTTTTGCTCGGCAGCTTCTTCTTCAGCCTCGCCGTCAATTACAAGCAGATGAGCCTGTACCACTCGCTGCCCTTCTTCAGCTACCTGCTCGGCCTGTGTTTGCGACAACCCTCGTGGTCCGCCTCGATTTCCAAGCTTTTGAAAATTGCCACCACCGTCGTGCTGACCTTTGGCCTTGTTTGGGCACCCTTCTTTTTCCCTAACCCTGCGAATGCGTTGCAGGTAATTGGATAAATTTTAATTTGTACTAAAGATTATTTATATGTGAAAATGAAAGAAAAATTTGAAGTCGACTAAAAAGGAAAAAAATGGTTTATGGGTCAATATTTTTTTTTTTTTTTTTTTAATTTCTCATAATTTAAATCCTCTACTAAATAATAATAAATTCTCACAAAAGGGTAACTTTTTTTATATTTTATGTCAAAATGCAAAATCTTTTTTGCATTTACACACAAAATATAAAAAATTTACCTTTCTTTTTTTCAAAAAGTATTAAAATGTTATGTTGAAAATCAAATTGCCCATTCACACAAATCTTTTATTAATAATTTTTTGAGCACACACAAAATTAGTATCATCAGTGATGAATAATTGATAATTATTACTTGAATTTTGTCCTTGCAGGTGTTGCACAGAATATTCCCAGTCGCTCGAGGCCTGTACGAAGACAAAGTGTCGTCATTTTGGTGCGCAATCTCCGTAGTGGTCAAAGTTCAGCAAATCCTGCCTCGCACTTGGCTGACCATTCTGTGCCTTGTGACGACCTTGGTGTCGGTGTTGCCGTCCAATTTGAAACTTCTGCGCAAGCCGAACACCAAAAACCTGGTGCTGAGCCTGTTCATCTCCTCGCTGGGCTTCTTCTTATTTTCCTACCACGTCCACGAAAAGTCCATCTTGCTGCCCGCGATGGCCGCAATGCTGATGCTGCCGCACCACCCCATAATGGCGACCTGGTTTTTGGCAACTTCCACCTACTCGCTGCTCCCTTTGATGGTCAAAGACGACTTAGTCCTGCCCTGGCTGTCCCTTCTCTCCCTTTTCCTGGCCATCGGAGCCCAAATGATGCCACCTCTGAACTCTGGCCTTTTAAAATGGGCCTTGCGCGCCTCGCTCGGCGCAAGTGTGATTTTGGTTGTGGCGCAAGCCCTTGTTACGGCTCCAGTCAGATATCCGCACCTTTTCCCGCAATTGAACTCGATCTTCTGCTGCGGACACTTTCTTGTTTTTCTTGCATACGCCTACTGGCTCCAGTTTAGAACAGAAGTCAAGCAGCATGCAAATTAAATTAATCAATGATATTGAAATTTTTGTGATTCACTGTGCTTTTATTCTAAAAACAAATTATCTTGATAAAATTTCAACAGATGTTAATTTAAATATATCATTTGTAATGCCTGTTGTAAAAAACTAATCAATTGATTAGTAAACTTGTTGATTGTCCTGTAAAATAATAAAAATATGTGATTTGTAAGAAAATATAAAAAATTAAATAATTTAATTAAAATTTTTGTCTTTTAATTGGTTTTAAACAATTGCTTATAAAATTTATTTCAAGTTTCACAGGAAATGAAATTTTAAGGAAAACATAAGCTAGGTTTAATACTAAATGATAGGACAAAATAAATAATTTATAAAAAAAAGCTTTTTTTCGGGAACTGCAAAATTTCCCTCTCGCCTTTTAATTTGAATTATTTGAATAGAATATAATTATGAATGCAGCAATAATTATGCCCTCTTGAGATTCGTTTACAATTTTAATAGAGTGGATGTGTGGAAAAAGCGCATTAGAAGCGTCAAAGCCAGGGATAATGTTAATGCTCGGAATTCTTTTTATGTTAAAGGAAGTGCATGACGACAGCGATGGATGCGGCCAGAAGTTCAGGGTGGTCGTTGTGTCCCCTTTGTTCGAGGGCAAGCCAATGCTCCAGTGTCACAAGTGAGTTAATTTATTTTGAATGGTTTATCAACGCTGCCGTCTCTTTTCAACTGCAGATTAGTGAACGCAGCGTTGAAAGAGGAGCTGCAGCAAATCCACGCCTTTTCACAGAAAACGTTCAGTCCGAGTCAATGGGAAAAAACTCAGAGTGCGACGTGCTCGGCGCCGGGCAAGGCAAGTCCTTAACAGATTGTGAAGCTAATAATAAAAGAGACGGTTCTGGGCTATTTACTAACTACGTGTTTCCTCCTTCTTTTCCTCAAAATCCTCAAATTTCAACCTCATTTAAGTGCAAATAATTTTAGGTGATTTTATTTGGAGAGCACTCGGTCGTGTATAAGAAAACTGCTGTGGCCGCGTGTGTGTCTAAACGAACCAAAGTATGCATTGCAACTCACCCTGAATGCGTTATTCTCATGGACATGCCAGAAGTTGGGCTAAACCAATTTAAAATTGAGCTGCCTGAAAATGAAAGCCTCTTGATGAGGTAATTTCATTATTCACTTAAATTTTAAATTACTTAAAAAAATGGTCCGAATCACAATTTTTTTCAGCACCGGAAAGCTGAATAATAGCTTGCTTGGCAGCTTGTTGGAGGATCCAGGAATAATAAATTTCGGCTCAGTGGACAGATCCAACAATGCTCTCATTAACAGACTAGACTGGTGGGCCAGTATGATTGAAAACGTAAAATTAAATATTTCTGCTGGAAATTTTGATTTATTTTAGATTTTTTAATTCTAGCATAGCAAGGTTAAATTTTCCGAGCAAGCTCTCTCCGTTTTGGCATATTTGCATTCCTTTCTCACGCCAAATGGAAAATTCAACCAAGGGTTGAGCGTCAAGGTGACCTCTGACATCAGGCCAGGTGCAGGTCTCGGCTCTTCAGCCGCCTACGCCGTTGCCCTGGCTGGAGCTTTCGGAAAACTGTTTGAAGCAAACCTGGACAACGCCAAAGTGAAGGAGCTGGCGTGGCAGGTAAAGACAAAGATCACTGGAATGACATTTAATTTCCTTTGTTGCAAATATAATATACTCCCCATAAAAACTTTTACGCGGCCATAAAAGAATGAATTTTATTAACAGGCTGAGCGACTTGTGCATGGAAAGCCATCTGGTTTGGACACGACGGTAGTGTGCGACGGAGAAAATGTCAGATTTCCGATTCTAGAGGGAGTGACATTGCCGCGACCGGCATGGCCTTTGAGAGTTTTGCTTGTCGATTCCGGCGTTGCTCGGAATACTAAGAAAATGGTTGAGATTGCTGCAGCCAAAATTCAAGAGATCGGAACCGGAATTCTCGACGAGATGGACAAAATTGCGATCGATGCAATTGATGCGCTTGCCTTGCCTCAGAGCCAAGGATATAAAATTATTGAGGTATAAAGCAAATTTTTTGTTAAAAAAAATTCTTTTAACGCGTGCTTTTTAGGTCCTGGTTGAGAAAAATCAAAAGTGTCTTGAGCAACTAGGGGTTTCGCACCCTGCTTTGGATTTGATTTGCAGCATTGCTGAAAAATTTGGTCTGAAAGCGAAAATTACTGGAGCAGGTGGCGGCGGAAATGCGTTTATTTTGCTCCCACCCGACATCACCACTGGCAAACTTCAGGAATTGCAGACTGACCTGGATTCCAATCATTTTATCAGCTTCGAAGTTGCCCTTTTCGGAGCAGGAATTGTTTACGAATGAGCGCCAAAAGTTTTTATAAAAATGCGCACAAGTATTGATATTATAACTGTTGATAAATATGAAAGAGGTTGAAGGATTTTCTCCTATTTTATGCTCTTGTGGTCATCATTATAAAATTCTGAAGCTTAAAAATAATTAATGGAAGAATTTGATCATTTTTTTAAATCAAATCTTCATTTTGTACTCTCTTCGTACCTCAAGAATTATTTTTAATATTGCTGATGGCTGCTAAAAACATTAATAATAAGTAAAAAAATTTAAGTTTGGTGCTGGGCATATCTGCATTTTTTATATTTTTAATTGGTTACCAATTATGTGTTGTCAATTTGATATTTTTCTCGAATAAATATTTTAATCAAACATAAAAACTTGCCTGTTGATATCGGATATTTTCCCTTTGACCTTAGAGCAATTTCCAATTCATATAATTTGTTCTGACACCTGACTCAATTCAAAGCTAGTAAAACTGCAAGATGAGGAGCGACTTTATTAAAATAAATCAATTCCGAGCAGTTTCAAATGACGTTTGACGCCGGAGCAAAAGTTTGCGCCGCGTTTGATAATCAAAAGAAAAAAAAAATTGCGACTCCCCCACTTTCAGGCTCTAGCTAATTTATTAAAGCTACGCCAGAAAATACTATATTGATTCTTATTTGCATTGATATTAATTTTGCCGAGCAGAGCGTGCGGTTTTTGCGGTCATCACGACCATGTACATGCCCAAGCAAGGTGGAGGAGCCCCCTTTTCAGCCCTGCCCGTGGATCAGCGGCGGCGGCGGCGGAGTTGTGCGCAAGTTTGGCGTCAGATTGTTTTTTGCGGTGGAGCGAGAGCGCGAGCGAGTCGCACTTCTGATATGTGATTTCTATTCGATGGAGCTGCAGACGCCGGAGGAAGCGGTGCACGCAGCGACCAGGTCCCAAGTGCCCATTTCCACGCTCGACGACGGCTATGGCTCCTCCAGCAGTTCACCCCACAACACAACAGGTACCCAAACCCCAATTTCCGCTCCGCAGCACCACACTCTCATCTGCCTTGTGCAATTCTAGTCGGCAGCTCAGTCGCGGCGGCTGCCAATTTTAACCGAACCAGACTTGAAAGTAAGAATTTTAAAACTTTTCGATCATTTTCAAATGTTCCTGTGCGCAAAAATTGCTTTTCAAATTTATAAATGGGATTGGAAAGAACTTAAAATTTTGGTATGAAATTGACAAATAAAGGTATCATTTTTTCATTGAATTTGAATTCATATATTTACTTAAAACGTTTTCATCAATTTGACAGGCAAATATAAAATTTTTTAAATTTAGCTTCACAAATTTTGGAAATTAAGCGAAAAAATTGGTTAAAGATGAACGCAAATATCATGAATTCTCTATTGTATCTTAGGTCATTTCAAGAATCACCAAAATTCATTGTTGCGAAATAATTTGCCACAATATATTTTGACATCCATTGAATTAAACTCCCGCTCTAGATGAAGCAATATAATTGAAAAATGCGTCACCTGATTTTTTTCCACGGCATAAAATTATGTCATTCGCTCTTGGGGCAGAGTGAAAAAAAATATATTGCTCGTTCGCCCGTGCCTGTTCCACCTGTCATTCTTTTGTGGTCACGGCAGCTGTCGCGTCTGGATCGACTGGCTCACAGCGGTTGGCAGCTAGCGGCAGCAATATAATTGGGACAAAAATTGGCAATAAGGATGTGTCGAAAATCGATGCCAACACCGTCTCTACCGACGGATATTTGATGTCGATGCAATATCAAGTGGTGCGACGAGGTGTTGCTTAGAAAGCTTCGGTTGTTTCAGGCTCTGGCATGCTTTAATATGGATGTCTGAGACGATTTTCTGTATAAAATTAAATTAATAATTTTCTTGTTTTTTCAATAATGCAATCAACATTTAATCAATGAAAACTATCGGTATATTTGAGAAAATAATTTTTATGTGGTCCGGTAATGACTTTATTGCTAAATGTGCTTCAGAAGGCAATAAATGTCGTTCGGAAGATTCCACAAAACAGGACTTGAGCTGAAAACTTTGGTGATTTGACCATTCCTGTTTTCTTATTACTTTTCGCAAACGAGCCTCAAGGCAATCCTGAGGGCTGCGGACGCAATTTCTGATCCACTACAAATCTTATCTGCTGCAGATTACACGCTAAGTGATTTTTCTTTTTCGAGCCTCTAAGCACAATTCACTTCTTCCTGATTGCCCACTGAGTTGGGAGACCGCTTCGTCCGTTCGGTGAGACACGTCGTCATTAACTTGAAGCAAAATCGATTTTCCTCTTATCTCTCGTTTTTTATTTGGACTGACGGTATAATTGATCAAAGACGACAACTGACGAGAAAAAGCACAAATGCAAGACTAATTACCTTGAATGGGGAGCTGCAGCTCTAACGATCTCCATAGAACAGATAAATAGGCACGAATTTTTATTTTAATAATCTGGCTGTCAAATAAAAAATAGCTTAAATTGTGTGGCAGCGCAACTAGTTATATAGCAAAAGGTGGAAAAATAGGAGCTTGTTAATTTTGCTATGCAACTCGCTCGACACAAACTCTGCGCGGGTTGCATACTCATTATTTGTGGAGTCGAGTTCCCCATTGGGCAATAATTTTCCTTATCGCTCGCTGGGAATAGAGTAACGACTGAAAATATTGCTATTGAAAAACCGATAATTGCGCACGGAGGGTAGATAAAAACGGAACATTGAACATTTTTCAGCGAACACCGTAAATTTGCAAAGGAAGAGGAAGCGACGTGGATATTTTTACGATTTTATAATCTTTTATTTAGTGAAAAAGTTTCAACTTCTGAGGGGAGCGGCAGCAAAACTGCCGCAAGGTTTCGTATATTATACTTTCGATTGTGAGTTTGTTTTTATCTTTCTGGGTCATTATCAGCGTGATGAATAAATTGAAAGTTTTCAACACATTTGTATTGCAACGCTGCGAATTCTTAATTACAGCCCCCGTGGCAAAAATCCCTCTTTTAAGTGCGTAAAATTAGCTCTTACCGTGAGCGGCTATGCTAATTACGGCCATGAATAATTAAGCCGAAGCAGGCGACGTGTACATGTGAGGCAAACAACACGCCAAAAAGTTAGCAATGAAAAGTTGCTGCCGGGTGGCAGCGACGACGACGACGAGTGTTGCCGCATTTTTGTTTGCTCCGCGGCATTGATTTGCGGCGTGTGTCTTGTGTGTACAAAGCCACAAAAAAAGCACTGCTCGCTGTAATTATCGGAGGTAAAAACGAGAAAGAAAGAGAGAGGCGAGCAACATTTTCCGGCAAAGAGCACAAATATTCACACCAGCAAACACACCCAGAAAATATGATGTGCGCCGGAATAATTGTGTGTGTTCGCTCATTTGAAACTTTGCCGCCGCCAACAACGAGCTGCACAGGGAAAAATGCAAAATGTTCCATTAGCGAGCGCAGCCACTAATAGCTCTTCTGTACTTGAGCGAAGGCCTCAGCTTCTTGTCAATATGGAAATAATGAACTGTAATATCGGAAGACACATTTATAGTGCAAAGTTTTCCTCGTACTGCCTTTCCGCAAGTTGCACGTGCACATTTTTTAGGTCAAACCATGTCACGTTTAAAAGATAGGAATTTAAAAAATAATTAAATTTTCAAAAAAATTAAATAGAAGATTAAATTTAAAAATTAACGACAACAAAATGTTCTAATAATTCATAAAATTAGACTTTTTCGCCGTTACTGACAAATTTGTTTACAGAAAAATGGAAATAAGTTGTTTTGGATCAGTGTTATTCAAGATTTAACGCTTAATCATTAAGCGTTAAATCTTTCAATCTTGACTGTAAATAGAATTTTAAATGATTTATCAATCGCGGTGAAAGCGAATGAGCAGGGCAGACCACGTCGTGTCGGGGTTCGCACCACGGCTGGCGAAAGAATAAAGAATTTTCATTAAACTCAAAGTGCGAGACTTTTCACACACACACGGGCGCGCAGCAAATGACAATAGGCATTCCCTAGATTCCAGCGCCATCCTTCCATTTCATCTGGCAAGAATTCGGACGCGGAATGTCGTTTGGCCTAGTTTCGCCTTTCCTCTCTTGCGTGCAATTCCTCCCAAACACATTTCATCCGCCAATATGATGCACGCGTGATACAGAAAGCAGCCAAGATAAAATTAATAAACACTCTCTCTCTCTCTTTCGCACAAAACGACTGGATTTGGCCAAAGACTGGCGACGACGACCCGCCGTATTTATTTACTATCGATTTGGAAATTCCGTCGACGCGGGAATTGAGACGAAAATCAAACCATCCAATGCACTAAAAGCACCGGCTAATTTGCATATTGCTGAAAGCGGCAGATATTATTTTGTATATTGGATTGCCTCGTGATATTAAAAATGAGTATTAAATTACTTTAGTATAGCATTGAGGCCTGTTGCGGTTTCATTCCAGCATTCTTTGTTCCTTAATTTATTTTACGTTCTGCTATAAATACATCAATATGATACAATTTTGTATACATTGTTTGAGCTTATATCAAATATACAGTTTAAACCTTATGGAGCTCCAGATCAGAATGAAATCAAAATTAATGGAGTATAAATATTTTTATCAAATGGTTAGGATTTTAGAGTTTTGCATTGGATTTTAAATTCAAAGTTAATCTTAAGGCATTAAAGACAAAATAACATGAATATAAATATAGAAAAATAATTAAGTTTTAGTTTTTTTATCGAATCTTTTGACATTTTTTTTAACCAAGTTATTAGAATTCATTTTGAACATAATAAATCCCCACAGGTTTTTGTTTTGCTTTCTTCATTTAATTTGAATCAGCCTGGTTAAAACTTGAAAATATTTGTAGATTTTCAGTAATAATTAACAATTTTTTATCCATCTGAAGATATTGCACAGAAGCAAATAATTAAAAAATAGTGAACTTTGCTTAAATTTTTCAACACTGTTTATATCACCAATGATGACCATAAAAAAATTAATAATTTCGCAGAGTCCGGTGCATTGAAAAAAGCAGCAGTATTTGCCCTTTTTTTCCCTATTTCTTGCACATGACTGGAAGTAAATGGAATTATTTTTTATTTGCCCAGCCACGTTCCAGTACGGAGCAGGGCGGAGCAAACTTGGGAGGATGACTGCCCAGGAGGACGTGACGGTGCTGGAGGACAAAGAGTGCCCACCTAGCAAAAGTGAGTTTATGTCAAATACAGGTGTATATTGCCAAGTCACTAACCAAACATTGCGTGAATAAACCGGTGTATTTCGCAAGCCAACACGACCGCAGCCGCCGATATTTCCCGACGGCCGGCCGCAGCTTAAAAATAAATATATATAAAATGCCTCTCTCGACGTACAAAACGGTCAGCGGGGTCCAACAAATAACTCGCGCAACGGGCGTGAATATAATCCCGATAGGCGCCGGGGCTGGGAAAATATGTGAACGCGCGCGTCCGGACACACTGGAGCGAAAAAGTGGATTTCTGTTTTCATTTTCACACTTGCCATTCTGCGAGCGAAACTTTTGCTTCCGTGAACAAATGAGTCGGCCGCGGGCTTTGCTTTTAAGCTCATTTCGCAGCTTTCACTGAGTTTTTTTGACAGAAAATGCCAGAAAAATGGAAAAATAAAATGTTGGAAAATTAAATGAAAGGGAGTTCTCTTGTAATGTCAAAATATATTTTAATTAGAATAAGTTTAATCAAAAATTAGATTCAGTTAATTTAAGATCCAAGAAAAGAATATAATTAAAACAAAAGTATTTAGCATAGAATATAAATTATTTTTCAAATTCAAACAAATCAGCGATTTTGAATTTTGATCCCCCTCAACCTGCCAATTTTCATCAAAATCTGCTGGTACCCATTTAAAAAAGTGGCCTACAATAGTTGTAATTTTAATTTCCTTACAATCCCATTTTCTGACATTTGAGCAATTTTTTTGGTATAAAATGTCTGAAAAATAATTTTCTGACATTGCATATTCTGACCATTTTGAAATCGCGTTACTCACGGCGCGATGAGCAAAATTGCACATTTTGTTGTTTTCTGTTCATATAAATTTTCATTTTTCGCAGGACTGCTCGAGGTTCGCCAAGACGAGAGCGGCGGGGTCGAGACCAAAGTGGTCGCGGTCCACTCGAAACAACCACCAGACGACGACAACACCAGGGAGACATGGAGCTCGAATGCCGATTTCTTACTGTCCATCATTGGGTTCGCAGTCGACCTGGCCAATGTGTGGCGGTTTCCTTATCTCTGCTACCGCAACGGCGGAGGTGAGGGTCGATGTTTTTTTGCCTTTTCCTCACTACAGCACGCGCCCAATTCAATTGTGCATGTTTAATCATTCCATCTCGCGGTCCGCATCCGTACAAAAAGCAGGAGCCACTTTCCTGCGAGCCACACCAAGCGCTCTGGCGAACATTTTTACATACCAAATGCAGCCGATCGAGAGGCGGAATTAAATTAACATTTCTAAATTTTAAGCACAATAACAGGAAACGAAAAAATTTATTTGTGAATGTTTAAAACAAACTCATTTTTGGTTTGAAACTTTGTCTTTTATCAGAAGAAATTTTAATTAAGATGAAAGGTTTTAACCTTTTGCTGATAAAAGACCGATAATTTAATTAAAGATTTGGTTTCAAACTTTTTTCTGATAATAGAAAGAATTTCAAATTAAATTTTGTTATTCTTTAGCTCTTTATTAATATTATTTCACAAGAAATTCAAATTCATTTTTTATGTTTTAAGTTTTCTTAATATTAAACATATCAAAAATTTCATTTTTTTTTAGCCTTTTTCTTACTATTAGACAGAAATTTCAATTAAAATGAATTAGGTGCGTTCCTGATACCTTACACCCTTATGCTGGTGTTTGGGGCTGTGCCGCTGTTCTACATGGAGCTGATTCTTGGCCAGTTCAATCGGCAAGGGCCGATCAGCGTGTGGAAAATTTGCCCGCTCTTCAAAGGTTTGTGTTGAAATTTTTGTCTCGCTATCTTTTTTTCATAATTTAGTGAATTCGTAATTAAACAGGGGTGGGTCTGTGCGCCGTAATGGTGGCATTTTACGTGTCCTTCTATTACAACGTCATCATCGGTTGGGCGCTGTACTTTTTCGTGGCCAGCACGGCGCCGACGTTGCCGTGGCTCGGCTGCAACAACACTTGGAACACAGAGAACTGCTGGCTGGGCCTCGATGTCAATAAGACCATGGTCTCGCCCTTGGACGGCGAGGGCGTCACCTTCGACAACCAGCCCAATTCGGCCGCGTCCGAATACTTCCAGTGAGTTCCGTTCAAAAAATCGCCACATTATTATGCCCCAACTAAAATGGAATGTTAAGATTTTTTAAATGTCAGAAAATCAGACTGGAATGCCAGAAAGATTTTTTTTAAATAATTAAGTTCATTTAATAGAAAAAAATTATTTTCATTTGTTTATCAACACAAATTATTAATTTATTGTTCAGTACTTTTCACTATTATTGAAGTAAAAAAGTGATTCGTTGCTGCAGAGGTACAAAGGTGAAAATCTGGGACAATAATTATTATTATTCCTCGTAGTGATTTAATAAATAAATTAAGCTGATATTTTCAGTTATATCTAATATTCAATTTTAAAGCGTACAACGTGGACCCCGTTAAATCATATTTTCACGGGTTTTTATTGTTATTGTTGTTTTCAGTCGCGGCGTGCTGGAGGTGCAGCACAGCAACGGTCTGCAGGACATCGGAGCGCCCAAGTGGCAACTGGCGCTCTGCGTGTTTGTGGTTTACTCGATGCTGTACCTGTCGCTTTTCAAAGGAGTCAAATCTTCAGGCGAGCCAAGCGAACCCCCTTTCTTCTTATATGTATAGTAGATATAGAGAGAGAGAATGGCAGGCGGCGAATTGAAAAGACACTGCTCGGGTTGTGCAAACAAGGCTGTCACAATAGTTAGTGCGATGGACTAGCGATTACGGCGGCGGGCATCAAAGGTAATCAGAGGCGAAACCCTTCACCCTTTCGAGTGGGGGCGCGTGTTCGTTTTAATTGTGTTTGATTAGCTCAGGAGGCAGCGAGAGAGACATGACCCCGGCAGCGTCTGAATCGATTCGCTCCCTTTTGACCCTCCAGCAAAGGGTCGCTACCCTAGTGCCGAAAATCCTGCATGGAAATTTGTTTATACTTACAAAACAAAAACAAAAAAACTGTAAAAATGGTTTATTGTTTTTATAAAGCTTTTATATAATATTTTGGATACAATTATTAAAATAAAAAGCTCTGTGCTCTTTACAATGAAATGAAAATATTTTCCAAATAATCAAGGCAAATTAAGCAACTGGCTTTTTTCTTTTTTTCTATTAATTACTTTTTTAATATAATTATTTCCTAATATTTTTCCAAGATTATTATTATATTTAATTTATTAAAAAACCTGCAATTAGGAAGTATATTATATTGAATAAAAGAAATATTCAATTTGATTATTTTCTGGACAGGGTTCAGATCCCTGGAAGCCACTTTAACTTTGGCGTTTAGAGGGTTTGCTTGATGCGTGTGTGAGTGTTGAAACGAGGCCAGAGCGTAATCTATGCAAATTAGGAAAGGCCGCCGCATGGTGTGATTTTTTTAATTTTGAGTGAGAAATGCTAGACGCGTGGATGATAATTCGAAGGTCCGACTGACGTACACGCATGTCTGTGCTCGACGTGAAAACGATATTTGATCAACAGGCAAGGTTGTGTGGATAACGGCAACTTTTCCCTACATTGTGCTGAGCATCTTGCTGATTCGAGGGCTCTCGCTGCCTGGTGCCTACACGGGCATTTCATATTACCTCAGCCCCAAACTGTCATTGCTGAAGGAGACGAGGGTGAGTTATTTGCACAAATATATCTCCTACATATCACTTTACATCGGCACAATAATGGGGAAAGGACAGGCTATATTGACACTGATGATGGCAATTTACCAGAGGGTCGTGTTGGAGAGTATAATGGCGCGAAGTACTAGAAGAAATTATTTGAATCGTGTTTCATTTCATTATTTAAAAAAAAATCCGAAATTTTTAAAACATTTTGCTTTTTTAGAATAACTTTTTTCCGCTTGATTTTGAGTGAGATGGAATGTAATTTTTTCCTCTAGGATAAAATTTAAGGGTGTAAATCTCGATTTTTTTTAAGGTTTGGGTGGATGCTGCTGTACAAATATTCTACTCCGTGGGAGCTGGATTTGGCGTCCACCTTTCCTATGCCAGTTACAATAATTTTAACAACAATTGTTTCAGGTAATTTTCCGTATATTTCATAAATAAATATTTTCCCCTACAGAGAATTTAATGCACTAACTTTTTCTTTTATTCAGGGACTGTCTCGTGACGACAGCAGTCAATTGCTTCACAAGCTTTTTCTCGGGATTTGTCATTTTCACATATCTTGGGTTCATGGCTGAAAAACACTCAACTCCCATTAGCTCCGTTGCAACTGAAGGTAATTTTTTTTTTAATATTCTCTTGTCAACTATTAAATTTGAATTAAAATGAGTAAAATTTAATTTGCTATTTACTTTGTTTCCATTGAGACCTTTAGCTATAATACCCAAATGTTCGTCCCAATTTATTATCTCCATCGCCGCAAATAATGTGGTTTCTACAGAGTTAAGGGTGCGGTGGACATTAACAAGCAAAAAGTTTTGAGCTCAACCGCACCCTTCTGGTCAAACTGAGGGGAGAATTGTAGCTGCCCGAAATTACAACGCGGTTATATGGGTCCGAGATTAAATCCTAGAGGCAACTTTGACGTGCCCAATCCTGAGACTTGCATTCACAATCGCCGAAAATTTGCAAAGTCATATTATATTAATAACATGAAGCCATTTTATTTTTTTTATAAATAAAATTTTAAATTTTTATTGTAAAAATTATTTATACCTTTTAGGCTTTGTATTAAAACCAAATAAAATAATTTTGCAACATATTTTTCCCTTCGCCCGTGCAATAAATTCTCAATTTTTCAGGGCCTGGGCTGGTTTTCCAGGTTTACCCTGAGGCGATTGCAACCTTGCCAGGATCGTACATCTGGTCGATGTTGTTCTTCTTCATGCTAATCATGCTCGGATTAGATAGTGGAGTGAGAAAATTTACCTCCAATACTATTTTGTACACATTAATAATTGAATTAAAATTTTGTTTAGATGGGGGGAATGGAATGTGTGATTACTGGGCTGATGGACGAGTTTAAGGGATTTTTTCATGGGCGGAAGTACGCCAGGGAAATTTTCACCTTGTGCGCCGTTTCTCTCTCCTACTGCGTTGCCCTGGTCAATGTAACTCCGGTGAGAAGCACATATTTTTTTATTTAATTAAAACAAGAAATTTTTATTTACCTTGTTGTGTTTCACAAAATATTAATTTTTTTCAGGGAGGGATATACATGTTCCACTTGTTTGACACTTACGCCGCTGGTATCTCGTTGCTGTGCTCGGCGCTGTTCGAGTGTGTCGCAGTTTCGTGGTTTTACGGTAACACAATACTCGACGTTATATTGTATTCGTCGTTATATACACTTCTTGAAATTCAACTTTGTATCGATCAATATATTTTGCTACCAACAATACTTGTCGCAGCGTCAATAACGACAATAACTTTTAGGTTTGGATAAACTTTCGAAAGATGTGGAGGCGATGTTGGGATTCAGACCCGGACTGTACTGGCGCATTTGCTGGAAATTCATAAGCCCAACTTTTCTGATCGTAAAATCTCGCGATTAACCCGGATTTTGAATTGATTGAATTAATTTATTTTCAGGGGGTGATCATGTTCGGGCTTTTATATCACGAGCCACTGGAATACATGGGCTACGAATACCCCGCGTGGGCAGAGTGGTTAGGATGGGGCCTGGCCTGTTCGTCCATCCTCATGATCCCGATAGTTGCAGTCTTTCAAATCGCCAAAGCACCAGGCACATTCAAAGAGGTCTGATAATTATATTTTTACTGAATCTATAAGAATGGGAAAAAATTAATCATAATTAAAAAATTGTGAACAGTGTATAATTTTTTTTTTTTAATTTCAGAGAATAGCTTTATGCATCACCCCTGAAGCGGAGCACGAAGAGCTGAAGAGGACATTCAAAGTAAAACGATTTGAAAAAGAACACTGGTTTTACGTCTAGAGATTTAAACACTTGCGTTTTTAAGGGAAAGTTCAGAAATTTGAAAAAATCTTTCTGAAAATGATTAAACTCTGCGTAAATCATTTAAACATTTTATTGGCCTCTGCCCAATGTTTGCGTTTGGTCATCATCACACCAAATGCATATTGATTTTCGATGCCAGTGAATCAGAGAAGGTTAAAAGCTGCAAAAACCGCAAAGACACTATTGTAACGGCGCCGAAACTTTTAAACAGAAAACGTGTCTCAAAACCGCAACTGACTCATGATCTCAAAGCGCTGTATCGTTTTCAGTTTTCTCAACGGTTTGTTACACGAACCGCACAACTTCTGATGGTCAGTTCAAGAAGGAAGGTGACCGTGCTCGTGAAAAATCATTCCTCTTGAGACAGAGTCAAATTGAATCAAAATTACTGTACATAATTCAATGTTTTATAAATATTCTCTCGCTTCTTCCGCAAGACAAAAGGCAAAATCTTCTGGGCTTTTTTTACGTAATTCTTTCAACTTTTTTATTTTTAATTTTTTTGTAAATAAAATAAAAAGTATAGCGGTGGTTTTTAGAGCATTAAAACAATCTTAAATCTATATAAATTATTTAAAAACAACTGCAAATTTTGCGTGAAAATTGAGTTATTGAGATTATAATTTCATTGTAGTGGTTAATTTTTATAATTTTATTCCAAGTCCAGGAGTGCTAAAATGTTTGAAGTGAAAACGCCTTTAGCGAGAATAAAGTGAGTGTTAAAAAGTTAGTACGTGTTTGCTGTGCTGTTGAGTGGTAGCAATAATGGGCACTACAATTACTAAATTCATCTTGGCTGGGCAGCCACTAAGCCAAGCTCTGTATTCTTAAAATAAATGTGATGATTTTGCTCTCAGCATTTTTTGAGTACAAATTTAACATTTTCATTGTGCACTCGATACATCTCCTGTCAAAGAGAGACCCCATTTAATATTAGATACTCTAAGTATAAAAATCAAATATGTTTGATGTAAAATGGTAAAAATATTTGTTCTGAAGTGATCGTCTTGATGCTTTTACCCAATCAATCCACACAAGATTGTAGAAGGAATTTACTTGGACAAAAGAGGCCCTAGAAAAAATAAATTGTAAGCTCTTTTTTAACGAGCATTTCGGTGGCAGGTTAAAATAAATATAATGTTTCTGGTGTTTGCGATTTATTCTATGATCTACATTTTGTGCGACAATGTTGAGCTTGATAAAAAGACAATTGATTTAATTGGAAAAGTTTGAGGTATCAGTGCTATATTTATAATAGTTAAATTGCTACAAATGCAAATTTAATAATGCAATTATTAAACCATTAGTTTACATTGTTGAAATACCAACAATTAGAGAAATTGCTATTGCATTTTACAATTATACTTTCCATTGACTCGTTATTGTTAAATTGAAAAAACTTACATTTTTATTTACATCTTCATGTTTTATTTTGCTTTACTTTTTATTGCAAAAAAAAATGTAATTTTGTTCCGATCATGTTTTTTTCACCAAATTTGATCGTCGGCAAGGAAAATGGATAATAAATATTGATAGTTAATAAAAAAATTGTCATAATAAAATCTTTAAAATTAAAGGAACTTTTTAATTTAAACAGTAAACACTATGATGAATGATATACTCATAATTTTAACTGCAGATCATCAGTTGAGCAGTAATTTAGATAATATAAAATCAACTAAAAATTTCGATCGAATTCTATTTGTTTGAAAGGTGGTTGATTCAAAGGGATCATAAAAAACCCATTTAAGAAATTAAAAATTGCAATCAAATATTAATACATTTCAAATATATATATGAGATTATTTTATGTTGAATCAAATTTCTTTTTCACTCGATCTTACCTTGAGTTTGTCGTTTGTCCTCTGTCAGCTTTGTCTCAATTGATAATTGCAGTATTGCAGTCTAGCAGAACGCGACTTCCTGCATATAATCCAGAATTCAAGAACAGCGCGTAGTGGAGTCGAGAAGTGATCTTTTGCGAAGTGCCAGGCGCGATGAGGCTAAAATTTTGTCGACTGTCTTAACAAAGGAGCTCCTGACACTGCTTTGACTTTAACACCAATCGCATCTACAAAGCTTCTTACATTAGATGATAAATCAACAAGTACATAAAATTTAAAACAAAACTGACAACTGACTGATGTGTAGAGGGGGCTGGGGTTGGTGGGAGGACATTTACAGCCCCACCACGCGTCTGATTATAACAAAACACAACATTGAATATAGAGCCTAGGAAAACTCCTTAGCAAAAATTAAATTCCTTCAGACTAGATAAAGCAGTTTGACAATATAATTTCTAAAAATACTCTCTGTTAATATTTTTGCAAGTTTTCTCTTATAAATAATGATTTTTCATGACTTTATAATTATTAATAAAAATAAAATTATAATAAATAATGGTCAAATAAATGATGAATAAATAAAAATTAGGGTTAAAAACTTTATTCATCGTCTGCAAAAAATATTTTTTATTATTATAATTTTTAATATATGTATATTACACGCTTTGCTTACTATTGTGGTTGACAAAAAATGCCTGGCTGGCGCAGCTTTCTTAGTTTTTTAAACCTGCTGGTTTTGAAAATTTTTTCAATTAGAACTCTTTTACAAGAATGAAATTTAAAATTAATTTTGCGGCATTTGTTAGTGAAAAGTGAAAATTTTGATTTTATTTTAGGTGATTTTGAAAGGAAAAACAAAAAATTATTCGTATAAGAAACTGCTATAACAATATTGTTTTTGCTTATTGAACAGCCGCCTTTAGTGAGGTCACTAAAAGGTGGAAACATTTATTAAAATAAATGGCTTGGTGGAAAAATTATCTAATAGTCGTTCCTTCCATTCATCAGCAGCTGCAGTAAAATTTATCATTTTTTGTTTGTTTTAGTGACCTGGCGTTGTTACGGGTGCCATAAATAACTAATAAGAAAAATACATAGCTGCTTTAATCATTACAAAGCATATTTTTGACATCATAAATATTAACGATTCAAATAATGATTATGAAAGTTTTTTTTTAAATGACATTAAATTTCTTCTGAAATGTTTTTTTTTATTTATTGTACTCAAATAGTTTTCACACTGATAAAACTGCTCTTTTAATAGCCTTTTCCTTCAGCCTCCTCTTCTTTTCTTTTTCTCTTCTTACCAAAGTAGCTTCCCTGAAGATTTGGACGCTTTGCTCAGCCTCGACTCTTCTCTGATATGCTCTCAGACCAAATAAATTAACCCCAACTCGATCCTGAGAAATAACATTGGTAAATATTGTACAAGAAAACATTAAAATCAAAGTTTACCCTTTCTTGGTTTAGTGATTCAATGGATAGGGTTGAAAGTTCTTTTACTGTCATAAGCAGCTTTTTTGTCTGCACAATTGGCTCGTGATGAACTTTCACCAGGAACAGTAAACTTCTGGCCACTGTTTCAACGTCATTTTTTTGCCGCAACAAATGAGGTATGCGGTTCAGCAGCATGCACACGTTGGAGAACGGAATCAGCAGTAACGCCTCTTCGATGTCACTAAATTCAAAAAATATAAACCCAGAGTTTAAATAAAGAATAATAAATATTACCTGGCCTTGATCGATTTCAAAGCATGCAAAATAAACTTGTTGGGGTCGTCTAGTTGTAAAGCTATCATCAGAGGCGGAGGAGGTGGCTTCGTTGCCTCGCTGCCATCCCACAATTCCAAGTCTTGGCCGTACGAGTCTGCCAGTTGGATAGCTTCGATCAGTTGCTCAGCCTATCAGAATAAAATCAACAGTAAATTTTAAAATTTGGTCCATCAATTTAAGAGAACTTGGATAAAAATGAGAAAAAATTATTACGGCTCTTTCGGCTCCAACTGTTTTCTTGGAAGGCAGGCTGTGATTGGCCTGACCAGGTACGACTGAATCTTGGCCCGTCACTAATGCAGCATCATCTTCTTGCTGTCTCTCTTCTTCTCGTTCATCTTCAAGGACCAATGGTTCTGCAGTCCTGGTGAAAACACGGACCACGCGGTCACCACCACAACTAACAACATGAGTGCTCGAGACGTCCAGGCTGTGAGCCGCGCCAAGATGGCCCTGTGATTAAATGGATTTAAAAGAGATTTTTTATGGTTTATATTAATTACGTCTAGAGTGAGGATCCGTTCATAATTATCAGCATCCCATTGTTTGACACGACCATCTTTCCCACATGTGAAGAAATAATGTGTTTTCGGCACGAATTTCAATCCTTTGATGGAGTCGTCATGGGCAAATATGGATTTGTGGCAGTCGCCAAAATCAAGGCCCCAAATTTTGACATTCCTGTCGGCACTTCCAGTGCAGATCACCGTCGAGTCGAACGAAATGTCCATGCAGAGCACTGGAAGTTTGTGTCCATACAAACTGACAAAGAACTGAAAATTTAATTCGATTTACACTTTTCATTTTCAACATCATTCTACATTTACCTTTAGAGTGTCCAGGAAAAAGATTTTTACAGTCGAGTCCAACAAGGATGCTGCAACGTATCTCATGTTTGGGCTGATGGCTACACACAATACTCCTTCCTCCAATTGCAGGGATCTTGTGTGAAGAAGTGAGAGAACCTTAGCTTTGCTTGCACTGCTCTCTTCACTAATTGGAGTGACAGACTCAAAATCCCAGAACTTCAAAGTTTTGTCTCCACTTCCCGAAACACAACCTCTCTGTAGTAACAAGCAAAATGAAAATAATAATCTCTGAATTTATTTTTGCTTACATTAGTGGGTGTGACACAAACTGCCCAAACTTCGCTTTGGTGGGCAGAAATCTCCTCCAGTATTTCAGCCGTGCTGATGTCCAACACCAAAATCGATCCCGATTTGAGCCCCGCCAAGAGATGTCGATCTCCTGGCACGAATGTAAGAGAAGTCACGTAGCCCGTGGTGATGGTTCTGAGGCAAGATTGCGAAGTTCTGTTCCAAACTTTGATGCTGTCCGCACTGGCAGTGGCCACGGCAAGAGCGTCTGAGCTGAAGCAAACCGATTTCACTTCACTCCTGTGACCACATTTTTCTAACGTTCTCAGCAACGTGGCTTCTTGAGATTTCTTAGACGGAATTGAATAAAGCTCAATTTTGTTGCTTGCCAAGACACACGAACACTAAAACAAAAATGCCTTTAATATAAAATGTATAATCTTAAAATAAATTTTTTGTACTCTGATTTCCCCAGTTTTGCCCATTATCAAGTCACAAGATTTCAGTCTGTCACTGCATTTAATTGTAACGAGTCTTTTGACCTTTTCCGTCAAGTTAGGCTGATCATCCACATCTTTTTCCAACTCATCATTTTCTGCAGATCTGGTCGAGATTTAATTATTAATTATCATACGCTGAATTTCTGAGATACTTACTTTGCTCTTCTGGCCTTCTGCTTCAATCTCTTCTTTTTCAGCTTATTTTCAACTTCTTCGTCCGAGCAGAACCAAAAGACTTCCAAGTTAAAGTCGGTACCAAAACTGCTCAAAACTTGCCCCGACTTATCAGACACAAGCGCCTGCAGTCGTCCGTATGAATTCCTCAAGAGCGAGCCAACTTTTTTACACCGAAGTGGAGTCTAATGAAGATTAAATTTAGTTTTATTTTAACAAAAGAAATTTCCAAAAAACTTACTAAATTGTCTTCAGCAAATATCCCCTCATTTGAAGGAGCATTTTCCTCAATTTCCCACACAAAGAGTTCTGGTTCTGTTCCACCCGACACCAAGTATCGACCATCTCGTAGCAAGGCAATGTCCCAAACCTAAGTGAAAGGAAAAACGATTTAGAGAAGCTTAATCCAAAATAAAATATTCCTACCTCTGCTTTATGGGCAGAGAGGGTAATGAAGCAGTGAGCCGTTTCCAAGTCCCAAAACTTTATGAAGGAATCCCTGCCACTTGTGACGAGAATCTCTTTGTCGGACATGAAAAGGGCCTGGGTTATGGCCCCTTTGTGACCACTGAGTCGATGCAAGCCTCGCTCTCCAACTATGTCCCACACAATGACCTCCGTGTCCTGGAAGATTTAAAAAAAGTTAGCATTACACTACAAGCACAAAAGGATAAAATTTACTTTAGCTCCAGAAGCTAATCTTGTTCCGTTGTTGTCGTACATCAGACTTGAAATGGAACTTCTGTGGCCGGCAAGGGTGCAGATGAGTTCCGCCGACTCCAGGTCAAAGATCTTGATGTTTCCATCAGCGTAGCCGACAGAAAGCTGAGTTCCATTGGGACTGGCTGCAAGTCGGGTCACCAAAACCTTTTCTCCAGGCAAGACGACAGTCTGGAAAAAATTAAATTAATAAATTTAAAAATAAAATAAATTCTTTTTAACAGACCTTTTCGGAGAGACGCAAGTCCCAAACCACAACGCTCTCTCCACCTCCAGCAGCCACAAACCGACCCTCCTGCCCATGCAGAGTTACAAAAACAACATTGCAACGTGAGTCTGCAATCAGGTTAAAAACACCGTCCGGCACGTAGCGGAGGTATTGTTTCGTGAGTCCCATATTTTTTGGCTGTCAATGCCAAAGATGGCCTTGTTCCTAATAAGACGCTTTCCGTTTAGATTCAAGAGCAATTAGGAAAGATAAATTCGATTGTTAATTCTATGTTTTCATCCAGAATCTAATACAACACGTGCTGCGCTCGACAAAACATTTCTCCCCCTCCACCTTGTTACTAAAAGGGGGTGTGTAAATTTCGACCAATGAGAGAAGAGAATTTGTTGCTATTTACACAAAACGCTCAAATAGGTGCGAATAACTTCAAAATACAATGCGCGGAGATTTAAAATATGTAAACAAAACAAACACCACGTTTTGTTGCACGGTCTATAAACTCATAAAGGATCTTGGATCTTGAATTATTTCAAATTTAAATCAATTTCGTAGCGAGACGTTGACTTTTCCCTAACATCTATTGACTCCTGTTTCTTCTAATTGTAAGTACATAAATCTAATTTTATATTAAAAAATAGCTTAAAATTTTTTGTACATAATATAATTTACAGATGACTACAATAAAAAGTGGTCAGTGGGTTGCTCTGCAACGGGAGAACTACGTCAAGGTTGCCCTTGTCAAAGAAAAATCAAACACGGCACTTGGACGAGATATCGTCGAGTTGGGAAATTTGATGGATCGGCCGGTCTGGAGTTTCTTCTCCATGGAGGACGCAGGGAAGAGCAAGAAGGACCGACGGTACCAGCTCACGGAGTGCTCTGCTGAGGAGTACGAAGAAAGTTTGGTCGAGGCTCTCGTCGACGACAAAGACTCGGACACCAAGGACAATCGTTTTATCAAGGACGACGGACAAAGCCAGAAACTGTCCAAAGAGGAAATTGAAGAAATGCGGGCTGATGGTGTTTCGGCTAAGGACATTGTCGGCCAGCTTGTCGTCAACAGTGCAACTTTTGAGCAAAAGACGGTTTTTGCACAAGAAAAGTAAAAATTTTAAAGGTTAAAATACATGACACAAATTTTCATTGTAATTTTCTAATCCAGGTATATTTCCAAAAAGCAGAGGAAGTATAAAAAGTATGTTCTGGTTCGCCCGACGTCCATTCGACTGGTCCTGCAGGCCCTTCGAACTCTCTCAAATCAAGATCCGACGCCAAAGTTGCTTGGTTTAAGGCTGGATTCCTTGTCACAAATTGTTTCCCTCAGTGGAATCCAAGCAAACAGCGCCTCTAGCACTTTTATCCTTTTTGATTCGGGGACGCAGGGAATGGCAACAAGTGCGATGATTGACCACCTGTCAAAAGAATCCAATTCCCACCTGATTGTACTGAGCTGTGCCAGGGGTTCGAGCAAAACCATTGCCATCCAAGCTATGAACTTTCCTTCAGAAGTTCTTTCCAAAGTACGCAAATGTGTAATTTGCCTAAGAATTATTTTACTCAAATTATTTGTTTTTAGGTTCACTATTTCGGACTGGCCGACTTTTTGAAGGCAGCAGCTCAGTTTGGTCTTGTCCCTTCAAAGGAAGGCAAAATGGAAATCAAAGAGGAGGAGCCGCAAGCGAAGAAGGCAAATTCCAATCTAGAGGCTGAAATTTCCTTGGTGATGGATCAGTTGCAAACGGAAAAAGCAGCTGCTCTCGTCATCGTGGCCAAAGAGGACCCTGTGGCGCTCTGTGATCACCTGTTGCCTCTGGTGGCGCTGTCGAGACCAGTGGTCATTTACTCGCAATTCAAGGAACCTCTCCAAGAAGCCTACATGAAGTTGAAGGCGCAGAAAAATGTGACCGCCTTGAAACTGAAAGAACCGTGGCTGAGGAAATACCAGACTCTGCCTGAACGGACGCATCCGGAGGTGCTGATGAGTGGCTCTGGAGGATTCATTTTGCACGGTTTGACAGTGGAAAGTGACTAGGATATTTTTTGTATTAAAATAAGATTTAATTTCAATGGTACGGCAATTTTTATTGCACTTTTAGAAGCTTACCACACACTCTTTACAATTAACATAATAACGACATAACAATTATTGTGTTTTGTTTTCCGTGCCAACGATAACATTAAAATCTCTGCCTTGACAAAGGTTTTGGGACCCTCAAAAATTTCTTAAAATATTGTTTTCAATGACGAAATAATGAAACTATGTTTAAAAGGCCCAAAATGTGGTCAGTCAGTTCCATAGAGGTACCATTATTTTCTAGTTTATTATGACTACACCAACGTACAAAAAGCGCAATATTATAATTTATCATCGCAAGGAAGTTCAAACATTACCGAGAATGACAACATTGGAAACAGGAAGACATTGAGGCGCTGATTATTTTGCTGTGCGTCACAGTAATTGATACATAATTTTAAACCTATCGATTTAAAATTTTCAACAATTTTCCAAAAGTTTTATTAATTCACACAAAATTCTTGTGCCGGAATGAGACCTGCTCTTTACTGCCTTGAAAATTTAGTCTTTTTCCTAAAAATCCAAAATTTTATAGCAAACTCTTCAAAATTGGAATTGGCATTTTTCAAAGTTAAATATTTAAAAAAGCCTCCAACAGCAATATAAGTCTGTGAGAATAAGTCAGCCCCTGCCCGCCTGTAGATTTTATTGATAAGATTTTCCTGTTATTTTGCAGATTTAAGGTCTAACAATTAACGTGGATCACATATATAATATTCTAAACAGCTTTTTCCGCTTGTCTTCTACATTTCTATCAACAGTAACATGTCTTTAACACACTTTTGTCATTTTAATTTGATCTCTTTTCTGTCCTGTAGTTTATAGAGATCATTATTCAGAGTTTGGCCAATTTGCCACTCAAAGCGCTTAACCATACAATTATGAACAAGAGAAAACGCATTTTTCAAAACACTAAGAAGATTTTCATAAATCAAGTGTTAAAAAAACTCACTTATAATTCAAGCCAAAGAAATACAATTACTAATAAATACTTGATAGTTTGAAATATGTTTCTAAAAACAACAGTTTGTAAATGAACACTACAAATATCACAACAAAAATTGACACATGCTGTACAAAAGATGCAAGTAACGTCAATTTTTTAATCTAACCTGTGACTCATCCCTTGTCTTGACTAAACTTTTTGAGAGATCTAAATTACAACAGTGCTAAGTTTTCCAATATTTTATCAATCGTACTTTAAATCCTTGGTATTACCATAATCGGAGATTTTTGACATCATCGTTAAGAAAGATCAATCAAATAACTTAAAAAAATTACCCAATAGTGAAAAGTTTTGACCGCAAATCATCAAACCAGTATAAGAAGCTATTGTTGACGCTAGCTTGACTATCTGGAAAAAAGTCTTTTAACACTTTCAGGCTTCCTTTAGTTATTGCTTTTAATTTTTTTCCCTAAAATTTTAATAGTTTTTTTTTTTAATGTATCTGTTGAACAAGGTGGCATTATAAACAAAATAAATGTATTTTAGATTTTATTTAAAAAAAATCTAAATAATGAAGTTAATTTTAAATACTTTCTAAAACTTCCGAAAATAAATTTATTTGTTATCCACTGGCAAATTAAAAAATTAATCACTCTGATTTTTCACTTTAATTTCCCTCCTTTATCAACGGATATTTTTATTTTGAAGATGGAGGCTTAATTATTCTATTAAAATCAAAAGTCTTCTTTGGCGTACTGCAATGGAGCCGTAATAGAAAGTGAAAAAGACAGATGGGCATTCATCTTGTTATTTGATCAGCAAATTCCCACCAACTGGATAATGACTCACAGCCAAACCTCTTCACTATTGATGACTAGTCAGAGTCTTTCCGCGCCGCTCTCTGCATTTGCTGGACCTGCTGTTGACGCGTCACTTGGCTCGGCCGAACGATATCCACCACCCTTGTTACCTCCTCCGCTGAAATAACCACCTGGCTTCGGCTTCAGGTGCCGATTATTGATTTCCATGTGCACGATCCGCATGAACTCAATTTGAGCTGCCAGCTTTTGCACCTCTTCCTAAAAATCATAAAAAAAAATTAGTTTTTACAGGCTGAACCTCAATTTTCATTTTAAGCAAACAAACCTTCAGCTCCTCATTTTCTTGGTAAAGATCCGGAGGCTCGTCAGGCACAAGACCAATCCCGTTTAATGAAAATGATGCAGTCACTCCTCTTGCCCGCGCTCGGCTGTCATACTGATCTCCTTGACCCCGTAAAACTCTAAAGACCTGCACCATTAATTTGTAATAAATATTCAATGTTTCCTATTTTAAGAAATGCATACTTTTGGTCCAAATACCAATGCAACTGTGGTTGTTGTACTGAGCTGCGTGCGCACAAAACCTAACAAATATTTTATGTCCGGCCCAGCTCTCGGGAAGATGAGCAAACTAAAAATATAAATATTGTGAGTTCTTGATCAATAGATTTTGATTGAAGTGCTCCTCACTGAAAAGCAACCATGGCAATATTGACTGCTGCTATGTTGTAAATCGCATAAGTAATGAGACGCGCCTCGTTGAACAAGGATTCCGCATTCCGCACATTGTAACACACTCTGATGCCCCATGCCAGAAACAAAACCTCTCCTGTAGATATTTAATGTTTTTGTAAAATTTTAAGTTCAAGATGAATTATTTACCTATGGCTAGACTGTGATCCCACCAATTGTACGTACACTGCTTGAACCTCAGTCCCGAATTATCGAAAATGTCTTCACCAATGGGTGCAGCGCTTAAAGTCCAAGTTCCCAGATAGATCAGCATGACCAGAAGTATTGGAAACATCCACTGCAGCAACTGTTTATCTGTCAGTTTTACCTTGTGAGCTGATTTGACTCTGTATGTTAGAGAAACTCTGCAAAAAAATATTTTATTTCAAACAATAAAATAATTAAAGTTAAATTTACCTCCAGGTTTTCATGAGCAGGGCAGTGTAGGTAACACAGAAACCTAAGTGGCGAGTCCACTTTGTAGCTATGCAAGAGTACATGTCAAGGACTGGAAAAATTGCAGCCATCTAAAAAAGTTTTGATTAGAAATTTGGTTAAAATTGACGGGGATCAGGTTGTATATACCTCAAGATACATAATGGCGCAACCCAAGAGCGTAATAGATAAGAATATGGGGCTGGCAACTTTAAATACTTTCAGTTTCCTGTGCTGCGTCACATAGCAAATTAGGAGTAGAGTTGAAACAACACAAGCACAACTAATCGTTAGTAGAGCAATCCTAAAAAGAATAAATTTAGATCAAAATAATAAGTCAAAAAGTCAAGTATTATCCAACCTGAAGGGCCAGTTGTATTCGGCAAGACAGAGCTCTGGTCCGGAGCAAGTGCTGCATCCTGGAGCACATCGGTGGCATTGATAAAAGTGCCAGTAGTTGTCACTTCTGTTTTCTTGATATTCTTCCCACGCTTCTACAAGAAGATCATTTAATTAATAAATTATCTTTATGGATCAAACTGAAATTTTAATTTGAATGCTAAAATAATTATAATCCCACTTACGCTCCACAAGGGTCCCATTGAAGATGGACTGCAGGGGCTTTCTCGAATAATAGCCGGGTAGGCAACGGCACCGGTATGCGCCCCTGCTCCAGCCGCGCCCTTCAATCGCCTCGCAGATGCTGGTCTCACGGTGGCACCTGTGAGTTCCCACAAATGGATTCAACAGGCTGGGCATCGACTTGTTCAGCTCGCACTGGTTTACGTCCAAGTCGGAAAGATCGACGTCAACGCTGATCAATCCTCTAGTGCTGCAGTAAAAATGGACAAAAATCAATTGTAGGAGTAAAATAAAAAATTAAAATTTACTTTTTTGCTTTTGGCTGGATGGTGACAGAGTAAGAAATGAGCCATTTCTGGTTGTAGCAAGAGTAGTAGGGAACGGTCCACCGTCCACGCTGGACCTTCGAAGCCGACTCCATGAATTGAGGCGCGTGCATCTTGTCCGGATCGAAGAGTTTCGGCAACCAAGGAATCTCAGTAGGGCCCATGCGGCTGCCCTCGGTCAGAAGAAGTCCGGGGTCAGTGCCTGGAGCGTCTCTTTTGATTAGAAGAAGTGATTTCGACGTCATGTTGAAAACGACAGCCCTCGCTGCCAATGTGGATGGTCCCCCTAGCGAGCGCAGATTCTTCACCACCGCCTCTAATAATGCTGCAATTTTAAACAATTTGAGCATATTTTCCTTGTTTTAATTAGAAATACACAAAATTATTTATTCAGTAGAAAGGAAATACCTGAGCGATTGATTAATCCGACGTCTTGAAGCAGAGCAGCAGCAAAATCGACTTTTTGCCGTGTGGCGTCATGTCGCAAAGCTGCGTTTTCAACGGCCACGGGCAGCAATTGGAAGCGCTGCTGAGAGCATAATGCGCCCATATTTTTTGTTGCAATGTCATGGATTAACGTCAAGGCAGTCTATAAGAGTGTGAAAATATAATTTCAACTAATTATTAATAGTTTTAATTGCGTGTTTAAAAAAATTAATAAAAATATTTGTTGAGTCACTTCATTCATTTGAAATTTTAGTTATAATAATAGTAAAATTTTCCCCGACATATAAATAAAAAATAAGTTGTGACGAATTTCTGCGGTTGCTGGTTTCCTGGCGTCACCACTTATTCCGTCCCTTCCCTTCGGCTAGTTCGTTTTCTTTGTTTAAGGCCGTGGAGCGTAAAAATGAAATTGAGCTCCGCAGCGCAAGTACGACGGCCATAAAATGCTTGCTGCAGGGAGAACAACATTTGATGGATGGGGCGAATATGAGAGATGATATAAAAGCTGAGGTTACCACTTCTTATTAGAGAAAAAATTAACCTCGCACGCAGTTGAAAGTAGCTCAAAAACTAAAATAATGAACCAGATTTTCAGTTACATTTATAAGAAACGAGATTTACGTGTAATAATAAAAATTTTAATTTTTATATGAAATATTGATTTAGACTTACCGAGGCATCTGGAGGTGCAGGTGGAAAGGAGGCTGCTGCGACGGAGAGAAGGAGCAGCAGGAGCGCCAAGCTAATGGCCACCTTTTTGTAATTGGCCATTTGCCCGGATATTGAAACTAAATATTTTGGGTTTGCTTTAGCATCTTTCTGCAGTGCAGTTCTGAAAATAAAAATGAACGTACAATCAAACTGGGTTCTAATTAAATTTTAAAATTATTTTTGTAAAAGCATTAATTAAATTCAAAATTAATAATTCTCTTCAAATTTAGCATTAGTTCCATGAATTTTTTCAGCTGAAAGATAAGCAGGTTTATGAGAGCGAGCATTTATGCATACAAATCGATTGAGTTCAAGGCAAACACTCAACAGCACCCCTGCGGAATTCAATGTTAGGCTTTTTGCTCTGCACGTATGTCGATCTGGTTGCATAACTAAAATATTTCAAGGATCTTTGCCGGAAAACAGCCAACCCCATTTTTTTTACCTAAGCCGTAAGCAAAATTTAAATTCTTGTAGCTTTTTTTTAACGAGCTTTCAAAGTAATTTATTCCCATAGCAGAGGGCTGTTTTTTTTATAGCTCAAGCTGCACAAACTTTAAAGGGAACCTGAAGGGAACTATTTTTAGGCAAAATTTGGTTGAATCGAAATGTTTTTTCAAGTGCGCCTGATTGCTAAGCGAGGTGAAAAACGTAGTCAAAGAAGAAATTACTATGACTAGCGAGTGTGAGGTTGCTCGCCAAACACGGCTGCTAATAATGGGAGTGATCACTGACCCAGTCCGCGGCCTTTTCATTAGAGAATCAAAGGGTTTTGCGGATGAAAACACGCACACACGCAACCAATACTCGCCCTCAAACAAAGTACATTGTCTGCCGCGAGGAAACTCGAACATTCCAATTTCAGCACCAAAATTTGAAACATAAAATTGCTTCGAGTTCAGCGACATTTGACCCTTTTTACTCTTGACGTCTCGATAGACATGAATAATATGCACGTAGCGCATGTACCACTGCTGATGAGAAATTCCAGCGGCGGCGGGCGCTGATTAATTCCGCCCGAGTACGCAGAACGCGGCCAACAAGCTTTTTCATTAAGAATCGGAGGGATTCCCTTGCTGCATGTACTGAAAGTCAACTTTATGTACTCTTTTGTACGCGGCGCCGGCGGCGAGATCAAGCAAGGGCTCCTTATATTGATCATAAAATATAACAGCAACAAATGAGAGATCCGATATATATCGATATTTGCTGCAAGAAGCAGGTCAAGGAAGAGAGAATATTATTTTATAAAAAATAGGTTTTTTATAACCTTGTACTTAATTTTCAAGTAAAATATCCACCATCTATCAGTTCGCTCTAAAAAGTTGATTAGAAGCTAATAATCAAATAATTTATTATTATTTGTTTTCTAGTTGTTTATAAAGTATACACAGGATAATTTTGTACATTTTTATGTTTTTAAAATGAACTAATTGTGAAATTTTTTTCGTTTTTGGAGAATGATCCAATAAACACATAAGAAAAATGTCAAAATAAAGCTGATTTTTGAGAATAAATTTCTTTATTAAAAATCCTCCTTTTTCTCGTTACTAGTTAACTTCCAGCCTTAATCTAATAAAAAGTACTTTAGCAAAAATTCAACAGACTGTAGCTGGTGTTACTGGTTGGAAAAATTCCAATCTTGGAAGCGACTCAAGATTTCTTTACATTTTTTTTTATGCAAAACATAAATATATATGAGGGTGGTTATGTGGGTTTTAATTTTGCCCTTTTTTATCAGCTGCCTGCACGCTCAGAATTTTTTTCTAAAGACGGAATGAATTTTTCAGGTGCTCACAACAAGACAAAAGCGACAGGCCGTCTGTGCACCAATGAAATGCCCTCACCCCACAGCCCCCTGAGTTTGCACACACGGTGGTGTGTTTTCTCAGCGGCGGCGAAACCCTTCTTGTGTGATGCTTTTTTAATGAGAGCAGATGATGATGATGATGTTGGGGGAAGGACGATAAGTTGACACTAGTGTGTTTATGAACATTTGTTTATTTAAGCGACAGCAGAGGGGTGATGTGAAATCAATAGAGCTGCGAAATCGGTCGCTAGCTCGCGGCCTTGTGCTGCGGCTGAGCCCAAACTTGTGCCGCCGATTTTGTCCCTTTCTAATCAAATCTTTTAATGAATAAATTGCACCTTTGGAAGCGTCTCGTAATTCGATTGACTCTGGAAACAAAATCGGCAACCCTCCTCGGAGAGGGGAAATTCTTAAGAAGCCCTCGGGACACTTTGACACAGCACACGATGGTAATTGGCGCACTCAATGAGCCGAAATAATTTCGTTAAAAGGGTAAAGTGCTCGGGGAGAAAATGGTCGCATTGGAAAATATGACGCTTGCTGCCTGCCTGGCCCAACGATTTATTGATTTTCCTTCCGAGACTGCTTGCGGGAAGAAACGACGTAGTTCAGCGACGCTTTGCTTTCCATTCTCAAAAATTATCACGAATTATGCATCATTAGAGCTTCAAATTTACTATTTGGAAAGGCTCCCAATGGTGCAGCGACTCCCAATACGGATAATCGATGTGTAAACACAGAAAGTCGGTCATAAAAAGTAGGCAGGCGCCTACATATGCAAAGAGTTGGAGCTGCAACAGGTGAGATCAAGGGTGCACCGAGTCGGCTGCTACAGGCCATAAAAATTTAACGGCGCCCCGATATGATCCGATCGAGTGCCCTTGCGAATTCGAATTTTCGTTAGCAATATAAGTCACTTTTATATATTTTATATCTCACGCACAAGAGTTTAAAATGAGTAGAAAAAAATGGCGCCTCTATGAAATGAAATAATGATAAAAGGGTAAACTTTTACGCAAAAGTTAATCGACAATTAGATTTTGTAGGGTTGCGTGAGTTGCGTCAAATTACAATGTGGAATATAAATTACAAATTATTCTTTTGCATGGACTTGCGAAACTTTTTTTCTATTTAGGGGGAATGAGCGTTTATCGTTTCTAATTTAAAAGTATTGTAAAAACTAATTCTCTGCAGCATGGAATTTTTGAGAATTTGAAAAAAAAGTTTTTGTTAAAAACCAATTAAATACTTTGCTTATCCCTTGGGTTTGTGCTGGTTTCCTGATTAAGACATCCTGGATTTTGACGAAGCTTGGCTTGTGGTTTGACTTTATAAGACGTTTTTAGAGGTTAAAATGTGGAATTAAAAACACCTTAATGGTTTTTTGTGTTATATTAAAGAAGTTTAAGAAAGAAAAAACAGCAAAAAAGAAGATGCTATTTTTTCCTACGGCACAAAACGATCTGCAAATTTGAAAGATTCGATTCATCATATGAAATCCCCCAGATAAAGCAATTTAAAAAAAAAAAATCATTACTCTTCAACTAAATCTTTCTAGCATTCAAAGGCAAATCACGATGAAAAAATAGCAAAATGGAAAAAAGCCGGATTAATTTACATGATAACTCTTTTCTCTGCACTAGCTTTGGTTTTAGTACGAAAAATTGAATTTATTGGGAAAACTGAAATATGAAATTTATTGCTTCTTACGGAAATTTTCAAAATACTTTTTTCTTCTCAAAGTTTGCCTGAACAAAATTGATGAAAATTTCACAAAAACACGTTCATATCATCCCAATTAAGATGGAAAAATGAAATCAATAGGTCAGTCAAAAAAAAAATTTACATCAATCTTATATGGTAAAAGTTTGAGAAGGTTTAATTTCAGTGTAGATATCGTACATGAGAAGAAAAAAGTTTTATAAATGATAAAAAAATATAATTAAAAGTTTTTGCATCTTGCTGACCATAAATTATTTTTATCTAAGATAAACTAGTAAAAATAGCTTAGGAGATGATTTATTATTTTTCGCCGAGATTTTCGCCCGGCGGATAGTGGACGATTTTTCATCTCACCCTTCCTTCGCCACTATATATACTCCCCGAGCTGCACTTAAAATGAAATTCCCGGCGGAGTCATCCGCGGTGTGTGGCGTGGAACATGAATTATAAAGGGCGAAAAGCAGGCAGCGTCGGCACCTCTCGTTTAAGGCGAAATCACGGTGGGACGAAATGAGAGCGAAGGGCGGAATAGGATTTCCCGTGTGTCTGGAGGCAGGCCAATATTTTTCACATTTTCCTGCATGTGCCGGCGGCGGCGGCGGCGGACGTGGTGGGAAAGATGCGTGGAAATATTTGGGCCGGCTGCGATGGTCTTGTGTGTGAGAGAGTGGCTGGGAATAAAGCAGAGAGCGGCGGGCGTTTGCAGATCGATAGCTGCTCCGACCAGGCTCTCTCTCTCTCTTCTGTCTCATGTTGCCCATTTCTGCCTTTTTTCATTTTAATGATCGGACCTCAATTCGGGTGCTCGCATCTGTTATTGTTTCCTTTCATATTATTATTATTATTTTTTGTATTATATATTCCGCCCCTGAACAATATGCTGCAGAATATCTCTCAAATATTGGATTCGCCAACCGCAAAAGCAATTCAACTCGTGCCCTTTGTGCAAATTTAGGTCGATATTTGCATACGTAATATGGCGCCGGTAGCACTTTTCCATTGAAAAGGTGGTTGAAATGATCCGAATTATATGATTATGTAGTTTTTTTTCGCACTCGTGCAGAATTAGTGCGCGCCGGCTTATTGCAGCAAACAGAGAGCTCGAAACGAGAGAATGCCGCGTCCAGAAAGAGATCATCCACAGCTGTTGAACTCTGACAATGAGTCAACAGGTTAACTGACTCAATGGCAACACAACACAGGGTCTTTTGTTCGGCACAATAAACATCTGAAGCGCAGACGAGTTCGCGAAATCTTGCGGCTTAATTATATTTTAAACTAAGAAGAGGAACTTTTGTTTCTCATAAATTTGGCTTCTTTATTATTTTTTTGAATTGATATTTGTTTTGATTTATGTTAAAGAACGATTTGAGATATTTAATTTAAATAAATTTAATATAAGAAAATAAATTTTTAGATTTAATTAATATATATGATTTTTTTCATTACTTATTTTAAGTAATTCAAATACGCTTGAGAAAGATGTCTAAATACTGTTCAATATATATTCTAGCTTAAATTTGTATTAAACATTAACCCAAATATTTAAAATTTTATACCATCTGAGCATTCCTCTCATTTCAATAAATAAAAAAATTAAATTTTTTATATCTTCAGTTCATGAGATGTTAAAATATGCAATAATTAATGATGTTCCTTAATTGATTGATGGGAAATTGTAATTGAGGAGCATGAATGAGTGTAATAAATCAGTCTAATTATCATAATCATTCGATACTCCCGATGAATATGAACAAAAATTATTTTTTATTCCTTGCTTATAATACGATCACATCCGCGCATTAATCATGTAAGGCATAAAAAAATAAGATCACTTCCACAGATGTTGATCTGATGAGAATTGCAAGATGCATTTTCAGCGAGAGTGGTTAATAAATTTTAATTACAAATATTCATTTGATTCGCTCACCGCTTCCATTAAATGTGATATAAGATGGAAGAAAATATATTTGTAAAAAATATATTTAATATTTATAAAACAAAATAATATATTTTATTAAATTTTTAACTTTACAAAATGGAAATGATTTTATTTTAATTAAAATTTCGCCATTGTTTATATATTTTAAATTTTCGAACTAAACGTATTTAATCAATAATTGGTTTATAAAAAAATTTATATTTTTCTTGGCATTATCGTCCTGCATCCGGCCGGCATACTACAGATGCTTTTTCATATATTAAAAGCAACTACTTTTGAGTCACAACGAAATTATAACAAAGGGGATACTTACAAAATAACAATGTCTGCGAGTGTTGTCAAGGGTGAATGCGCTCTTTACATTATAAAAGGGTCTAGACTTAGCGATCCGAGTGGGCGCTTGAAAGACACCCCCGTGATATGACATTCTGCCGCTGTTCTTCTTGCTACTGCTCTGATCTGACCCGTTTTGCGGTGGGTGTCTCTTGCTTGGTCTCTTGCTTGTGGTGCTCCCCAGCCTCCCCAGTTCCCCACCCAAAGTTGGACCAACCCGGACCAACCAAAACTAAGTGTGAGTTAAGGAGTTACAATAGCATATCTTAAAAATATGCATAATTAAATATTATGAGCTTAAAATCACAATAAATTCAATATTTGATTTTTTATTAGAAAAAATGTTTTTTTTTCTAAATTATCTGCACTAGTATCACAAAAGATACAAAATATTGAGGTGAACATTTTTAACTCCTCAATGAAACTCCACACACTCCCTACTCCAAAAGTGGGCGAGGTCGTGATAAGGGGATTTCCGTGAAAATAGCAAAAGTACAGGGAAAGGAAAACACAGAAAAACAAGGAGAACCATAAAAGAAGTCATTTTTCTCGTTCGTTTTGCACAAGTCAGTGTAATTCGGCGAAAGACCGCATTGATCAGAGTTGCGAAAAGCCAGTTGGAAAATGAAAACCACGTATTATTAGCTTTTGTCTCATTCGGAGGAATTCATCACGTCATAGCTACATAATGTATGTTCATAATTCATCAATGTTATTATACATATTGGTATAATAATTGTAAATGTTGCTTGTATTTACGCAGGATCTGCATTTGAATTCCACTGTCGATTGCTCAGCAGTCCGCGCAAATACATATCATGCCGAGCAGAAATTTCAGCATTGTCGAGTTTTTCGGTGGCGACGAGGATGACTCGGAAGGGTCGAGTTGTGGCTACTGCAAAAACCACGGCAGTATTTCCACCGGTATGTAATTTGTTTACATTGTTTTCTACTATTTTTTTTTTCACAATTTTTTGTTCTCGCATGAAAAATTAAACTATACATTCTGTCTTAAATAATTGCAATTCAGTTCACTATTAATTAAGTAATAAAAACAATTTTGTAACTTACATTTTAAAATTTTTAGGGATGTGGGCGCATAATCTTTCAGTGCAGGATTATCAAGACCTCATTGACAGGGGGTGGCGTAGAAGCGGATGTTACTGTTACAAGCCCACCATGAGCCAAACCTGCTGCCCAGCTTATACAATTAAGTGAGTTTTTATAAATCTAAATTTAAAAATTCAATTTTTGATTTAAAATTACTCTTCAGGTGTGATACGTCAAAGTTCCAGCTGTCGAAATCGCAAAAGAAGGTATTGAAAAAATTCAACAAATATCTTCTAGAAGGACAAACTGTGAAGGAAGAAAATAGTGATGATAAAAGTTCCCCTGCCAATCATTCGACAGCTCTAAGTAAAAACTTGTATAATTATTTAATTTTATTTATGAGAACAAAAATTATTAGCTGACGAAACTTGCACCGACTTGCCTGATTTGTCACTGAAGGCTGAGAGTAAACTACAAAGTAGTGGTTCTGTGAATCCTATTAACATAACTTTTGTTGAAGCTGCTGTGCCTGAAAATGGTATTAATATTATAGATTTTTTTATTTAAAATTGTTTCATAATTCTTGATCTAGATGCCCAAGAAAAATCTGCAGAAACTGTGAAAAGCAACAGTTTTAAGTCCACAGAAGATAAAAGTACAGCTTCCTTACTTCTTTGCTAATCCAAATTTATTTTTAAATTTTATTGCAGAAGACTCAGGTTCCCTGAGACCTTGCAAGAAAGCCAAGCTGCTCAGAAAAGAGCGAAGAGTAGAGAGGCTGAAGAGCAAGGGTCTCAATCCAGAGGAGGTGAAGTCAAAGCACAATCAAGAGGTCAAAACTTTGGAGCAATATATTGCGTCGGCTCCACATTTCAAGCACAAGCTGGAGGTGATTTTTTAATTTTCCAAACAGCTACGGGGTTTAAATCTTTTTGGTTTGTTTTAGCTTCGCCTTGTCCAGTCCAATCCTCCTAGCCCGGAATATGAAGCCACAGAAAAAGACAGCCACGAGATTTACTGCAAATATCAAATTTCCGTTCACGATGATCCACCGGAAAAAGTTACTCTGAAACAATTCAGAAGATTTCTAGTCGACTCGCCTCTGGAGGTGAGGATGATTGAAATTAATTAAATCTCAGGCTAAAATTTATCTTTAAAGGCGGAGGAAAATGAAGATGGTATAAAGTATGGCTCATTCCATCAGCAGTACTGGTTGGACGGGAAGCTGATTGCTGTTGCTGTGATTGACATTTTGCCCAGTTGCGTCTCCTCTGTCTATTTCTACTACGATCCGGACTTCCGGTTTCTCACTCTAGGCACCTACGCTGCCCTACGGTAACATTCTTTGGCCAGTATAACTTCAAGCTTTAGACTTAATTTTACTCTTGCAGAGAAATCTCTCTGACTAGAGAACTGAATATCAAAAACAAAAATCTTGTTAACTACTACATGGGATTTTACATCCACTCCTGCCCCAAGATGCGGTACAAAGGGCAGTACAGTCCATCGTACCTACTTTGCCCAGTCTCGTACACTTGGCATCCGATTGCGAGATGCCACGCTTTGCTTGATAAGTCCAAGTACGTTGAATTTGACGTAGATAACACGGAGCGGATTGTGGATTATTCAGACTTGATGAAGGTCAGTTTTGTTTTAACCTTTTTTGTCTTAATAATAAAACTGATAATCATATGTGATCATTGCAGATGCTTGTGTTACATGGGAGGAAGGCCATGCCCTTTGGTGTGTACGCAGCTAAAAAAGGTGGTCTTAGCAATGACGAGATATCAACTCTGAAGTTTTACATCCAATTAGTTGGCACCATCTGTGCGTCAAGAATGCTACTTTTTAGAGCCTAATATTCAATTTACACAATTTATATGTTTAATATAATATTTTTACCAATTGCTGTTGTAAAGTCATGACAAGAATTAATTGTAATAAAACATATACTAAAATCTATTATTATTATTATCATCAAATCTTATTTATGAATGAAATATTATTTTTACCATAATTTGATATTTCTGTTAATTAAGCGCTTTAAAAAACTACTCGGATTTAAAAGTAAAATTTAATTCTATGTTTTTATGTATACATTTGAATTTATTTTATTTCTATGTTTTTAAATAGTGCAAAAATTTAAAGAGGTTATTTTGCTAATTGTTATTTTCACGTGCACATCTAGTTTTGTGTAAATAGCAAATTCAGTTCTCTGCTTTCTACACGGAACGGAGCTTTCATAGATTGTTCTGCCGGTTTCTGCAACTTGCCTGTGCTTGTGTACTGAATGAGCTGCGAATTTTCGCCAATTACCGAGTCAAACCCTGCGCAATCAAAGGCGGAAAAAAGGATGTCAGGTATATTCAAATTTTAAAGAAACCACATAAATCCAATTTACGGGAAATTCTGTAACGCAATCAAACAAAGCGTCAAATTTATTGTTTACAAAATGTCGGCTATGTAAATCCCTTAGCAGAGCAGTCTTTTATAGCAAAATTTCAGCTCATTTCGTAAAAGTATAGGAATTTAAATGCACATTTATTACTCTACGCACTGTTGATTATTTTTATGTCCGTTTTAGATTCGGTCCATTCAAACGGAGATGCCTCCAAACGCGCAAAAGAAGATCAAGAGGGTGAAACGCACACCAAGAAGCACCACCACGCTTCTTTTGCTGCTGATGACAGCATGGACAGTGCAGCCAGCGAGCCTGAGGACAAGCAGGAAAGTGGAGATGAAAACCCCAGAGAGATCATTGTCGTTGATGAGAACACAGATGTAAGTAAAAATTATATTTTGTTAATGAATGCCGAGTAAATTTTCACATATTCATTATTTCAAAGGAACTGGACATGAATCATCAAAGGATTGCCAAGATCACCAACTTGGAGCCGTTGAAGCAACTAGAGAGACTCTATCTGCGTTGGAATCTGATCAAGAAAATTGAAAACTTGAGTCACTTAACCACCCTTCGTGAGCTGGAGCTATACGACAACCAAATCATGGTCATTGAGAACTTGGACACATTGGTGAATCTTGAGTGAGTTAATATTAACTTAAATTATTGCCTGAAATTTATCTAAAATTTATCATTCTCAGGATTCTTGACCTGTCGTTCAACAGGATCCGAGAAATAAAGAATCTTGACGCTCTTGTGAATTTGGAGAAGCTCTACCTCAGTTCAAACAAGATCCAGAAAATTGAAAACCTTTCTCACTTGAAGAAGCTTGCTTGTCTTGAACTTGGAGACAACAAAATCAGGGTAAATGTTGTTATCTTGTACAGTTTAATACATTCTCAAAGCTATTTTTTTTTTATCTAATAGGTGATTGAGAACCTTGATGGCCTCAGTAGCTTGAAAAGCCTGTACCTTGGCAAAAACAAAATTGCCAAGATTGAAAACCTTGGCTGCCTAACAAGCCTCGATTTGCTCAGTCTGCAGCACAACCGTTTGACAGTTATTGAGAACCTTGATCAGCTGACCAATTTGAATCAGTTGTACATTTCTGAAAACGGCATCGAGGAAATCCAGAATCTGGACAAAAACGCTGAGCTCTCCACTCTGGACTTGGCTCAGAACAAAATCAAGGAGATCAAAAATATCTCTCACCTGAGCAATCTGGAGGAGCTATGGGTATTTGTGTCCAACTAGGCTTCCGAACGTATTTTAAACTTTATTTCCAGTTGAACGACAACTCGGTGGACAAATGGACCAACGTGGAGGTTCTCACAAGCAACAAGAAACTCAAAACAATCTATCTGGAGCGCAACCCTGTTGCAACTGAGACCGGTTACCGACGCAAGATTAAGCTGACCATTCCGTGGATTGTGCAGATCGATGCGACCTTGGCAGGCCAGTAGAAAGACTGAGGCGGACTGAGGAAGAATGCCTTGCTTGCTTTTACCAACCCAGAACTGAATTTTACGACTGCTGATTAGTTGCTAGTTATCACAAAATTTAATTAGAATGCTGACTGAATAATAGCAGTGCAACCAGTATTATATAAATTTGCTGCTTATCTTCATTAACTTTCTGATTGGTTTTAACACTCGTCTTGCAATTTTAATTAGTTCCTTTTCTCAGAGATCCATTTTGAAATTGCTTGAATTTTAGTTATTATTATTTCCATTGCAGTCTGTCTCATAACATCACCGTCAAAGCCTCTCTTGAGGCATTAAAATGACATTATTTCAGTTTGCTCCTCAATTTTTCACCCACTGCTGCAATTCTAGATTCAAACATACTGCCTTAATTTTGCGACTACATTATAGGATGGATTACGATATTCATTAAAAATTAAGAATTATTCCTGATTGATGCACCGTAAATAAAATCCATACATTTATACTGAAATAAGTGATTTAATTCATTTGCTCCACAACACCCGGCTGGCTGTCCACTTGCATCGGCACATTGTGCCAACTTGGATTCGACGCAATGTGGGACGCAAGGTATTCTCCTCCCATTTCGTCGTACATGTTTTTAGTAATACTCGAGTTCATTAACCAGTCTCTATCTAAACCCAACTGCCTTGCTCCATACCAGGCACTGAGCGACGGGCAACTAGATTGTCTGATGTTGAAGGAAGACTGGAAGGGTCGCATTTCCATGACTTCTTGATTCAATCTTGAAAGTAAACCAGGAAATCTGGACGAACCACCTTCACATGCAATTGAAGTTTAAAATTCTTGGTTGGAACTTTAATTTAATATTACCTGTGATGTAGATATCCTGCACCAGTCTATGCTGTTCATCAGCATCAAATTTCTTGAGCACATACTCGATGGTCTCGGACAATCCTCCTTGCTCATGCCCAATCATCGAAGGCTGAAATAGTAGCTCTGGAACTCTAATCAATTCAGTTCCAAGGGCAAACTGGTATTTCTCAGGTATGCAGGTGAACAGCGGCATCAACTTCTGTTCCTGTGCCTTATTCACCTCTGGTGCGTATCGGCCAAGAATTTCTTCCAGTTCAGCTAGACGCTCGCTCTCCTCTTCACTATCGGAATCGCCTCCATCCTATATCAACTTTTTTATATTTAACTTTATTCTCTACAATTTCAGAGATACCTTTTGAATGGCTTTGTAGACATCCCAATCTTCGTCCTTCATGCCAAACGTGTCCTCTCGTTTGTCCTTTTTGGCAAGCTGACTTATTATCCGCATCCTTTCTTGCGCCGCTGCAGTTCTCCTCTTAGCCATGTCCTGCTTCTTTTGTTTACGAGCATTTCTCTTCTCCAAAAGGGTTTGTCTTTTCTGCTTCAACTCGGAAATCCACTTCTCCATATCTTGCTCGTCATTTGGCATTGGCAACTCTTGCAATAATTTGGAAATTTTTACCTTTAAAAGGAAATTATTTTATATATGAAAACAAATTTTTCCTTTTAAATTACTTCGTTCTTTGTGGTGGCAATTTCTGGAGTTTCATCCAAAGACGCGTTCAACGCTGCCAGAATTTTGCTCTTGGTTTTTCTGATGCGAGCTTTCAAATTGCTAATCGCCTTGTTAAATTCTTGGCGGTTGCTCACGTCAAACTCTTCCAATGCTTGTTGAATGTCATCGTCATCTCCATCGTCCATCATTTCTTGAACACTCAACATGCGGCTCAAACTCTCCTCGTCCTCTGCCAACTGGAAAAATAATCATTTAACAGGTTTTAAAATAAAAGCAGCGTGTTCACCCTCTCTTCTCGCTTCTTGGCGTTGATTTCACCAAGACGTTTGGCAAGTTCCCTTCGCCTCTGTTGCTGCTGCTCAAGACTTAACAATGAAGAAGTTGACGGGGTTGGTGCGGCTGTGAACGGCAACTGCACCACCACCATATTTTTCTTCTGGTATTCAATTGATTCCCATTGCAAAAGTTCAGAGAAAAAATCATTAGACACACGGCAGTGTTGAAATAAGAGCTCCTGAAATATATAATAACCAAATTATTTACCACAATTTAAGAGACAATTCTTCCAATTTCTACCTCGGCCCTGCTCAAACTTATGGCTGGTGCCAATAAAGGGTTCTTGAGTTGCATGAGCCTGTGGAAGAAGCCAGTGATGTGAATGCCTCCGACGTTGATTCTCCTGGCGTGCTCTGACACCACAGAACCATTCAAAATAGGAATGACGTGTGTGCAGTGCTGGCCAAGACGCAGAACCAGCGAGTCTTTGGAAGCCACCTGGGGCGTGTCATTAATCCAACTGAAGAGGCCGTCGACGCCGTACACCACACTCGGAGTTCCGTAACACTCAAAGAGGAGCTCGGACATCACTAAGCAAATATTAAATTATTTTTCACAATTCAAACCTCCACTATATCAATAAAATACAGTTTCTGGAGTAGTTTGGGTTCAAGAAGCTCTCTGTTAAGATGATTGGGTGGTTAACACAACCCTCTGTGTCAATGCCGAGATTGCTGAAAATATGATCGAACACCTGCAATTAAGACACAAAATACAGTGGGTTATTTACTAAGTTTATTAAAATATGTTTAAAGAAAAAAAATAGATAAATTAATAAATAAACTGTGATATGTTTGTAATTAAAATTTTATTGTAAACCTGTTCCTGGGCTTCAAGGTGTGTGACAACATCCCTGTCAAACTGTGTTCTTAGCTGAAATCGAACTGCTTCTATGTTCGTGATACTATTTCCAACTTGTAGCTCTCCTTCCTGCAAAGATCCCAAGGAGTTATTTATTGATAAATAAAGTTAAATATTATTTCAAAATAAATGAGTATTTTCTGTGTGAAACTGTGCACTCGCGTGCTTGAGCTTGTATATACAAAGTTAGCGCACAGCGATTTTTTTGTACCTTTTTGCCTCTCTCTTTTCGTGGCTTTGCAATAAGATTCTTGAAGATCATGGCTGGCTCTGGACTGGATTCGGCGGCCCAACCAACACGGCATTGATAGCTGCCTGCATATTTTAAATATATGTAATAAATTATGTATTTGGAATGGAACTGAATTAATACTTCGTCGGAAAATCTATAAAAATTACCATTGTCGATTACAATTGGAGTATTTGCTGAATTGTAACGCGAGTAATCCACGATTGGGTCGGGAACAACTACAGAATCTTGCAATTTGAATAATCGCTCTTCGATGTTTTTTTCATCTGCCATTGTCTAAAAATTATAATCGTAAAGTTTATCAAAACCAATGACACACTCCTAATTATTTCTAAATACATAAATTCACACCATACCTTAAATTATTGATGTCTCAATTTTGTATGAAATTGAAATATAAATTGCGTAATTAAATAAAGACACAGCAAAGAGCAATTAAACAATTTCGTAAAAATTTTCCCAGATCCGAGTCTGCAGCTGCAGCTAAAAAATAAATAAAACCGGCATAAATGTCAACAAACAGCTGAAGAGACATCTGGTGTCAGTCGCTCAAAACTCAAATTGCATAATGCACCACTCTTGCGCCAAGAACCAGCCAGGTTGTGATTTTGTTTAGTTGATTGTTATGTTGAATTGCATAAAATCAATAATATAAATAAAAATAATATTATCTAGTTTTTTTTTTAACTCAAAATAGTAAGAGATTTTAATAAGTTTGGTGACAAAAGGTCACAATATAATAATACATTTGAATATATTATCATCATATATAATTTAAAAATTGCGATTTTTTTATTTATTTAAAACTCATTCATTTGAATGAAGTTTATAGATTAAAAATTAATACATCTATTTATCTGTTGAAAGGGCGTTGTTGTGTCAAAATAAAATAATGCCAAATTTAGCTGCAAACGAGCCCAAGGTAGTCATCCATCAATGTTCCAATTGCAAAAATTCCTGTTGCATCTACTCGAGTTCCTACAATTTTCAGACGAATCTCGTCATCAGCGTGGATCACAATATCCTAAAATTTAACAATTTTGTTAAACAGGCAAATTAAATTAGGATTATAATTAGAACAAATTACCTCGTCTTTAGATTTATAGCAGGGAGGCTGAACATTGGGACAAAATTCCATGTCTGCAGGAATTGACTGAAAATAAATTTGATTTTGAATAGTATTTTGCAAAGTAATTTTTATTAAATCTTTACGTGATGAGAGATAAAGCAAGAGAGAGGGCCTATGTCTGCAAAGATGCCAACCTGTAAAAATTATTAAATTTTAAAGACAAATTCTAGGTTTTATATTCTAGGCAATACTTTATAAAATATTACCTTGTTCACTTGAGTGACAACAGCATCAAGAACTTGACCCTTAAACGGTCTGAACACGATAGCGCGAAACTTGACTGGGTAAAGTACAAAGCCTTGGCCTGGCTGGATGAGTCCAGCTCCTACGTGATCGATTGTGGTCACGGCAATTACAAATCCATACCTGTAATTTTAAATATGATTAATATATGCTTAATTTTCAGAAATCCTATCAACGTACTTGCCGGTACACGTTCCTTCAATTTCAGTGTACAATTTTTGCCTGACCGTTTCGCTAAGCTGTGGTCCAAAATATTTTGGGTGAAGAAGAATTTCATGCTCCAGGGAAATCTGACAAACAAACGATGTTAAGTTCAGCTGAATTTTTAAACTAACAGGAAAAAATATAATGTAATACTGACGTGGTAAAACATTTTTTGGTGATCTAGGTAGGAGACGCAATTTAAATCGTAGTTTATATAAAATTGGCTAGATTCGGTAGCTCGGTTTCGGGAAAATCAATTCATTCCCTTTTTATGTTGATGTTACAGTCCTCTTAATCTGGTAATTTTGTGAACTTCTCTTTTAAAACAAGTTTATTTTGCTCGCGACCGCCTCAACTCTTGTTTGTTGTTAGTTCCGAGTGCGACTGATACTGCGCATGTGCAGAAGAAAAGTCGTGAAAATAAAATTTTTGAGCCCGTATTTGCACCTCCCCCCTTGGACCTTCAACAACACTGAAATCAGCCGATGAGCCGAGAGTGAGCCGAGCTTTTGTCCGCCGCGCAGCCACGTTGGAACTTGTGATTTTTTACATCCCGTACCGCAAGAAGCTCGTATATCAACACCTAAGTGGAATATTTGAGGTTGATATTCATTTCCTTTAGTTATTACATTCGCTTCAGCCAAAATTTTTGCAACGTTCTGTATTTTTTTTAAATTTAATATTTAATAATAATATGCACAGCTGACGTGTATGGATATGTGTCGGCTATTTTTATAATGCGATCTGTCAAATTGATCATTTTAATTTGGCGTTGAATTTTAATTCTTATTTTCAGTGCTGAAATGAGGGTGAAAGAGGTCGAGAGGACCGTGAATGTGGCCTGGTCGCCGCCAGACCAACACCCCATCCTGCTGGCCGGAGGAACAGCGGCCCAACAGCTCGATGCCACCTTCAGTACCACCGCCGCCCTTGAACTTTTTGCCCTGAATTTGAGCGAACCTGGCACGGACATGGAGCGAGTGGGCGGCACAACAACCGAGCAAAGGTTTTGCTTCAAAAAGTCCTCATAGAATTTACTGAAATTTTCCAATCTCAACAGATTTCACAAATTATTCTGGAGCCGGGACCTTTTGATTGGTGGTTGTGACAGTGGCATCATTGAATTGTACAGTCCTCAAGGGTTGCTCAGTGGTCAGAACGCTCTGAAGGCCAGGAAGGATGGACACAGCGGTGCTGTCAAAGCTTTGGATGTTAATCCATTTCAGGTACAAACACAACAAAAAATTTTAAAAATTTTATCCATCTAAAACTTGCATTGATTTTTTAGCAAAATTTATTAGCTTCTGGTGCTGGCGATTCAGAAATTTTCATTTGGGACCTTGATCAGATGAGCAGTCCAATGACCCCTGGGGCCAAAGTTGTTCCTCCGGACGCAGTCAGCTGGCTTTCGTGGAATAGACAAGGTTTGTTTGAAAGCAAATATTGTTCATTTAAAGTTAACTTTGACCTTTGCAGTGCAACACATTTTGGCTTCCACTTTTGCATCTCGATGCGTCGTGTGGGACCTGAGAAAAAATGAGCCCATTATCAAACTGGCTGATTCCACGTCACATGTAATTTATAAATTAAAAGATTGTCCTGGAATCTAATATTATTTATAGGTTCGTTGGAATGTTGTGGCCTGGCATCCAGACGTTGCCACACAGCTGTGTCTCTCCTCGGAGGATGATATGGCTCCAGTTGTTCAGCTCTGGGACTTGCGTTTTGCAACGTCTCCTCTCAAAACTATGGCTGGACACACGAGAGCTGTCACTTGCATCTCATGGTGTGCCAAAGACCCAGATCTTCTCCTCAGCTGTGGCCGAGACAATAAGATTTTATGCTGGAATCCTAATGAGCCAACTCCTGTAAGACGAAAATTCAGTTTTATTTTTCTTCAAAAGCATTTTGTTATATTGACTAGGGCAACGAGCTCATTTGTGAGATTCAAACTCCGCACCAGTGGCTTTTTGATGTAGCATGGTGTCCAAGAAATCCGTCTCTGATTTCTTGCTCCAGCTTCGATGGTCATGTTTCAATTTACTCTTTGACAGGAGGACAGCAGTCGACTGAACCAACAACCAGCAAGGTAAATTAGGAAATGCATTTCTTTTTAAATTTATTGTCACAATCGTTATTATAAGATTGCTGACTCATTCCCTGGAATGGAAAGTATTGCTCCCGCTATAGTAGCGCAACCAGTAGCCCATGCTCATGTTGATTTGCGAAAAGCTCCGAAGTGGCTCAGAAAACCAGCAGGATCGACATTTTCGGTATGTTTTTTTAACTTGATTTTTAAATTTATAACTAATTAAATTTTGTAGTTTGGTGGTCGTCTAGTGCAGTTTTCCACTGCCGAGCCTAATAAGATCATCATTAGCCAACTCGTATCGGAGCCTGAGTTGCTTAACAGGGCCTCAAAGCTCGACGATGTCTTAAATCAAGGCCAGTACAGAGAATTTTGCCTTGAGCAATCGCAGTCACCATCTTCCCCTCACCTGGGCACTCTTTGGAAATACCTTGGAGCACAGTTTGAGCCTCACCCTCAGTCGGCCACCCTGGCCCTTCTTGGCTATCCCCTGGAGCAAGTCAATGGCATCATTGATGCCACCATAGGAGACGACGTCAACAACCTTGCAAATGACATTTCTCAACTCACAGCAAATGTATTTTGAACTTTGAAACAATATATTGTATAAAATGAAATAATAAATTCCATTCTAGGGTGACCTTCAGACTGAAGGATATGACCAAAATGTTAGTATCCATCTTACATATATGCAAGCCATTTATTTATTTAATTTTTTTCAGCATTCTTTTGGAGACTTCCCAACTGAAAAATTCAGCATTCCAAATTCCCAAGGTATTTGCAGTTTATTTACGCTGCGTAAAGATTTTTAAAATAATGAAATTTCTAGACCCCGAGGGTCAGATTGGACAAGCCCTCTTGATTGGCCGAGTTGAGGCAGCTGTGGAGTTGTGTTTGAAGCAAAACAGAATGGCTGATGCTCTTCTTTTGGCCATGACTGGTGGTCCAAAGTTATTAGCTCAGACGCAGCAGCGATACTTCAAGGTAAGGATTTTCAAATTTTGAGTGTATTTCTCGTTATTAATTATTCGAATAGCAATCAAAAGGCTGGCTGTCACATTTGATCAATGCCGTTGTGAGCCACAACTGGCAGACCATAATTTCAACCTGCTCGTTGTCGTCATGGGCCCAACTTTTAGCTGGCATTATTACTCATACAAATGGAGAGGAGTTTTTCTCATTATGTCGTAATAAATTTAAATTGTCCTTTTAGTATGATTGTTATAAATTTAATTTCAGAGCAACTTGGCGAAAGGTTAGAGAATGATGCAGAATTGAAGGTATTCGCTCAAGTTTGCTATTTGTGTTCCGGAAATGTCAACAAACTTGTGTCTACGTGGGAAACGAGCTTCACTCCAAGCAGTAATCTTCAACTGCAGGTTTGAACAACAAGATATAATTTAATTTATATCCTGCATTGAATTCATTTTACTTGTAGGAAATGGTGCAGGGAGCTCTTTTGTTGCAACTTGCAGCCTCGACCAGTGCAGGAAGGGCCATCCCGACTACAGGAGCTCTGGCAAATTTTCTGTCAAAGTATGCTTTTCTCCTTGCCTCCCAAGGTGCTCTAACCTCAGCCCTATCATGCCTTGAATCTGCTCAGGATGTAAGAAAGGTTAATTTTAATCTAAGTTAAAATTAAAAACTGTCTCCGTAGGAATCCGCCTTGGAGCTTAAAGATCGACTGCAAACTGGATTGGGAATGAAAAGTCAGCCGAGGGCTGTGCATCAACAGCAGCAACAACAGCAGATTTTCAGGAGGACCAGTGGCCCACAATTGCCCACTGCTCCCGTAAATATAAAATACTACTTAAGTAATTTGTTAACTAATTGAAATTTTAAGTGGCCAAGATCGCGAACTGTCAGCCAATCGAGTGGCTACGAACCGACTGTTCCGACTTACCCTCAAACAGGCTCTGCTGGATACCAGCCTAGCCCATCCATCTTCCAACCAGCACCTGCTGCACATCACACTCCAGCTGCATACCCTCCTGCCCCTTCACCAGCCCCCACATCATACCAAACTCCTTTCCAACCAGCACCAGTGCCCGCCGCTGCAGCGCCGCCTCCGCCACCAACTGGAGGAAAGCCTGCCGGGCTCAGTGCCGTCTCTGGTGTGAAAAGAAAATAATTTATTCTCGGATTGAATTATTTTAAATTAATTATTTTGTAGGTCGCAAGTACGTTGCTGATCCATCTGTTCAGAGTGGCAGTCCTTATGGCCAGTCTTATGGAAACAATCAATTTGGACAGTCGAGTCCGTACTCGTCAAACTCCTACACTCCTAGTCCCTACGTTGATAATACAACTTATCAGGCGCCTCAGCAGCCCAGCGTATTTTCTCCATCTTCAAATGCTGCCTACAACACAGCACCTGGGACTGGTTCTTTCAATAGTTCTCCATATGCAACATACAATGGTTCGAAACTTGAATATAAATTTGAGTTTTCAAATAATCTTAATTTTTCTATTAGAACCACAAGGTGTTGTCAATACGCCACCAAGGGCTCCACCAAAACTTATGGAGAGTCAACTTGCACCTCCTGGCTGGAACGATCCGCCTCCCGTCAGCAAATCTAATCAGGTATAAACTTGCTCTTCATCCAAGTTTTGCATTTAAATATTCTGTTGCCTCAGTTGCCTGTAAATAATTTAATTTTTTTTCTTCATTCATAAGTTATTGGTGCTATTATTTGCCATTTACAGAAAAAGCCTGATATCAATGTCCTTGCCCCTATTACCCATCCTTTGTTTGGAGTTGCTCCTGCTGAACCAGAGCCAGTTAACATGGTATGTAGTTATCAGTCACTCTCACATATGCATAGTTGCTTTTTTTTAAATTATTATTTATATGAAAAATTTCAATTATTTTCAGGGGTACCAAGGTGGCTATTATCAGCCCACAATGCCGCAACAGCAGCCGATTCAAAATCAGCAATATGTTCAGCCGGCAGCGCCGATGCAACAGGCGCCGATCGAGAGAGCCACAATTTGCGAACCTCCGAAGCCCAAGGCTGAAATCCCGGCTGAGCACATAGTGATTGCTAACGTGTTGACTTCTTTGAAGGACCAGTGCGTCCATGTGGCTGCCAATCCTCAAATGCGGCGAAAACTTGAAGACGTTGGAAGAAAACTAGAGATTTTCTTTGATTGCCTCAGGGAACACAAGGTACGAACAAGCATTACTTGAATTCAACTTGAAATCACAGAAGCTCATTATTATTGTTTTTTTAGCTTTCGGAAAACTTGCTGGCGTCGTTCCACGAACTGATTCGCTACATCCAAGCTGGCGACTACCAAAATGGCTTGCATCTTCATACACAATTGATTTCAGGGCCCGACTTTTCACAGATTTCGACATTTATGCCCAGTATCAAGGTCCTGATTCAGACTTCGGCTCAGCTTGGCATCTACGTCCAGTAAGTCAGGCGAGTACCATTGCTCCTTCCCTACTTGGTTTTTTCTCACAGTGCGGAAAAACCTTTGCAAATATGATGAATAATATTTTTGTGAATTTGACCCCTTTAATTTATGGTCTGATGATTGCCAATGCCAAATTCTGTCAAAGGGAAGAGAGCTATTTGTATTTATTCAAAGGAAAAGGGAGTTTGTAAAAAATAGTATAAAAGCCCCCATTATTAAAACGTTACAGCCTTGTTGATATGTTAGATTTTGATAAAGAATAAATCATTTAAATTAATAAATACATCATCACGATTTATTTCAATAAGTTACAGGGCGTTAGTAATTTATCACAGAGCGTCTTAAACATTAAGTTAAAATTTGGAAATTCCACGGGAATCTTAAACAGCTTTGATCTCCTCTGCGAGTTGATCTTTCATGGGTGCGAAAGTGAAAACGTCATCCTTAACTTCCGTGTTGTTTTCGTCGAGCACAATGAGAGGCGAAACACCGTCGGAAAGGCTGGTTCGCGATTGCGACCGCTGGAACAGATCTCGGGAAACGCTTCGGGTGAAGCTGAATCTCTTGGAGAGGCGAGCCTGTCTGCGCTTGCTGTCTTCTGGGATCTTTGTGACTTCGGACGCCATCTCTTTCACCACCTTCCACGCAAAGTCTTTAAAGAAAAAATTAACAAAAATTAGTTACAAATTTAAAAAAAAAAAATTCCAAAATTGCGTACCTATGTCATTTTCGGAAGCGTGCTCGGCGGTCACGCAGAAACGGATGATGTACTTTTCGTTGACGCGAGCGGGAATCATGTGCAATTGGCCGGAGATGTTGATTTTGGCGAGCAGATCTTGCGTGAGCTTGTCGTCTCCACGCAGCCGGAAACAAACCAGTCCCATCTGAAAACAAATGAGCCATCAATTAGCACACTTTCTCAAATGAGATCATCTCGAAATTATTACCTTGACGTCATTGAGAACCTCAAATCGGTTGTCTGAGAGCACACTCTGCTCGAAGCGCTTTGCGAGTCTGCAGTGGTTCCTGATGTACCTCTGCAGGCCTTCAATGCCATAGGAGCGGATGACGAACCACAATTTGAGGGCGCGGAAGCGGCGGCTCAAGGGGATGCCCCAGTGGCGGTAGTCGATGGTCTGGGCGCTGTAGCTGTGCTGCAGGTACAGGGGGTCGACGACCAGCGCCTGCGTCAGTTTGAACTGGTCGCGCACCCACATGGTGGAGCAGTCAAAGTTGGTCAGCAGCCACTTGTTGGGGTTGGTGTTGAAGGACGAGGCGAGCTCGATGCCCTTCATCAGAGGCCTGAACTCTTCGCAGATGAAAGCGTTTCCGGCGTACGCGCCGTCCACGTGCATCCAGATGTCCAGGTCGGCGCAAATCGGGCCGATCTCGCTGATGTTGTCGAAGGAGCAGCACGAGGTGGTGCCCAGGGTGGTCGACACGAAGAAGGGCATCAGGCCCTCGTCGCGGTCCTCCTCGATGGCGGCGGCCACGGTGGCGCCGCGGAGGCTGCAAGACGAGTCCGGCTCGAGGATGCGAAGTTTCACCAGGCAAATTTTGGCCGCCTTCTCGACGCACGAGTGCGCCTCTTTGGAACAATAGGCCACAAGTTGGCTCAGCAGTTCACCCTCTTCGACGCCGGGGTGCTCCTCCTTCAGCTTATTCAGGGCTTGGGCCCTTGCGGCCAACATACTGACCAGGATACACTCGCTTGCGCAAGACTGCAAACAGAAAAAAATATTTTATCAGATTTGATAAATTTTACATGCAGTTTTCTTCCTTGTTAAATAAAAAAATATAAAAATAATAAAAAATGAGCAAAATATTTTTTATAATTTTATAAATTAAATAATATCAAAGAGGTGCGAATTTTTTAAATATTGAAAAATATATAAAATAATTACCTGGATGACTCCGCCGCCCTTTCCTCCCGGCGTTTTAGACAAAAACTCTTCAGGCAGCCCAATGGCCTGTCCGAGCCAGTCCAGCACGATTGTCTCCAGCTCGGCGCAAGATGGACTTGCAGCCCAAGAAAAGCCAATGCAGCCGATGGCGTCGCTCAACATGTCCCCGAGGATCGAAGGGAAAGAGTTGCCCGACGGGAAGTAGGCATGGAACCTGGGGTGCTGCCAGTGGGTCACTCCGGGCATGATCTTGGTCTCGATGTCGGCCATAATATCGCACCACTTCTCCGGCTTTTGGGGAGCAGCGTCCGGCAGCAGGGGGCGCAGGTACCCTGGCTCGATGGCCGGAGTGACCCTTCGTTCTCCGATGCCCGAGGCGTACTCACAGATGTAGTCGATCATGGCTTTGCCATTCTCCCTGAACTCTTCAACGTTCATTGTGTGTGTGTGTTTCTCTTTCTTTTCGTGGGCAAGAGAAGGTCCAGTCCACCAAGTTGGTAGGCGCTGGGAACTTAAATGTGACGAGCAGGTCGCGGTTCGGCCTTTATATTATCGCCCCACCAGATTTTCAGAGAGGGAATTCCGTCCGCGGAGGATAACGTCACAAAAACCTGCTCCTCGCTCATTTGGTGCCTGCTGCTTTGGTTAATTTCTGCTGATATCTCCAACTTTAATTACATAATTGTTAAAAAAATTCCTTCAAAAGTTTTGCTGAGCGCTTTTGTTTTCTTTTGGTAATTTTGATTCAAAATCATAGTTTATACAGTATATTTCTCCTAATAAAAGAAAACACCTGAAATCTTTTAAGCCTAAAAGACTTAATCCTACCTGTTTGCAGAATATTAAAACTTTTTGTATTAAAAATATGTAATTGTCCAATATTTAAAATAAAATCGTTATATGAGCTAAAAAATTTATCAATTTTTTCTGAATACTTATTATTTATATTTAATGATTGCAAATTCATAAAAAGGTTAAAGAACGACGTTATTTTGTGTAAGTTAATTTTATCTTTTGTTTATAAAATGAACTTTCCTCGTCTCGCTATAATCACCCAATCATTGTAAACGAGCACAATGCAAAAATCGCGGCAGGGGCCGGGAATCCCTTCCACCTGGTCTCATTCAACGGGCCATAGGTCAGATTAGATACAGACTCGTCTCTTTCAGTGCGGTACAAGCTTTTTATTGCCGACTACAGCCTGCAGGGTTTTACACACAAAATGCATTATTTCCTCGTGGGATAATCTGCTGCACTCCGCAGCTAACATTTAAACATAATTTCGCCAATTTTTCCTCATTTTCCCGAGCAGGAAAATCGACACGCCTAATATTCCCGATTCCTCCGGCAGACGTGAGGGGATTTTCGCGGCGACTTTTGGGTGTTGTTCGTCTGCTTCGGATCATTCTCGGAACCCGAATTTTCCGCTGCACCATTCGTCTTCAGCCGCACCATTGTGTCTAGGTGTCGGAATCTGCACGATCATTTTGAAAGCGAAATATGAATCAGAGACTGAACCGTCAGAACCGTATTTAATTTTTTTTAGCACGCACCTGACAGGTAATTGAGGCGATCCTTTCGCCTCGTCAAATGTGCCTTGGAAAATAAACGCCAGTGGCCAGCTTATCCAAGATGCGCTGAAATTGCATAATTTTAATAAATTATTAATTTGCTTTAATTATTTATTTACCGAAATATTTTCTGTCTGATTTTTACTTTGAAAATATGAAAAAATTATTGGCGTTAATAGGAAGTAAAATTGTTGCAGGAAAAAACTTTTGAGATAATAAATAATCAATTATTCGTACCAGTATCTACGAAGTAAGGAAGTGTGTTAAAAATTTGCTTTAAAAAATATAAAAATAAAATTTTGAGCCTCCATAGAGCACAGGGGTCATTATTTTCGCCATTTTTTATTTCACACTCACAGAGGTCTTTGCACGGCTTGCGAATTGTTGTCAGCATCACTTTCTTCTTCCTCTGCGCCTGGAACTTCGTGGACGTCTTCGCTGGAGCTCACGTGCCTGCGAGCGATGCTCATCTTAGGGTTGTAGATCTTGGGGTCGCTGACCATTCGAACAAAGAATGACCTCTTGTAGGCCAGCTTTTCACGCTGCCGGCGCTCCAGAGCAATTGCCTCTTCGCGAGATGCCTGCTGCGGGCATAAATAACGAATTTCGTTTTACAATTATTTTACATAATTTCAAGGAATTTAAACAAATATTAAGAAAAGATTTTTTGATGGAAAATCAGACTCAAATTTCAATTCGGCAGACTATTATTAATACAATTATTTCGCGAGTTTAATTTTTGATATGTCTATTTTTCTTCTTGCAAAACAGAAGGTATTGCGGATGTTTAAGAACCACATCAGATTAGGAAGCAAAACACTTGATTCTTGCGGCTTTGGAAATTTACAGGAAACTGAAAAAGTCCTTGTGCGTGAAAGGAAATTCAGACTGACGCGTGGATTAGCCGCAGCAATTTAAAACAACTTTGTGGGAACTTCAAGTTGGTTAATAAGATTTTGACAGGATGGGACAATAATTGTGGCTTAAAGCGTAGATAATAAAAATAGATATTGCAGAAAAATTCCACTGTAAGACAAACAAAAAGTTGTTACATAACACGCGCGTGGAATAAAATTGTGATACTTCTTAAAATTACCAAAAAAAGGTATTTTTTTACCTTTTCGTCTTTTGGTTTCATCACTCCTGGTTGCTTGGAAATGAGAGAATCGGCGCTTGCAAGTATAACTGACCAAGCGTGCTCTGCAACAATTATCATAATATTGAATTTTTTTTACATTTTTATTGAAAATTTTACCAAAAAAACTTTATAAAATTTTATAAATATATTTTGGGAAAATTGATTTTGCAACTGACCAATGTCCTGCTCAGTGGCGTGCTGGGCTGTCACGCAAAACCTGATGACGTACTTTTCGTTGACAGAGGCTGGCACCATGTGCAGTTTACCCGACGCGTTGATTTCGCTCAGCAACTTCTGATTTAGAGTATCTGATCCTTTCAGCCGAAAACACACCAGTCCCAGCTGAAATGACATTTCATCATCAACCATTGTCACATGGGCCGCAGATCAGCACGGCGTGAAAATTCTTTCACGCATGCATACAGAAATCGCTCTCAGGCCAGTGAATTGTCGCGCGCACCACGGTCATTAAGTCGGAGTGCAAAGCATCGCGGATTAAAAGCGAACACGATTCAGAATCATTCAAATCACCAGAGTATTTAATTAAAAGTAAATAAATATACAGTTTAAAAACAAACTCAGGTGCAAGTTTCTAATTGCAATATTTTTACAAATTTAAATTTTTTCTTCCTCAACATGAATTATTATTTTTTTCTTAGTCTAGAAAGTGACAGGGGGATATTTTAAATCGAAGTAAAATTACTATGTTTGAAGACCGTATTTCCCCCACGCGGCCAAGGTACCTAATTATTATTATAAGTTCTTAATGCTCTTACAAATGAGTCAGCACGACCGCAGGGAGCGTGAAGCTTGGAAAACTTCATTAGTCTTCTGTAGCATATTATCGGTTAAAGGAAATTTGATAAATTTAATTATATTGTAAATATTATTACAAAATATTCCACAATTTTATTCCTCCAAAAAGAAATGGAAAATAATTAAACTCACCTTGACGTCATTGGCAATTTCGAAGCGCGAGTCTCCGAGGACGAGGCACTCGAAGCGCTTTGCAAGTCTGCAGTGGTTCCTGATGTACTTTTGCAGACCCTCGATTCCGTACGAGCGGAGGACGAACCACAATTTGAGGGCCCGAAATCGGCGGCTCAGAGGGACACCCCAGTGGCGGTAGTCGATGCTTTGCGCGCTGTAGCTGTGCTGCAGGTACAGGGGGTCGACGACCAGCGCCTGAGTCAGCTTGAATCGGTCGCGCACCCACAAGGTGGAGCAGTCGAAGTTGGTCAGCAGCCACTTGTTGGGGTTGGTGTTGAAGGACGAGGCGAACTCGATGCCCTTCATCAGAGGCTTGAACTCTTCGCAGATGAAAGCGTTGCCGGCGTACGCGCCGTCCACGTGCATCCACGCGTCCAGATTGGCGCAAACCGGACCGATTTCGCTCAAGTTGTCAAAAGAGCAACACGAAGTTGTGCCGAGAGTGGTCGAAACGAAAAAGGGGATTTGGCCCATCGCTTGATCCTCCTCCATCGCCTTTAAAATTTAAAATTATACACATTTATTTTGCACAGTTTTAAAAAAGCTTTTTTCATGAAAGTAAAGAAAAATGGCTTCTTCCTGTTTAAAAAAGTATTTTTTTTTATTAAAAAAAAATAATCAATTTTGGTGATGATCGATCCTTGATCTTTTTTCATGAGGAAGAATAAAATACAAAAATTCAGCCAAGCGTTTTAAGATTTTAATTTTTTAATGGTTTTTCCCATTTTTTTCTTCCTCACGAAATAAGGTTCAAACCGTAACGGAAACTGTTTTATCATTTTTTTTTTTTTTTTTTAAATAATAAACAATTTTTTGCAACACACAGAAAGCCGGTTTCTTCACTTCCAGGGTCGTCTTCTCGAGTGCCAATTTATTCAATCAAATAAAGGAATGATTTCAGTTTGTAATTTTACTTGCCTGTCGCAAAGTTGCGCCCCTCAAGCTGCAGTTACTGTCCGGCTCGAGGATCCTCAGCTTGACGAAGCAAATCATCGCCGCCTTCTCGACACACGAGTGCGCCTCTTTGGAACAATAGGCCATCAACTTGGACAGCAGCACACCTTCCTCGACAAACGGATGCTGCTGTTTTAATTTCTTGATGGCCTGCGCCCTCGCACTCAGCATACACACAAGCACGCATTCACTTGCTGAACCCTTTGGGAAATAATTGATTGATAAAACGGTGCGGTGCGTATAACACGGAGAAAATAAAAATAATACAGCTTCAAAAGCTAGAATGTGAGATTAAAAAATGTGCCAGAAAAAAGAAAATTTATTGCAATTTTTATAAAATAATTGAAAATATTAATATCGCTGTAAAAATTATAAAACCTGAATGACGCCGCCACCTTTGCTGCCCTCCGAAAACGCGAGGAACTCTTTCGGCAGCCCAATGGCCTGGCCCAGCCAGTCCAGGACGATGGTCTCGAGTTCCGTGCAGGCTGGACTCGCAGCCCAAGAAAATCCAATGCACCCGATGGCGTCGCTCAACATGTCCCCGAGGATCGAAGGGAAAGAGTTGCCCGACGGGAAGTAGGCATGGAACCTGGGGTGCTGCCAGTGGGTCACTCCAGGCATGATCTTGGTCTCGACGTCGGCCATAATATCGGACCACGACTCAGGTTTGCGCGGCGCGCTCGACGGCAGAAGCGGCCTCAAATAACCTGGTTCTATGGCCGGAGTGACCCGCCGCTCACCTAGCCCTGAAAAGGGGTCAGTGAACACATTGATCGCTTGTTTTTTTGTTGATTTTAGTTATGCATTATGTGACATTTAAAGGGTTAATATAAGTGTAATGAAAGATCTAAATTTAAAAAAAAAAAAATTTAATTTATATATAAATTAAAATTATAAAGCTCTTAATTTTGACACTAATTTCAACTAGGAATTTAAAAAAGCTAATAATTCTTATTCAATACTCTTTTAATTTTCAACGTGTTTTATTTTGTATCAGGAGGAATAAAATTATTGGCCGTAGTGGGCAGTAGATTGATTTTTTTTAAACAATAAAGTAAACGCTTCAAACATATTTGTTGCTCTCAAAATCAAAAGCGACCTAAGTGAAATTAATTTTAATAAGCTTTAGTTTTAAATTTCAAAATCATCTATAGATCTATTCTATGTGCTGGAATTTAATCGGAAAATCAGACACAGGCAATAGCAAAAAACATAATTCTCAAATTAGCATAATTTCATAACACTTTCGTTTTGAGAAATTAATTAATTAATAAATAATTAAAAAAATTCAATTCAAATTAAAAAAGATGTTTTATGATCAATCAATAAACATAATATAATATAATAATGAAGTTGAATTTCTTGTACAAATTCAATGATTCTGGTTGCCAATAAAACATAGTTTCAAATTGTTGAATTAATTTAAAGTCTTTATCAAAATTATTGTGGAAAATTTACAGATTTACAAATTATAATAACTCTGTTATTTGACAATAAAAAGAAAAAACTATAGCGGCGAATGATCAAATAATTAAAATTTAAGCAAGAATTTTTTGCTCTACTTGCCTTCTAGGTATTCGCAGATGTAGTCGATCATTTCCTTTCCATTCTGACGAAATTCCTCGACGTCCATGGAGACAGACAGGTGGTTGGTGCGAGTGTCGTGCGGGTTGGCTGGCCTACCTGTGGCTGCAGCAGACCGCGAACTGGGCGCGCACCGACGCCTGCAGCCTCCCTCTGGCGCGGGGGGTGCGACCGCCCCCGCGCACCACATTTTGGCGCTTGCTCTCAAGTGAGTAATTGAGAGGTGTGCTGCGGGTGGCATCCTCGAGGGCCAATCGACTCCCGAAGAACCAGCAACCCTTCCTTCGGAGCAGTCAATTAACCGCGCAAGCAAGAAGTTTTCCACTCGAGCCCGTTCTCGCGCGGCGTCCTCGCAAATTGCCTGTTCAATTTGATTTGTGCCAACCAGACATCTGCGAAATTGTCTCGCACTTGACTTTTGAGACGCGTAATTGAATTTTCATTACTTCAATTTCAAGTCTTGCGTCTGGTGCGAGATCAGATTAATGTTTCTTCATTCTTGCATAATACTAATAATTATTACGGGTGCTGCTGACACCATTGGATACCAAGAATTTTACATTTTTTTCAAAGGATAACATGATCATTTTATGTACTATTGAATTAAAAAAAAAATGAAATAACTGACATTAAGGACTCCTTATTGACATAGTCAAATCAAGTCTTTTCAACAATATAAGCTATTTTGGGCAATTATTGGAAATTTAACAAACCATTGTTGTAAAGACTTGATTTGACTATGTCAATAAGGAGTCCTTAATTGGTTTAATATAGCTTTTAGATATGAGTAATGAATAAAATTTAATAAAAAAAATTAAATTTTAAATTTATATATTATTAATTTATGTTAATCTATCATTTACATGAATTAAAAAAATTATAAATTTTTTTTATAAATATTTTATTTGATTTTATTAAAATTTTACTATCACTATTTTAATTCCTTTATTATTTAGTCAGCGTAAATTCTGTTCCTTGTAATGAAGAGACATTTTGGAACTTTGTCTCGCTATTAAAAAGAGAACCACACTTTTTCATTTGGCCTGTTTGCAACAGAACTCTGTGAATGCAATCTCAACGAGAGCAAAATGATGCTTAGAATAGAACAGAAAGAAATTAAGAGTTTTTTTATGTTACATAATTTTTATTTATTCATTTTTACAACCTATATTTTAAACCAGAGTTTGATCCCCACACAAATGTGCACAGTTTTTTGCAAACATAACGGTCCGCGGCCAATTCAGATCTGATGTAAGAGTTGCATTATCTGTCAGCAACACCGCCTTCGCGGGCCAAAAAAAATCAGATTTAATCATTTTAAGGCTATTTTATTTAAAAGTAAATAATTAATTTAGAATGTCTTGCCCAATTTGTGAGTGAATTGAAGTGAATTCAACGCCGTCGTCTGAAAATTGGTTGAAGATTATAATTGGAGAGGAAGAGATGAGAAACTTGGAGCAACCAATTATATTTAGTTATTAAAAAAAAAAAAAAATACTAGGAGATCATTTTCTACTTGCATCAGTTTATTTCTGCCTGATCGCCTGATCGGAAAGGGCTGGCAAAGCTTTCATGCTTTGCGCTATAGACTAATTAATTAGACACTGTTGAATTTTCCACGAGAAAAATTGTCTCGATAAATAAAAATTATCAGAACATACACTATGAAAAATGCTTCTATATTTATCATATATTTTCAAAATTTTGTTATGAAAGTTTTTGAAAAGAGCTTTCGCGTTGCAGGAAACGAGGCAACAAATTCAGCGAATTGTTTTTTTCTCTCATATTTTTTTCAGAGCGAGCATTCGTCGATCCCGTGGCTCTTCCTCAAAACGTGACCGGCGCGAGTGATTTGACGTTTGTTAATGACTTTGCAAAAGAGCGCTTAGTTTTACCGAGATGAAAAAAGCAGTGTTTGCAGAGAAATTAGCGGATATCGCGTTTCATGCTCACACACAACGGTGACGTGCTTTTGGTTCATCTACGCCCAACCTTGGTAAATAGGACCTGAAATATTATGTTGAGGAAAAATTCGCGCCGCCGCTGACAGGGCGAAAGCGATCGATCACATTACGCCGCGGCCTTGCAGAGGAATTCTTAATTTAGAATATACGCGGATATGATTTAGAGCAAAGTATTTTTGAATGAACTGATCAAGATCAACGCTGTCAATATATAAGATACATTTTTCATTCATTTTTTATAAGCATTACGTCAAAAGGTACAGCGAGCGAGACGAATAAAAAATTAAAAAGGTGCCGTGACAGGCACGTCGCCAGTCTATCATTATATAATCAAAATATTTGCATCCGCAATTTTGGCGCAAGTGGACAGTAACATATAATGACATACAGAATTTTAAATTATATGATGAAATAAAGAAGTCTTGTTGCTGTCAAAAATCTTCTCAAATAGTGGCCTATTTATTTAAACATGATAAAAAGTCAACTAAGAAACAGTGAAATGGTAATTTATCAATGCAAAAGATTAATTATAATTTAGAACTTTAAATTTTCTTCCTTTCCAAGAAATTATTATTACAACAGGAGAAGTTCATTGGACGCACCTGACAGCATGACAGGTTGAAAAGTCATGATTCATCAAACGAAAGGAAAATCGAAATTAAATCTTATTGTTATAAAGTCCTCTTGGTGGAAATAAATAAGTCATGATGTCATTGGAAATTTGACAAGGATTAATATAAAAATTTTGCATGGCGTTTGCTTAAGCTTTTTTAAATAATCCTTTTTATAGAATCTACATTTTTGTTTTTTGTTGTGTGTCACATTTATTTTCAAATCACAGTTGTTGAGAAGGGACGAGTCAAACGAGCAAAGATAAAGGGAGCGCGCTTTATAAGGGAGGGAATCGATGATTGCGGTTGCACTTGAACAAAGGCGTGGTTTTTAACGCCAGAGAGGAGCGAGACTGCAAAGGGTGGAATTCTGTGTGACCCAGATATAAAGATATTGGTCGGCATTCTTCGCATATCATTCGCACTATATTGGGCAGACGCAAAGCTATGCACCCTGCTTCGGCTCGGCGGGAAAACACGCTCATTGTGATGAGATGCGCCCCCGCAACTATTTTTAGCAACACAATTTTAATGGTTGTCGTTAAAACTGCGTGGAAAAATAATAATTATAAGTAATGATGCAGATGAAATAATTTGAAGAAGACGCAATTAAAACGATTCTGTGGTAGAATTTCGCGATCGAAGGTTGATTTGTGGTGATTTGATTTTTAATTCTCGATGGGTCTTGTCAGCTGTGTATTGTTTAAGGATTTGTTTAAGATTAGAGCCGGATATTGTTTTTTGTTTTAAACAATAAACAACTCACAAAACCCATCAAGGAAAAGCCAAATTTAAAACTAAAATGATTCGTTATCAAGAAAAAGACTGGTGAGACGGAAAATTGCTCAATGAAAGACTGATTTCTTCCCTAAACCTTTTATATTTTATTTTTCCAACTGTCATTGCTTTACATAAATTCATCTTTGGCAAGTAACCAAAAAGTACATAAAATAACACAAAAATTAATCAAATGTACATAGTTTCAAAATATTTGGCTATATAAAATTTTATTGCTTTAGCTAACTTTTTTTAATTTTTAACTAATAAAACCAGTCATACAAGTGAGATAAACATACAAGTCCATAAAATTGTTGCTATTATTCCATAAAGCGCATTAGGAGGTGAAATTTTCTGTGTATTTGACATAAATTATTTTAACATCAATTTTGCGGCGTGGCCACATTTTTCTTCTTCAAATCTCGACTTTATCTACGCACTTTTTAAATATCAAGTAAATTACTCGAAAATAACATATTTTCACAATGATATCTTAAAATCCTTCCATTTTTAATTGATTGCAACTCAAAAGCGGCCCATAATCATGTGTGTATTGCATTGCATATAGTCCTCAGGATATAGGGAAAGGTCATAAAAATATGCACCTGAGTATTTGTATTTAATAGAAAATTCTATAATCAAAATTTTAATAGATGACTTGAATATTCTTTACATTATAATTTATATCTGATGAAATCTGATGATCAAAACAAGTTGTTTAATTATATTTTAACTTTGCTGCTATTTAAAAAATCTTTTTATACAATTCAATTTTTTTCCCATTAAAATAATATACAATTATGTGCAAATATGTGCTCATCAGGAGTGATTTTTGAGGATTTTTGCAAAGTGATTTAAGGATTTCAGACTATATATGATTTTCAACAAGACAATAATGTCCTCAATTAACATCATTGTTTTATGATATGTATCAGGTCGAGCTCAAATTTTTGTACAGGCGTCAAACTATTTGATTATCACTTAGCACTCCTATTCATTTCTTACTCCCATTCCTGCTGCAGTTATATTATGATTGAGAGAGACACCGCGAAGAAGATTTTGTGAATATTGAATTTTTTATTAACGATCGTGCTGAACCTGATTTTTTCCAGATCCAAAGTAACAGCAGTAGTGCATTTTTCTACTTTTCAAAGCGCAGCTAATTATATTTATTTATTTATAGAGCATGTCGCAAAAAGATCCTCACAATCAGTGCATTTACAAAAGCAGCCAATATATTCTGCAGAATGGGATTTCACATTGTAACAGTGCTTTTGATTTTTTGATATGTTTTTATTCCATTTAAAACAGCCAACCTAATTTCCAATATTATCTCGTTAAAAAAGTATAAAAAGCAGTTTCACCGTTTTTGTTTTAATAAGGCTTTGATTTTTTTAGCAGATCATTTGTATACGGCAACATATTCTTTGAGCACAAATCACGGATTTGATCATGTTTTATGGGATACTCGGTGTGCATCCAATGAAATTTCTAAATCGATATGTATTAAAATCTGTGCGCCTTAAATATACCAAAATTGTCGTCAATCTCAATAATTTTAGAAATGACTTTTGAAAGACTTACAGAGCTAAAGGCAGCAACAGCAGGTCATCATTACCGATATCAAGCTGAATCCAAATATGTGGACAAAAGCCAGCACCCAGTTGATATCACTCTGCGGAGAATCTCCGTATCCGAAAACAAAAGACCTGCAAAAAATACGAATAATTTGCATAATTAATTATTATGAAAGTAAAATTATTCACCAAGAAAGTAGGTTAAAACTGTCGTAGTAACTGTTGCCAAAGTAGGCAAATGTGATGTTGAAGGCGTGGGTTGTTGCGCCAATAAACTCGGAGCCAAAGTAAGACTGGATGAGAATGTCTTCGAAATCCTCACTTTCTACCATTCGCAATGGATGCTGAAAGGTCGGGATGACTGAAGTGGTGCTTTTGACAGATGAAGTGAATGCCATGCGGTGCCATTGCATGAAGCCGCCACTTTTAGAAAATCCATGTGGTACTGACATTTCATACACCTAGAAAATATGATAAAGTTATTGTTTCATTTACTTAATTTTCCTTTTTCATTTGAAAAAAAAATTACCTGGAAATATTCCGGCACCAGGTTTTCAAAACTCTTTTGCTTCTTTCTAATGACACTTTCGAAAAAATTGTTGTCGTTGCTGGCAACGAAGAACTCCAAACCAAATCTAGAGTGATTTTGGAAGTATGGTTGGAAGTTTTGCAATGATATTTGGAGAAGGCTCGAGTTAATTGTGTGCCACAAAATCTCTTCCATGTCAAAGCCATCCTCGTCGTAAATCTTTAACTGAAATAAAATAATCATGAGTTCTAATTAAATTCAATCAATATAATATCAGGCAAAATTATTACCACAAGAGAAACGGTTCCTTTGTATTCCTCAAAGTGGCGGTCCATGTAGTCCTCGCCCAAAAACTCGAATCTGAGAGGGCAACCCTTTTCGCCAATTTCCACAGGAAGTGGTAACCAACTGAACTGGTCCATGTGCCAACTGTAGACGCCATTCTTGTAATGAGGCCACAAATTATGCTCTCCGTACACCTCGAGAATCTAAATGAAGGAGATAAATTAGTTATAATTATATTTTTATTCGCATTTAAGCTAAAGTTAAAAGTAATGAAATAAGAAAAAAAGGGAATGTAGAAGTAAAAATTATAGTCCCTTTTTCTTAATTCATTTCTTTTAACTTAAACTCAAACGAAATGAAACCTCCATGATGGATCCCAATTTTGGGAAAGAATTTGTTAAATAATTTATATTTTTTGCAATAATATATTTTAACAAAAATTATCAATTAAAATGAATTAAACAGGTTGAATGGATTAAATAAGGATATATTACCATGCGTTGACCTACAACTATTTCTCGGTGAGCATTTCTATGTGCATAATCAATGAATCCCGTTTTAAATATGGCATTCAACCGAAAATGAATATAAATTTTAAAAACACGCGATACTATATAAAAAAAATAATAATAATGGAAATAGGATTGAGGTCTTACTCGATTGATAGTAAATCCAAAAGCGAACGACGGCTCGGGATGGAAGTTAATGCACTTATCCAAAGTGCTGGCCATCAATAATTCCCAGTTGATGGTGATGTTGGCGAAGGGCTCGGTCACGGCGATCAAAAACGAGGGCTTTTCCAGCAGGCTACAGATGTAGTGGATCGTGTTCGTGGTGCCAACTGCCCTAATGTGAATTACTGTTGTGTCCTCCGAGCCGCCAGGGTTCAATTTCCAAAATAGCTGCGCAATTATTAATAATTGAAATCACCATTTACAAAAAAGAGAAATGCAAAACAAGCGTTACTACATTAAACAAAAATTGCTCAATTCATATGCGTGGTCACAATCCACAAAAATCAAATTCACATTGATTTTTAAATTTTTTGGATTTTACATTTTTAAACACAAAATGCCCCATAAATTTTGCTATTGTATTGTGTATCTTTTATTGAATTGTATTGATTTTTTTATTTACATTTACTTGTTTTCAATAAATTTTTCAAAATAATATAATAGTGAAAATTGGATCAAAATTTACACTCATTTGCATCCTCAATTTACAATCACAAGAGAGCAGCGAGTGGACCAATATTGAAATTTTGTTCCGCGTCAGGCAACCCGCGCGGTATTCATGCTTCGCGGGTGGTATTAAATGGTCATTTATCAAGGCTCCAAACACATTTTTGCTCCCGTGTCTGGAGCATTTAAATTTTCATGAATTTAAAAATAATTTTTGAGTTTATAGTTTTTATATGATTCAATTGTTTGTGCATCAGTTAAATAACTCCAGTATCCCTTGAGGAAAATTTAAATTAATAAACAAAAATCACAAAAATTTAAATGCATTATTACCTGTCTTTTTTGTTGAAGGCCAAAGCATGAAGTGAGAAGACAAAAGAGCAAGAAAATGCTCATCATCCCCGCCATTTTTTCTTACAGCGGCTGGAATTAGCATCTAAGCCTGAAACACACAGATTTAAAAAAATGTAAATAAAATTTTGTTTTTCAATATTAAAATCTAGAAATTGCTATTTGAAAAAATAAAGAATTTGCTCTGCTACTCTGGCTACTCTGCGCTATTAAACGTCAATTTCTGCTTTGATAAAAAATTATAGTTGCAAAAAAAAAATCAATTTTTTTTGCACAATTTTTTAAATTTCTTATACAGCGATCTTTAAATTCATGCATTTTTGTTATCATTCTCCCTATGTGAAAAAAGCTAATTTGTAGAGTTAGTTCAGATTGCTTTTTAATTTTATTAAAATTAAAAAAAAGTGTGACATACACGATAAAAACAATTATTACACCTGTGCTATTCTCAAAAAATTAACAATAACAACTTAAAAACAATAATATATTTAAAAAAAAAAATCAGTCAATTTCGAGGAAGCTGGTTTTTTTGTCAAGCGGCGAGGCTCAATTATTTTTGGAAAAATCCGCTCAATATGAAGCAGAGCGGCCCGTTTAGCACGCATCTCTAATCTGAAGGTCACGCATATTATATTATTACACGCCCCCTAATCTTCGTGGGTGTGCAGGGGTTGCATGCATGCCCACTAGAATTTCTCGTTTGATTCGCGCCCTTCTCGTTGTGTGACATTTTCCGAAATAAGGTAGGCAACAAGGCAATTTCCACCTGGTCGGCGAAAAAAAATTATCTTTTATAAAAAAAATTCACCATTGCTTTAAAAACATATAAAATTCTATTCAAACACAAATAAAAATATTATTTAAATTTAAAAATGATTTTTTTTGCAAAGCTAAATTTTTGTCACATATTATTTTTAAAAAGGAATTTTTTAATAAAAATGTCAAATGTCAATAATTATTTTTGCCTGATTTATGCAAATGTATCGTGCAGCAACCATCTCATTTAAACGCATTGTGGTGTGTCCAATGTCCATTCATCTCTGGGGACGGAAGAAAAACAGTAGCACTCGGCGCGGGAGATAAATCAATGATATTTCCGCATTGCAAATTAAAAACACATAATGCGCTGCGACGAGTCTTCCGGCGGCGCCCGAGATTTTGTCTTCAAGCGTATCTCACCTGCTCACCTCGTCGGACCGCCGCTGACCATGCCGAAAGGGTGGCTTTGGCCCTGCACCTTGCGCCAGCTTCTTTTCCAGCAGAGATCGAAGAAGTCTTGCCTGCGCCGCGAGTTACGCACTCCGCATCGGCATGCTGCATCCACACTCCACCCCACACGATGCCCCACATCGTCCCCACCCCATTCTCACCCCGCTCCTCTCCACCCAATTTGGTTCAAGACGTCCGCAAGAGTATCGATATTTTTTTAACCTAGAGTGAGCGAGCCAGAGAGGCTCCCTTGCATGCCATTTCGCTCTCTTTTCCCCCTTTCCTCGGCCGCCGCGATGAATGAAAGGGAAAAGTCGAGCAAAAAAGCAAAGGGTTCCGAATCCCCCAGTGACCTCAATTTGAGCAAATAAATATACCAAAATTAAAAAAAAAAAATGCGTCATTCCTATGATGATTATTTCTTTTACTTTAAAAAAGGTGAAATCACCTGCAAAATTTTAATTGGTTTTCAAATTCTTCAATTTTAAATAGAACAAAATTAAATTTACTCATTTAGAAATATGCTGTAATTTTTAACTCATCTAAACAAATCATATTCATTTAATAGAAAAACTTCTTTTAAATGAATTGTATTTTCAGAACGGCTTTTTCAAGAAAAAATGTAATTACGTATTATGATATACCAAATGACATGACGAATCTTTTGGCTATCTTGGATTTTGTATCTGGTTGCCTATTTTCAAAAGGCACAAAACTTTAAATTTTGACCTTTTGTCAGGGTCCTTTGACTTAGAAACATGATCAACATTGAGAAAAGATACTCCAACCACTTCCAAGAAAATTAAAAAACCTTCACTCAAATTAATTTGGAAGCAGTTTTTGTTAACCCACATTGGAATTTATTGAATTCAATTAAAAAATAAAAAGTTAAATTACCTGAGTATTGCGACAGTTAAGGATTCTAGGGGTTATTCTTTAATCGCTATTTCTGTTTTTTATCTGATTTTATTTGAGTTTAATTTACATCAATATTTCTTTTATATACTGAAGCAGAAATTTTTTAAATTGAAATGTGATCTTTAATTTGAATTAATCTGAAATAATCTAAATTGAAATGAGATATCTTTACGTGATTTGAAACTGATTGTTCTTATTTATTTTGAATTGAAATTTCCGAACAACAATATGAATTATATCTCAAATTTTTTCTGCAGAATACAATGCCTAAAAATCAGCTTGATTTTCTAGGAAACAATTAAAATGCTAAAAATATTTCAACCTTCAGTGAAACTTTTCTAAACAAAATTACACAGTTACCCCCAATCAAATGATCCTTTGACCTAAACTATCTCAGTTTTTTAGAGGATTTAAAATTGCGGCCCTGAGACGTTTTCATCCTGTTTTAAACGTTTAAAAATTTTGTATTAAAATATTGATTTGACCTTTGCAATTTTTCCGCCGCATTTCTCTTGCAGCAGAAGCGTGCAATTTTTTCGCAATGCTCTTGCACGTGCTGCTTTTCCCGCGAGTTCAGATCAAACCTTTCCCTTTCCACTTCCCCCTCCCTCCCACCCTCCGTCTCGCATCGTCGATCCCCCCACGTTGGTAAACATTTAACAATTCTTTTCAAGCAAACCTCGTGCTCAAGAAGACCGGCACCTCGAAGCGTCCTCAAAATCGACCAAAATGGCACAGAAATTGGGCTTCAAAGTCGGTAAGTGATCGTTTGACAGCCAAGTGTGGCCCTTCTTGAGTCTTTTCGCATAATTTGCGCTTCATTTGCCAAGAGAATCTGGTTTTAATCGACGTGTCACTGGACACGACGAAATTCGCCACAAGCAATTTGCTTTCGAGATAATTTTTGTTTCAACGCTTTTCCTTACTTTTCTGAGGGAAAATGACACGTTAAGCGAAATTTTCGTGTCTTGCAAATGTCGACGTGGTAATGACACGAATTGTATTTTGCAAAATGTCAGCGTGTTGCTAGAAATTAATTAAATAATTATGTCAATAATTTCCTAGTAATTAAATCATTAATTTGGTAAATTTATGTACGTATATATTTTTTTTTTTTGACAATTTTATTTGCATTTTTTTTTTATGCAGATGATAGTCCATTATATTTTTTTTTTTTTGCATTTAAAATATTGTAATTTTTGTTATTTTTTTTTTAAATAAATCTACTTTAAAATCATATTTCAATATTATTCTCATGAAATTACTTTTAATCTTACATGAAAATAAAATCGCTGGAATTTTTACGGTTTTATGCAATGGTTTATTAAATTAGAAAATTTACATTATTATTTATACAAGCATCTATTTATCATCTGGATGCAGAAAAAATATTATTTATTTAGGGCAATGTTCAGACTTAACAAAAAAAAAGATAAAAACTTCTGTCACTTCTTTTTTGTCTGCTTTTCTGATGTTATCAAAAGTTGACTTTTTCAAAGGAAAAGTTCACCAACGTCATTCCCTTGCGACCTTTGGCTTCCGTGTTTTCGTATCTCGCCACTAAAAAAAAAAATGTGTGCAACTTCTTTATGCGCCTGTTTTTTACACTCTTTATAGTTCTTGGAAAACTTTGACGCTTGCGAAACTAGTTAATAAATATTGAGGGCGATCCAAAAGCCTAACCTGGCCCAGGCTAACTTGACTTAGCCCCGGGCTAACTTAGCCCACCAGCAAAATTGAATGGCGGGTTAAATTAGCCCGGGCCAGGTTAATTTAGCCTGGGCCAAGTTAGCCTTTTGGATCGCCCTCATTATAAGTATGTTTATTTCAATATTAAAAATTTCAATCGAAAGTTTGCAGTGAAAATGTGATGATATTTTTTTTTGCTATCATATATAATTATTTTTATTATTATCAAAAGATTAAAGATAAAGACTGAAACTCCTTTTATCTTTATGGCGCAATTAATTTTGTGTTCAATCAATATGAACCAAAATGAACAATTTTTCCGACCAATTAAAAAAATTTCTTCAGAATTGTGTTTGTTTTTGGAAAAATTGCACTAAACTTCAGAATTTTTGAAAAATAAAAACATTAATTGGGCTTAATTTTGTTCTTGCTATTTGTTGCAGCCGATATCTCGCTGGCCGAGTGGGGTCGCAAGGAGATCGACCTCGCCGAGAATGAGATGCCAGGGCTGATGACCCTGCGGCAGAAGTACGGGCCGAGCAAGCCGCTCAAGGGCGCGCGCGTCGCCGGTTGCCTGCACATGACCATCCAGACGGCGGTGCTGATCGAAACGCTGACGGCCCTGGGCGCCGAGGTGCAGTGGTCGAGCTGCAACATTTTCAGCACGCAGGACCACGCCGCGGCCGCCATCGCCAAGACCGGCGTCCCGGTCTACGCCTGGAAGGGCGAGACTGACGAAGAGTACCTTTGGTGCATCGACCAGACCATCATTTTCCCTGATGGAAAGGTTTACAATTTTTTTACCAATCAATGTCAAGATGATCTAAATAAATCATTACTTAATCAAAATAATTATTTATTCTTCAAAATTCAAAGTAACTTTTTAAATTATTTCAGCCACTGAACATGATTTTGGATGACGGTGGCGACCTGACCAACCTGGTACACGAAAAGTACCCCCAGCTTTTGGAGGGAATCAAGGGCATTTCTGAGGAAACTACCACTGGTGTCCACAATTTGTACCGCATGATGCGCGAGGGAAAGCTGAAAACTCCGGCTTTCAACGTCAACGACTCCGTCACCAAGGTAAATGAAATCAAAATAAATTTAAAAAATAAATATATTCAATTTTGATTTCTATGTTTCCAGAGCAAGTTTGACAACTTGTATGGCTGCCGCGAATCGCTGATTGATGGAATCAAACGAGCCACTGACGTCATGATTGCCGGAAAGGTGGCCTGCGTTGCTGGTTACGGCGATGTCGGCAAAGGATGCGCACAATCCTTCAGGGCTTTCGGAGCTCGAGTGCTCGTCACTGAAGTTGATCCCATCAATGCACTCCAGGCATCAATGGAAGGATACGAGGTAAAATTTGACAAATATGATTTAATAATTTTAAATTTTCATGTGATTTTAATAGGTGACCACTATGGAAGAGGCCTGCAAGGAAGCTCAGATCTTTGTGACAACCACTGGCTGCAAGGACATCATTCGTCCTGAACACTTTGTCCAAATGAGAGACGACTCGATCGTCTGCAACATTGGTCACTTTGACTGTGAAATTCAGGTCGCTTGGCTGAACGAAAATGCTACTTCCAAAGTCAATATCAAACCTCAGGTAAGCAACAATAATAAAATTTATTTATATAATTAGAGTTAAATTAAAAGTAATGAATTCAGAAGAAGGAAAAATTGAGGAAAGATTTTGTAAATATTTATATAATAAATCAAACAATTTTTTTCAGGTTGATCGTTACACTTTGGCCAGTGGCAGGCGCATCATTGTCTTGGCCGAGGGCCGTCTTGTCAATTTGGGCTGTGCTATGGGACATCCGTCGTTCGTCATGAGCAACTCCTTTACCAACCAAGTGTTGGCTCAGATTGAGCTGTGGACAAAGCCTGGCCAGTATCCTATTGGAGTGCACATGCTACCTAAAAAGGTAATTATTTCAGTATTGAATTATTAACTTAGGCTTATTTTGTTTGTTACTTAGCTGGATGAGGAAGTTGCCTTGCTCCACTTGGACCATCTTGGAGTAAAACTGACCAAGCTCAGTGATGACCAGGCAGGCTACCTTGGCATCCAAAAAGAAGGACCTTTCAAGCCTGAACATTACCGCTACTAAATAATCCTCACACATTCATTTGTCTTTTTTTTCTGTGAATTTTTAAAAAAAATAAATGCGTGTCTGCATTCAAGATTGTTTTATTCAAAAGAGACAGATGAGAAGAGATTTAACAACATGGTATTAATTATAATTCAAAATATCCATCATTCCAAATTAAAACGGTAATATTCATACGTAAAAAAGAATAAATAATTTAAAAAAAGTCCACAACTGACCCTTGGATACAAGTGCTGCTGTTTTTGTAAACCTTGGCTGATTGTGAGCAATTTTCTGTTAGAGGTGGCAAAAACATAAAAATTTAAAATTGTGAAACACAGACAGCACTTGCGTTCCAGGACCTCCTGCACTTTTAAACAAAATACTGAACCATAGCAACTTGTGATTTTTAAAAACCTTTAAATAATATAATTATCATAATTATTTTTACTGTCTTGCTTGACCTATCTTACTAACCATAATTCAGATACAGGTCATATAGTGACAAGCCGCAGTTCAACTTTATATTATAGAAACTTAATATAATTGATTCCTGAGTGTGTACTTTAGCTAAATTATCAAGCTATGCTACATTCACATATATATAAATTCTGTTACGGAAAACTCTGCTTCTCCTTCAACGTTTTAAATTTTTTTGTGAATCCTGCGTCACAACCCAAACTGGACCACTGTCGATAGTCTCATTGTTTTCATTTTATTTCTGAGTTTCAGAAAATATGGCATTATTTCAATCCTTATAATCAATATACTAGTTGAAACCGCTTTAAAAAACTAAGTCAACCCTTTAATCATAATCATTCCTTTCAAATTTTTTTTCGGCACTATTTTTGTTCTTTTGGGCAGTCATCAGTTATATAAAAGTATCACAAATTTCTATGAACCATCCTAATTATTAGATTAGTGCAATATCTGCCATCTAAAGGCCATTAGGTCAAGGTCACTTATATCAACGATATATTTGGATCAGAGAAAATTGATTTTGTGGTAAACTGCCGTCTTAAATATTTGAAAGCAGACCAAAAGATCAGTTCGATTGTAACAATAATTAAAATTTTAGAATTGACTTAGCTCTAGAAAGCAGTTAATAATAGTGCTGAAAATTTTATATATATGGCATCAAAGTTCTTGAAATTTTCGTTAAAGAAAATCCACTTCCGAGTTACGCATTGACTTCTTCGTCGCTCGATGAACGAGCAGTGCTCAGCATCGTGGCTGACGTCAACAGATCTGGCTCCTCATCTGATAAGTCATACCATGCTCTCTCGCTCCGCTTCTTACTGGATTGTTCAGTTGCGGACTTTTCCGAAATAATCTGTAAAATAATTTAATGAGAAATAATTTATTTTTTATAATTCTCTATAATTATTAAAAAAATAAAAGCCCACCTTTGCTTCCTTTACATTCTTCTCTTTTTCAATTGGAACCCGTGGGGCATTTTTCTTTTCCTTTTGGTATCTTCCAGTCAAAGCCGTCTCACTTTCGTCCTTGCAGAGTCCGATTTCCTCAATTTTTCCCAACATCCGCGTACTGTCGGCCTTGGAGAAATCCGAAGGTGCGGGCGATATCCGACCATTCACACTGGCCAGCTCTGTTGCAACAAGGCGCATGGTGAAGCCCTTGAAGAGACTGGACGAGCTGGAGTCTGGCCGCGACGAGAGGAGCGAGTCCGACTTGGACGCCGAGGAACTTGGCCGCGCCACAAAGCCAGAATCTTCAGAGGTCGTCACACTCATGGACTCGATGTGGTGCTGCAGGTGTCCAGACTTGATGTCCGCCAGCGCCTTCTTCACCAACCTTCTTGTGCTGGGAGGCGAACTAGGTGGGATCGGTGGCGGTGGTTCCTCCTGAGCACTTGGTTCGGTCTCAGGGACGGGCTCGGCAGGCAACTGGGTCAGTTCCTTTTCTACCTGCTCAGAAACCTCTCTTTTAATTTCGAGCGGCGTCTGCCTCTTTAAACTGGTCTTGTCGCTTTTCTGGCAGTGCAATTCGTTTGAGGAACTGGAACCACTTGACCTGACTCGCAAAGAGGTAGTCTCCTCGCCGGACTCGTGTTGGCTCGGACTTAACGAGTGAACCGGACTGTCCGTGTTGATGCTTCGACTCATGTACGTCTCCTTGAAGTCGTCCGGAGTGATCTCATGCACTTTTTGAGCACTTTTGTAAAACCCTGCTTTCCGCTTTGAGGTCGACCAGCCCGCTTTCATGGTTATTTTCTGCAGAAATGTCCGCTTCTTGTGACTCCGAGTCGGCGTCGAAGTGTGCTGGTCGGACAAGATGTCTTCGTCGCCTGTTTCGTCCATGCTGACTGTGCCAATCAAAAGGTCGGGTTGGTTGTCCGGAATGCGAACTTCAATCTCCTCGGTGTCCAGCAGGTTTTGGACACTCAAGCAACGCCGACGGTGGGCCGACCGAGGCTCCCTTCTTGGCTCTTGAATTTTTTCCAGCTCATCCTCCAAAGACATACTCAGAGCCTTCAGTCTTGGGGATGAGGTGGCGAGAAAGGGCATTCGAGACTTGTCAGCACGCTCCTCCTCAGACTCGCTGGTCGTCGGTTCGATGACTTCAAGGACACTTGCGTTTCCGCTTTCAGACGTCAAAACCATCTGCTGCAGTCGTCTCTTGAGTTCGTCCCTGCTTTCTCGCCTGCTTGTTGGCGGCGGTGGCGGCTTGTGCTGATTATTTACACGAGGAGGAGTTTTCCTATCCAAAAGCTGGCTGTAGATATTATCTGAACTAGTCGGGAGGGAAAGAAGGGTGTCCAGACTGGACTCCGAGGACGACAAACTCCGCGCCTCTGATCCAAAGGTAAAGCTTGCATTGGCTAACAGCTTCTGCTGTCCTTCTAGCTGTTCAATGTGATACCTGCAGAATTTTTTTTATCATTAATAATCAATTAAGATGTTTAAGAATTTCAATTACATTAAGTTGTCTAGTGGCTTTCTATCTGAGGTAATTGTTGTTTGCTCCAAAGTGGGCTGACTGGACAGTTTGCGCCACCCCTCTTCAGCAATGAGTAATCGATGCTCCATGTCAGCCAGACCAGACACCAGCAGGCCCTTCCACTGACCGCTGATCAAATCACTTGATTTTACTCCCGACATTGAGCCAGATTGTTGCAAATAAGACTTGGCTAAATCCGCCGCAGGCGAGTGTGACGACGGCACCTTGAGCCTCTCTCGCAGAATTTTATTTTCTTCCATCAGCTCGGTTAGTACTGATGCCACCTTTTCGTGCACAGCCAGACCGGCGATTTTTTGTAGCTTCCCGAAAGTGTCCCTACACATTTCATCCCTTTCTTTGGCTAGTCTCTTACCAATGCTGAGGACATCCCTAAAATTGCATGCATTTTAATTTCGTGTTTCCACTTTTACTGGAGAAACAAACTTGAAGTATCCTTTGAGCGCTCCGTTTTCTTCTCTCAAGGAGTCCACTGTGCTTTTCATTTGTGACATTTCTCCAGCCATACAGAGGGAGCTTTCAAAAAGGTTTAAGTAGTGTTGAACAGGAGCATGTCCAGCAGCCATCGCAATGTCAGATGCTTTGAGGCCAAGATCGTTCTGTAAATTAAAATGTTCCATAAAATTTGTTCAAAAATTAAATATCAAGTATTGATTGTGTACCTTAGACGACACATTCGATCCATTCGATAAAAGAATCCTGCAAGTTTCAAGACCTCCAGCTCTGGATGCCAAATGTAGCGGTGTGTCACCACAGTGATCCCTTTGGTCCAGGTCAATTTCCCGAACTTTCATGGCATTGACTAGCCACTGCAGAACCGACACCTGCCATAATGTCAGCGTGTTAGAAGAAGCACTAAATCATTAAATTCAAGCGCACCTGATTGTACTTGGCTGCAATGTGGAGCAGGCATCTCTCACCATCCTTTGAGGACAATTTCTCTCGCATCTTGGTGTTCGTCACCAGCCATTCTACACAGTTCGAGTGGCCATACTGAAAGTTTTTTAAAAAGCGCTTGAAAATGCTGAAATAGTTTCCAAAATAATTTCTACCTTGACAGCACAGGCAACTGGAGTCAGGCCAGACCTATTTTCGTCCGCTAGAGCGCCCTCAAGCTGTGACTGTGCTCCCATCAATGAAGAACACAGCCAGGCAAGAGCACTCTCGTAGCCTTGGCAGGCAAGAATGTGCAATAAATTGTTGCCGTGGTGATCTGAGAGGTTTCTCACTAAAGTGGCTTCCATGTCTTTGAGCGAGGTTCTCTGTGCAAAATGAGTTTTTAATTGTAATATAATTTTTCAGGAATTTTTTTTTTACGAAAATTCAATTATTAAAGAAGACAAAATAAAGTAGATTATTGAAAATACCAGTTGTTCCAGTTGGCCTCGCTTGGCATAATCAAATATCCTTTTGATCCAATCAGGAGTTCGTCCGCGAGATTTGATCCTCGAAGGATTGCTGTTGATTGGAGGCGAAGCAGGGGTGGCCGGAAGAACTTTGTAGCGCATCTTGTGTTGGGGTGGAGTGGAGGCGAGAGCTTCCGAGCCTGCCAACTGAGAGAGCGTGTCCATAATGTTGACCGCTCTGATGCCTTTGACGAGGTTGCTGTGTTGGGACACTTGGTACTTTGGCGACGACGACGTCCCTGCCTCGTACAAACTGGAAATGCTTGCCATGCTTGTATCGTCCAGGTTGTACTCCTCGACGGACTGCCAAGTGCCCTGTTTCCAGCCCTCTTTCTCCCTCTCAGGTAACTGAAGCATTTTTTCACACAATTAGATAATATATGCAAAAATTACAGAAATTAATTATTTCTAAAAAACGTCCGGAAAATTCATTTTTTTTTTTAATTTAGAATTAAATTTATATACTGAATAAATGATAAAAATATATTGTTATTCATTGTTTAATTCACAAAAATATAATCATTTAAAAGAAATATTAAATTCTTACACAAAAACCTTTTTATTTTTAATGCAATAAAAAATACCTTTGGTTGGGAAGTTCGACGAAAGGCCAACCACGAGGACAGGTCCGGCGCCTTATTTCGGGTCGGAGACGCCGAGGTTCGGGCGTACGGACTTGGCGCTGATATGATGAGACCCGCGTGCAGTCCTCGATGCACTTTTTGCGGAATACTCGTCATTCCCGCGTCCGCATCTACACAAAGGAACAATAAAAAAAATATTTTATGCAGTGAGTCAAGTAATATTGGTTTATCATTTAATTAGGATCAAATATGTGACAGACATTTTTGGTTGCCAAATAATAATAATAAAAAAAATTCGCTGTGACTGCAAAGCTTAAATTTTGGAGCCTCAAAATAATTTAATGATTTATTTTCAATTATTGTGCTTTCAATACTATAAAATATCTTTCAAATGTATTAATCAATTTGTTTTCAAATATTCAAACCAAAAAAATCTGCTAGAAATCAAGCGCGAACATTCACTATTGAAAAATATTATTTGTTAACTCTTATCTTCATCACGACAATAAAATAAACATTCGTATTTTTACGCAAATTTAATCACTCATTTAAATTTTTCAATCCACAAATAATGGCGAGGAAAAAATCAAGAATGTAAAATTGATCGAAAGGTCATGGCGTTCAGATAGTGCGTGGAGCGGGCCCTCTATCAGGAAAGGCGCTTTATCTAGCTATAAATGCTATCAAAACACAAGGAGCCGCAGAGATTATTTTTTATTTATCTCAAGCAAATAAACATGCCGCGTTGATGTTATGGTCAAGGATGATGCGATAAAAACTTTATGTAATCTCAAGAAAGATTAAATTCTTGCCAAATACTTTTGCAATTCTCTCCAATTTATAAACAACGGCCCTTGCAATTATTTTATCTTTTGAATCCCTTAGCTTGAAAGCTTGAATTATTATACAGAACTTGACGCACCCAATCCTGTCAAAACGAGAATATTAATACCCAAAGAAATGGGAGGTTAAATTTTTAATTAATCAATTAGAATATCTTGCAATAATTTATAGCGATATGTGCGTACTATGAAATTTTTTAATTTATTATTAAACCCAATTTAACAAAAAGCGTTGAAAATTTTAAACTTTTAAGTTTAAAAATTTAGTTAAAATCTATTTCTTATTTAAATTTTTCATACAAAAATGACAAAAAAACAAGGTTCAAAATGTTTAAATAATTATTTGAAGAAATAAATCAAGGAATTAAATAAAATTACGTTTACATACTTTACGAGAATTATAATCTAGGCTAAATCTTGTGAAAGGAGAAAATGATAGTAAATTTTTACGCACCAACCTTTTCTAGTGCATTTCTATGATCTCTAGTTTTAATATTTTAACATTAAATTAGTGATAAACTGATATATTATTAAATATCTGGTTAAAATACTCTGAGTTATAAAATAATTAAAAACAAGCTTTCCACAGCTAGATAGGTGTGTACGCAGCAAAATATTCAGCGACATAATGACACACTATGGTCCACTGGTCGGAATTAGCCAAGAGATTTCAATGAGCGGTTTTCTCAGAACTTTTGCGCAAAGGGTTGAATCCCGTCGAAGGCACGACGGTGGCCGACAAGAAAGGGGGCTCAAAGGGGTTTTGCCGAGAGAGACACTAACTTCCACTGAGCATGTTGATCCATTCACTCTGGAGGGCCGATTTCACTTGACCATGGCGGCTCTCCGTGGGCCAGTCCGCCGCGAAACAACTCGGGAATGTCACTAATGCACTTGACACAGGGAGGTCGCCATCAAGGGCGGCACTCGGGGGGTAAAATCGTGTCAAAAGGGGCGCTAACACTCGACCAGCATCACCGCCATTGTTAGGCCGTGGCTGCTGCTACTGCTGCTCGGGAACCTTCAGGTTACATTCCTCAGCAGCCGCGCACTCGCAGCGCCTGCCCTGACGTCACGCCGAATTCCACAGCGCCCGACCTCAATTTTGAGTTTAATAATTTACCCTGGCAGCCGCCCTGGCCACAGAGGGTGCGCAAATGTCAGGGTGGAAACACCCTGAGGCCGAGAAAAATGATTTTTCAACCCTTTCGATGGCATAACTCATAATTCCAGGCCTCTGCGAAGTGGCATTCGAGGCAGGTGCGCATCGCATGCAAAGGCATTTTTACCTGAGGTGGTGTTAGTTTCAAAGGTGTCCACTATATATATTACAGAATTTTTGTGGTGCTGCTGGCATCTATGATATACATACGTGAAGGTAGGAGGGGAGACCAAGAAGTGGTCCAAAAGCGTCTTGCACATCAACTCATTCTTTTTCTCTCTCTCTCCCAAGAATTCGGTAATTTAAATTTTGGTTCCGCGCATAATCGACCTTGCGACCACAAAAAAATCTTACGGAAATAAAAATATAAGTTACAATAATGAAAGAAAATTACTGCCTTACAATTAGTATTAATGGGGTTATATCTAATTATCATCGAAGTAAAATATTAAATACACAATAGATAGAAGGATAGAGTTAATATTTTTATAGATTTTTATGTTTTTTAATTTTTAATAATAAAAATATCAAATAAATAATGATGCAAAAATTGTGGTTTACAAATTTAGAAATAAAAGTAATTTATCTATAAAAAAGTTAATATTTTAATTTATTTATCAATAATTCTCTCTTTTATTTAAAAATTATTATTTAAAAAGGGATGAAGAGAATGAGTTATATAAGGCTCACCATAATAACCTGTTGAGATTTCCATTGCAGAATATTATGAAAACAGAATTAAAATTAATATTTTATAACACCTAAAAATAAAAATAGATAGTTCACATTTAAATAATTTGATTTTGGATGTTTTGAATTTAAAATCTGCTTTTATACTAGATGGATTTTTACATTTTAGTATATTCTTGTTACAAAGAAGCAAAAGAAGGTAAACAAATCCTGCTCTAGAAGCAATTTAATTCTAATTTTAAATGAGGGGAAATATTTACCGAGTTTAACTCAATTTGATTCTTAAACTATAATAAAAAGTTCACCCCCAACTTTGAAAAGTTTTGTTAAGAAGAGTTAGTTGAACCTTCAGATAAATGAGCGGTATTTCATCCTACTGGAAGTGCATTTTAAATTAGCACGTAATACAGCGAGAGAAAAAAATAATCCCGAAAACGTTGAGCACACAGTCCTGCTCTCATTCAGCATGTTATCACGCTGTATGTATGTACGAATAGTAAACAGTGACGCAATATTTTTTGAAGACCCCAAGTGTGAATTCTTTTCAACGTTGGAAGGTGGGTTCAGGCCGATAGCGCATTTGTTATCAGCGCAAGTATTTCCAACGTGATAAGCAGTAGCATTTCAACTGCAAAAACCAGAGATTAAAATACTCGATCAATGGTGCGTGAAGAGCCTGCCTGAATTATATCGGTCTTTGTGAGAGGAGAACACTAAATTCCAGGATGGATAATACAGCGACAAAAGTATTTATTCATTTTTTTCATAAACCATCATCTTTTAATTTAACGATTAAGCTTTGAAAATTTGTATATATCTTGAAGCCAAAAACCGCTTTATATTTTTATCAGCAGTCGTGTTGTTGCAAATTTTAGCACGTGACGGATTCAGCAGAATTGACTAATGGTCACGAAGCGGCCGACACAGAGAGCAGAACAAGCAAAGCCGAGGAAAATGGTATTTCAGAGACGCAGGACGAAACAACATTGCGTAACATTTTCTCCTAAAAATCACGATTATTTCATAAGATTATCAAATTTTGTGATGAAGGAAAACCTATTGCAAAGGAAGGAGCCATTCTCTCTCTGGCCGACAGAAACACCAATTTGAGCGCGGTACGGCGCTCGTGGAGCTCATTCACCTCAAACTTATCGTCTAGCTCGGTCGCAGAGAGTGTTCATGCCCACAGGCAGCAATTTTTGGAACGGAGGGCAAAGTTCAGCCAAGGCGCCTCCTCGGAGCAAACGCCGACCAAAAAGAAGTTTGAAATCGAGCTGAAGGCGCTGAAACTCGGCGAGCGAAGGAAATTTTTAGGCAAGATGAAAAATTGACCTGAATCTTAATGCTGAACATTTATTTGTAGAGGATGATGCGTCTTGGCAGCGACAGAGGAGCGAAAAGGAAGATGCGAAATCCCAACCCGTATATACGTTTAGAAGACAAGGAAGTGTGCGGGAAAAGGTGCAGAAGTACGCTGAATTAACTGCAGCTCAACAGACAAGTCCGCTCTTCCACTGTGCGGAACCTTTGGACGGGTCCGGGCCAAAGTCTGAAGAACCAAAACCTGACTCTGAATAAATAATGCATCTTCTTTACATTAACAATAATTTCTGCTTGATTTTATTTGCAGTTTTCATTCATTTCCAAGTGTAGTAACAAAGTCTTTTATAATGCCATTTCCTTTCTTTTTATGCTGAGACACAACAAGGTTGGGAAGGTATTGAGAGTAAATAATCCGAGTGGTTAAGATGATAACATTGACCAAACACTACATGTTATTTTAGGGCTTACCATGAGACTTACGCGCGATAGTTTGTGTTTGTCGATATTGTGTTAAAATGGGAAATAGCTGTTGCGTGTTTTTGAAGCACATTCGAGTTGGTTGTAAAAATAAGCTGGAGGAAAATTCTCTTAAAGTGGGAAATAATGGTTCTTTAAACAAATCCATACTTAAATAATATTATTCAGTTGCCAAAATTTCAACCCGTGCAAGTTTTTACAGCAACTTAAGTATTTCCCTCTAGCTAAATTACAACCTGGTGCCATCTCATCTCCGAAGTGAACAAAAAACATTTCAGCGGATGAAATGGCAAGTTGAAGTTCAGCGATTTTACAGAAATGGTTGACGGGGAGAGCTTTTCTATTGTATGCCTCTTCGCTTCATTTCTTTTAAGAGGACGTTGCCCATTTGGGCAGGACTCTTTGTAACCAGCACACCAGCCTGCGAATCACAAATATTTCCAATCACGCGGCGCAATAAAATCTCAAATTTGATCATTAAAGAGTAAATTAAAACTTAGGTTATAATTGATTGGAGTGCTTTGGGCATTGGCCAAAAATGAGAGGGCAGTGAAACTGTCACAATGCAGAGGCATTGCCTTCCAACATATTTCTGGCATCAACCACGCAAGCAATGTCTAATTAAAAAAAAATATAATTTTTCGGTCGGCAAGTAGTAGACTTTTGACGTCAGCCAACTTTATCAACCCAAGGACAAAATATAAAAAAGTAATTACCTTCTCAAGGGCATCAATCTTGTCTTGTGCACCACCCTTTCCACCGGAAATGATAGCACCTGCGTGTCCCATCCTGCGACCAGGAGGGGCCGTGAGTCCAGCAATGAAAGAAACGACAGGCTTTGCATTCGGACCCTATTGAAAAAGCAAATTATCTGGAAAATTAAAGCAAAAGCTCGCTTCTTACAGAGTTGTTCTTCATCAAATAATCTGCCGCGCTTTCCTCGGCAACACCACCAATTTCTCCAATAAGAACGATACCCTTAGTTTCAGGGTCGGCAAGGAACACTTCTAGGCAGTCGATGAAGTCGGTTCCGTTGAATGGATCGCCGCCAATTCCGACACACAAAGTCTGGCCGAGACCAACCTGGAAATTTGTTTTTGTAAAAACCACACATAAATTTTTTATTAAAAACCAACTTGGGTTGTTTGGTGCACAGCCTCATAGGTGAGGGTGCCTGACCTGGAAACAATTCCAATGCAACCCCTCTGATGAATGTGTCCAGGCATGATTCCAATTTTGCACTGAAAATAACGAAAATTGTTATCTGCAAAGAAACAGATGATAAAAAACATACTTGTTCAGGTGCAATGATGCCAGGGCAGTTGGGGCCGATGAGACGGCTTTTGCCTTGCCTGATCAACTTGTGCTTCACCCTGACCATATCTTGCTGGGGGATACCTTCTGTGATGCAGACGATTAGCGGAATTTCGGAGTCGATTGCTTCCTCGATCGCTTTCGCAGCTCCAGGTGGAGGAACATAAATTACGGTGGCATCAGCTCCAGTTGAGTCCTTGGCCTGATTAAAATGATTTAAAAATTAGCCAAAATATCACTTAGTTTTTACCTCTTTGACACTGTTGAAAACTGGCAAGTTGAGGTGCGTCTTTCCACCTTTGCCGGGCGAAACGCCGCCGACCATGTTGGTGCCATACTCGATTGCTTGCTGACTGTGGAAAGTTCCCTGCTTTCCAGTGAATCCTTGACAAATTACTTTGGTATTGGCATTGATCATAAGATTTGGCCTGGTTGCTGTGTAGTTGGTCCTGATGCAGGTCCAATGAGGCGCTGCAAAAAATATAGAGGAAAATAATAATTTAATTATTTGATTGGTTATGGACGAGATCTAATTAATACATAGGCCACTTATCAATAAACAGGTAAAACGGTAATAAAAATAATTATTTTTTGAGAAAAAAAGTGATGTTAAAGAATAAATAAAAATAAAAAATCTGTAAAACAAGAGCTATATTTGTAACAAGTGGTTAAAACTGCCAATTTAATTTCAAAGTTCATATGCATGTCTAGGATTCTTAAAATCCTTTTCAACTTAATGATACCTTATCTACGGCTACGCGTCTAGTAACTCTACAGAGGTTTAAGAAAAATTGCCCTTTTGACCTTGACATATGGTTGTTGTTGCCGAGTGCTTGATTAGATTAATTCTGTTGGCTTTTAATTACATCCCCACAGCGTATTGATTGTCGTATTATATAGATTTGGTTTTTATTGTGTGTATTTTTATCATAAACGATTAAATCAACAAGCTGTAAAAAAAATCAAAGCAAAGAGTCTTTAAAAAATTAAGAACACGGATCAAGTAAGGACAGGTTAAAAACTCGACAGTTGTTCGCAACGTTCCCAAATGAAATGCAGAAATTCCGTTTTTAATTTAAGAGGCAACTTCCTCAATGTCGAATGCAATATAATTGGTTTAAAGCACACGTGTAAAATTAACAAAAACCCTTACTTTTGTTTGAAAGCGACCGCAGTTGGCATTTAAAAAATCGAGATCTGAATTTTGGTTCTCTACGCTTAGGGTGCTTGTTTAGAACGCCTATGAAATGTAATTTTCACACATTTTTCTGCTTCAAAATCGTCCGATTGGATGATCTGAGGTAGCAGATAGTTTTCTTAATTTCTCTTAAGGGTAAAATTGAGCCACTAAGCCAAAATTAACACTTAATTTACCTGCTAAACGAGCAAGGAGCCGGATGGGGGCGGCCATGTTTGATCCACTTAAAAATCAAGAGACCGATCTGACCAATGGCAACGCAGATAGCATTCCGATCTTGCTCGATCGGGTGAACTTAAAAAAGCGCGGTAAAATCGTATATGGCAGAATTTAACCTATACAAGCAGCTAATAATATTTCAGTAATTTTGTTATTAAATTCTCGTTGATTTATAAAATAAAATGAATATTTCAATCTAAAGCAATAAAAGTTTCAAACTTTTAGAAATATTTCCGTTGAGTCAAGATTACATTTAATTTATTGGAATCAACAAAAGTCAAAAATTATTTCTCCGACACAAGCAATACTACCTCTCTGCTTTCTTTTTGTAGTAAAACTGTAGGAATTTTGCCGATTGCTTGCGTGAACTTGATTTCCATCTTTTCACTATCAGAAGAGTCCAATCCCAACTTTTCATACTCTGCGGTGACTTTCTTCTTCAATTTTTTCATAGACATGGTATTGCTCTTGCTTGATTTGAGAACTTTCAGAACTGCTTTTTTCCAGGGAAATTTGCCACCCTTGGTCAGCGACAATGGTTCTTCACAGACAGTTCCACTCTCATCAATGGGGGCTGTCAAGGCAAAGTAATTTAATCACACCAAAAAACTAAATATTTAATTTTATCTTACGAGACGATCCATTAAGCTTTGCACGTTTAGGCTCTTTGCTTTCTTCGTCACCAGTTGCAGCTCGTTTCTTGCCTTCCTTCTCACCGGTGTTCTCAATCTTCTTATATTCTTCTTCTAATTCTTTCCACATCAAATCAACGTGATGTGATTCCGGAACGTTCTTCTTTACAAATTTCTGGAATAAAATTTAAATAAAGAATAAGCTTTACAGTAAATAAATGGCTTTATACCTTAAAAGCGGTCTTTGTTTCGGTAGGTACGTCCATTTTGCTAAGCAACTTGAAGAATGGAGCAAATTCGCTTCCCCCCTTGGCCAGTCTCTTGATGGCCTTTTTCCATAATCCATCTTTGCTGTTACCTTTTGGAGCCTCAGCACTGCTCGTTTCAACTTTAAGTTGGGGAGTCTCGTTAATGTTTTTACTGTTGCCGTTCACAGCTGGCCGCAGTTGGTTTTTCCTCTCTTTTTCTAGCTCTGCGAACAGCAACATCCATACCTGCGAGGCTGTTCTTTGATCTCTCAAATGCGATGGACCGGTGGAAATAAAATTCTGTAATTTGAAGTAGTTTAATTTAATTTTAGATATTAAAATGTACCAAAGATATCATCATGTTGAAAAAAAAATTGAATTAAAAATCCTGCACTATTTTCAAATATCTGCAGTTTGTAAATGTTTGAAATTAATAGACAATCAGAACCAAATAATTACCATGAAAGGTTTTTCTTTGTTTGGAACAGTTTCTTTTCCATCCAGGAAGCTTAGCATGTCTTGCACGTATCTCGATCTGTTTGGGTCTTTTCTGTTGGCCACCTCAGATATCAACCTAACCCAATTTCCTCGCTTGTCTAGTTTGTTTGTAGTGGCAACTTTCTGAGTGAAATTTCCACCCGAGTACTTCTCCTGCTCAGAAATGCATTTGTTGTGTTGGACATAACTCTTCGAGCTAGAAATTAAATTACATTCATAAAGGGAAAAGTTCATAAATAAATAAGATAGCATTACTCAAAATCTCGATGGCAGTCCATGCAAGAGACACTGCATCCTTTGCATCTGAACTTGGTAAGATGCTGGTCTACTTGGTTTTTCTTCAGACTGTCTCCGCAGTTGTTGCAAATGAAATAAACCATCTTTGATGCAAAACGACAAAAGTTTTCGTGGATTCAGTCTAAGAACTCTAGCACTCAAGGAGAAAGTTTGTGTTTAATTCAGATAGGTTTGTTAATTATTTGCAAAAAGTTAATAAATGCAAAAAATTAAATTTCACGTGGTTTCCAAGATGCCATGTGCATGTGTTATGACTTGGTGGGCGGGACGCAGGCAAAAACCTCAACATTATTTGACAAAATGAAACAGGTGGCTCCATCTGCCAACGTTTATGAGTATATAGCAAAGTAATAAAAAATCAAGGAACCAAACTTCAGCACGAGTGGCAAAGATTCCAAGGTTTCAAAGTTCGAGGCGGCATCAAGTATTTTTTTTTTTTTTAAGTGAATAGACTAAATAGAGACATTTTTAAAATTAATAGATTTTAAAATGATAAAACTGGTATAATCAAACATTAATTTATTTTTCTTTTCTTTTTTAATATAGACCAAAACAGACCAAAAGCGACTTCTTCTTGATATAAAAAAATCTTTGAATTTAATTTCAAGTATTATTATAATAATATATATTAATAATAATTTAACGCAAAGTCGCAATTGAAAAATAAAATGTAAATCCTAAAATCTCTGACCAAACTGGTTCTGCGATTGTTGGCCCTGGAACATGACGTTTTGCCCAGACTGTCCACCTCCTTGCTGATTCTGCTGTTGTTGGGACATGTGATGGAATTCTGGTTGCTGACCACCTCCTCCGCCGCCACCTCCACCCTGCTGTTGGTTTTGCGGAGGAGCAAGACGGACCCGCTTTGCTTGGTTGCTATGATTGATGGATTCACCTCCCTGCTGCAATGTTAAGGAAATGTTCAATTAAAAAGTTCTCAACATGATATGTTCAACACAATTCAGTAGGAAATGGTTGACCTGGTTGCAACTCACGCTGGCTGCAGGGTTCTGTCTAGACATTTTGTTCGCGTCGCCCTTGTCATCTTGATCATCATCCGTCAGGAATTCCCTCTTTGGATATGGTATCGAACAGCCAGCAAAGACACTAAAATTAAACTAATTAATTTGAGACCAATATATTAATAAACAAACTTATTCTGTTCGCAAACACAACACCCAATAACAATAAAATCACTTTTCTCTGAAATACTATAATTAAAACTTACTCCTGCGTAGGCAAGGGGTCTTCTGAGAAGTAAACGTCTTGCATGGCTTGCTCGGAAGTGATTCTTTTAGTTGGATCCATCAACAGCAATTTTTGTAGCTATTTAAATACTGTTTAATATAATTTTTCAAAATATTTAAACCTCTTACCAAATGAAATGCCCTGCTGTCCGGCTTTATTTTGTGCCTCTCCATGTATTTAACCAACGAGCAATTTTGATAGCTACAAAAATCAAATTATTGGTAAATATTCTAGATCAGATGAAATTGAATTACCTCGATCGTTTGAAATCTTTCAAAAGCGTAGGGTGCTCTGGCATTTTCCGAATATCCTCCCATTCTTTTTCGTGCGGGAACCCCATGACGTTGAAAATTCTGAAGAATAATAATTGTCTTGTTAATGGACTTTTGAAGTAATTTATGTACCTGTCAAGTTGATCGTGGTGGTAAGGGTTTGACGTCTTTATGTCCTCTTGGCGACAGTGGAAAATAGGTTCAGAGGTTAAGAGCTCGGCAAAAATACACCCGATGGCCCAAATGTCTAGAAAATCAATAATAATAATAATCGGTGATACAAATTTTAATTTCTTCCTTACCGATTGCTTTTGTATAATGTCTTGCTCCTAAAAGCAATTCTGGGGCCCTGTACCAAAAGGTAACCACCACAGGGTCAAGATCAGCAAGAGGTTTTAGCGGTGCGTTGAAAAGTCTAGCAAATCCCATATCGGCAATTTTCACGCGACCTCTCTCAGATCCCTCTCCCATAACCAAGATATTTGCTGGTTTCTGTAATTAAAAAACAAATCTTATTTCCTCTTTGAAAAAATTATCTTTGAGCTAACCAGATCTCTGTGCAGGACCCAGTTTGTGTGCAAGTAGTGAATTCCGTCTAAGATCTGGTACAGCAGAGATTTAACCATTCCCTTCGGAACCATAACTGGTTTTTTGTTAGCTTTTGCTGCGCGATGGAATTTGATGATGTGCTATTAATCAAAGGAGGTAATGAATGGATTATTTTCTATAAAATTTTATACCCAGAGGTCGTGCTCAGCATAATCGAATAATAACCACACTTTCCTGTCGTTGTGTGAAAGGAAGACTCGAATTAAATTGATCACATTCAAATGCTTCAACTCTCTCAGCAACTGCAGCATAAAATGACATACATAATGAAGTTTGCATTTTCATGGTGCATATATATAATTTTTGAAGCATACCGCTATTTCTCTGCAAGCCGACATGGACAGACCGGTACCCTCAATTTGCTTGAGTGCATAATCTCGACTGTCTGAGCTGCAAAATTTATATTTCAAACATGCGCGAATTATGAATAGTATTTTATATTTATTATTTATACCAATCTTTCCTCCTTGCTTTGTAGACATGACCATAGGTACCTCTGCCCACCTTACAGCCTTCATAATCAAATAAGTCCTCAACTTTGGCTCGCTCATTAGCAGTCTTGACTTTGAAGTCGTAATCCATTGGATGCGATTAAACTTTGGAAACTGTGAAGCTAATTAATACCTTTTAAAATTATAAGAAACCAATAATAATATTTCATACGTTATTTGTTTTAATCAACGAGAAAAGTATCAGTCGCTGATTTTCGGGACTTGTTTTGTTCTTATTCCTCGTTGTAAACAAATGGTGTTAATGGTGCGGCAATCGTGTGCAGATAGTGCTAAAGTGCCTAAAGTGCTAAATGCACAAATCAGCCTGCAAAAACTTCCTATTTTCACGAAACGCAGACTGCGAGCTCTTGCGGCCGACGGTGGAAGTTCTGTTGATGGCTTTGGAAGTGGGAGTGGGGCTTCTTGCTGGGGGATTCGGATAAAAGGGAGTGCAACCATGAAGATGGCTGATGGAGTCACTATGCTGCGAAGAAACCGTCCGGGAACGAAGGCCAAGGTAGACTCTGATTAACAACCTGAAGCCCTTAAAATAATGACATTCTTTTCGAAGGACTTTTGTCGCTGGCCCGATGAACCTTTCGAGGAGATGGACAGCACCCTCGTCGTGCAACAGTTCATACAGCAGCAGATTTGTCACGATCCCATGAATGTTGCCCAGATTTTGACTCCTCCAGAGGGCCAGGACGAAGGCGTGTGGAAGTATGAACACCTTAGGTAAGCGTTCGGCAAACAGTTTGCTCTGTAAGCCAATTAGTTTGTCCTTTTACCAATTCGTACGTACATGTAAATAAGACGTAAGCATATTATAACATAACTAAATTATTTTTAAAATTTCTCGGTAAATATCAAAGTTAAGTCAAAATTGTTTATTAAAATTTACTCTATATTTTAAATTAAAAAAAAATAATTTTTTTTTTATTTTAGGCAATTTTGTTTGGAATTAAACGGATTGGCTGTGCGACTTCAAGCCGAGTGTCACCCTGAAACCTGCACACAAATGACGGCAACAGAGCAATGGATCTTTCTTTGTGCTGCTCACAAAACACCTAAAGAGTGTCCTGCCATAGACTATACTAGGCACACACTGGACGGGGCAGCTTGCTTGTTGAACAGCAACAAATACTTCCCCAGCAGGCTAGTGACCTTTAAAGCAACCCTTAAAAATTTAATTTTGTTTTGATCCTTTCAGGGTGAGCATTAAGGACTCGTCTGTTGCCAAGCTTGGCTCCGTTTGCCGAAGAGTTTATCGAATTTTTTCTCACGCTTACTTCCATCACAGAGCAATATTTGACGAGTTTGAAGTGAGCTTTTTGTTATTGGATTTTATAATAGTTTAATTAATTGTATTTTTGCCTCAGAACACTACGTATCTCTGTAGAAGATTCACATCGTTTGTCATAAAGTACAACTTGATGTCTCGAGACAACTTAATTGTGCCAATATTGGAAGACGAAGCAGCTCTGCAGACCGAATCGGAAGCTTAAAGTAACCTCAAATCTCCCCAGTCATTCCAACCGAGATGGCACTGGAGGTCCAACCTAGCCTCTCTTCCGCTGAAGGAGACACTTCATTTTCTTCTGTTATTTGATTACGAGCTTAATGTCGATCCCATTTTTTTTAATTAGAAAGGCTCAAGTACCAAGATGCAGCCAATCAATTTAGCCATCTACTCTAGTTTCAATGAATTGTGTAAATAGGACAAGAATGTTAAGTGTGCATTAAGCTACAAAAGCTGATAATTTCTTTTTAAACTCGAACTAAAATACTAGCCTCTTACACTGTTTTTAAACAATACTAAGTTATATTAATTGCAAACTGCGTATTTATGTCTTCATTTAAAAAGTAAAGATTCATCAAATACACCAAAATACACAAATGAACTTTGCAAAAACTATCAATTTTTCTATATTGATAATTTGATTTGACTTATGTATAAAAAAAAAAATTATAATTTGTTTAGTTTTCATTTAATGCTTTGCCTGTGGCACTTTTTTTTTTAATTGGCCACACTTTTGGCAAGGGTCAACCGATTTGAATGAAATTTGGCAGGTCGGTTGCTCTTAGGGTGTAAACAAATAGTTTAGAAGGATTTTTGAAAATTCTCTAAATTGCCTATTTTACAGGGGCTCAAAGTTGCTGATTTTGAAAAATGGCGTTTTCAAAAATCGAAAATATCTCAGCTCCTGTTGCAGATAGCGCATAAGTTTATATAAGCAAAATTGTAGGTAATTAGACGCCCTACAACTTTGCTATAGTGACCAAGGTCGTAGGTCAAACCTGAAGGTCATTTATTTTTAGCTCATTTTTTTCAGGCTCTACCAAAGTACCAAGGCAATAAATTTTTTTGATTCCAAAATAGCCAAAAGTTGCTCCAGTTAGTAATAAACATCATATAAAAATTTGGTGATACTTATTTTTTTCGTTTTTGAGATATTCCGGATCAAAGGGCAAAAAACGTGGTTTTCCGAGCGTTTTTTGTGCACAATTTATTTTAAACCTCCATAACTTTTTTCCTGTTAGAGTTAGGATTAAATGTATTATGACAAAAAATAATTGCCTTTAATTTTTCTTCCAGATCATGTATCACACATGGTGATCAGGTCACAAAAGGGCATTGACCCCATGGTGACCTGTGACCTTTTTGAATTTTTTTACGTGTGTGACACATGGATGGAAAGAGGATGTCAGCAGGAGCATTTTAATACCCGGATTTTTGTTCTAGCATCATTACAAGTGAAGTTATCATAGATTTTGTGCAGCAAAAGATAGAATCGGATGAATAAATTATTTAAAAATAGATGTAACTTCACATCTATTGATGCTAGAACAAAAATCCGAGTACCAAAATGCTCCTGCTGACATCCTCTTTCCATCCATGTGTCACACACGTAAAAAAATTCAAAAAGGTCACAGGTCACCATGGGGTCAATGCCCTTTTGTGACCTGATCACCATGTGTGATACATGATCTGGAAGAAAAATTAAAGGCAATTATTTTTTGTCATAATACATTTAATCCTAACTCTAACAGGAAAAAAGTTATGGAGGTTTAAAATAAATTGTGCACAAAAAACGCTCGGAAAACCACGTTTTTTGCCCTTTGATCCGGAATATCTCAAAAACGACAAAAATAAGTATCACCAAATTTTTATATGATGTTTATTACTAACTGGAGCAACTTTTGGCTATTTTGGAATCAAAAAAATTTATTGCCTTGGTACTTTGGTAGAGCCTGAAAAAAATGAGCTAAAAATAAATGACCTTCAGGTTTGACCTACGACCTTGGTCACTATAGCAAAGTTGTAGGGCGTCTAATTACCTACAATTTTGCTTTATAAACTTATGCGCTATCTGCAACAGGAGCTGAGATATTTTCGATTTTTGAAAACGCCATTTTTCAAAATCAGCAACTTTGAGCCCCTGTAAAATAGGCAATTTTGAGAATTTTCAAAAATCCTTCTAAACTATTTGTTTACACCCTAAGAGCAACCGACCTGCCAAATTTCATTCAAATCGGTTGACCCTTGCCAAAAGTGTGGCCGATTAAAAAAAAAAGTGCCCTGTAAATATCGACAATGGTTTATAAAGACAGGAGATTCAAGATTTTGAAGAGTTGGGAAATAAATTTTCTGCATTTTTCAAACTTAGTCTCAGTAGCTCAACAACTTGATGAATAACTTCTGAACTATTGTGTAATCCCGCATTGATCTGTTTTATTGCACACCCATTATTATGCTAATATTATGTGTTGCAAAATGTAATATAGCTTATTGCTATTGTAATTTTTTTGTTTTACTCAAATAATGTAACATTATTTCTTTCTCCAACATCAATTCAATTGAGTGTGTATAGTCATTAAATTGAATTATATTAAAAAAATCCAGCTTATTGCAGGTCTCTTCTAGTTTTAATTAACAGTTTGTTAATTTTAAATGTTTCCTTGTTTCATGTCATAAGTACAACGTATAAAAGTTACTCAAGCTACTGAATTTAAACAAGATTGGTTTCTAAAATCATTAAATAGTTGAAAAATTTTCTTTAATTTTCAAATTTTCACGCACAAAATTAGCATAACATATGTTTGCTACCAATCCGCAAGATTTTGTAATGAATTAAAGCCATCAAATCTGATTATTTTATCAAATTTAAATGATTTAAACCATGATATATCTATTATCGCATAAATCCAAATTACACAACTTTTCGCGCACTTATTTTGGTGCTGCAAAGTGAAAAAAATGAGCATCGCCACGGATACTCCCACTCGCTGATGGGGTTTTGAGAGTTGACAGCAATCAGTAATCTGTTTTGGGAGTATCAATTTTGTCCTCAACCGAAGTGATTTCGTCCCGAGCGCGCCATTCATGGTAAGTCGGACGCACCGTCCGGTATTGTTGAATGTGTCCCGCTTACAAATCACGCACGTAGTTCTGCTGGCGTGCAAAAACAAGCAAGAAATCCAACACGGAACCACCGTTGAGGGAGCTACTGCGAGGTCTTTGAACCCCTTTATTCAACACCCTCATCGTTTTAGCTGCGACTTTGATGATGAACTTTTTCAAATGGTTGTTCGCAGGTGGTTCGGAGATGATTCCTGTCAAGGATAATGAAGACGAATCGTGCTTTTTGGTCACCAAGCACTCGCCATGGCGTGGGAAGTACGTCAAAGTTTTAATATTTTGTCATCAAGCATCTCTTTATCTCGACTGCACGAGATCATATGATTATTCAGATAGGACTAATTTTATTATCATTACAGCCCTCAAAATTAATTGTCAAAAAAATTAGGGATGAATGTGAATTTTGATCTGCTTGCTACATAAATTAATTATTTATTTTTTACTGAAATTAATACATTTAATTGAGGGATAAAATATTCCAAATTTAAAAAAAAAACTAATTATTTTATTTTTTTAAATGGTGGATATTATGTAAGTAATATAAATATTATGTTTTATAGTTTAATGCTTGTGAAAATTATGATAATTTGTGTACCCATTATAATCTCGTGAGAAAAAGAACCGGTAATTAAAACTTTCCCTGCGTTAATTTAATGATTTGTATGTTCTTCTCATGCGGGTTTTTTTCTTTTAACAGGTACAAGCGGATTTTCTCCATTGGCACAACCGGTGTCACCACGTACAACCCCTCGAACATGGAAATCACCAATCGCTGGCCCTATTGCGATTTTATGGTTGCTCTTCCAGGGCCAAACGGCAACCACAATCAGGTCAGAGAATATTAATTTATATTAAAGAATTGCTATGTTATGAAAAAAAGTACAATATTCTTGTCTTCCAAATTTTATATAATTTCGCTCAGAGCTCTTATCCAGGCCGAGGTGTCAGGTTGGCCTTGCCTTGGAAGACGAGAGGTCTTTTGGTCTGGTCTTTGGTGCCCTCCGTCTTGAGAATGGCGATGCGGCTCTTGTCTCGCCTCATTTCAGCCTCCATCTGACTTGCGGCAAGGTGGAGTTTGCTTGCCACACTCAAATGCGACTGAGACATCAGCTCCGTCATTGTGGCGACCTGCTGTTCTTGTGGCACACCGCGTCTGAAGTTTTGCAAACTCTGCTGCACCTCGGCGGTTTTCTGACGAAGCAGAGACTTCATTTGACCTTCGTCGTCAAGCTTGAATTCACGAGGCACAGGAATAGCGCTGAATTTATGAATTAATTAATGTGTTAAATTAATTAATTATTTTTATTACGTTTGCATGCTTCTTTGGGCCAAGTGTGATGCCGTTGGTATTCTGCTCTGGGTCTGCTGCTGTGACTTTCCTTGGGTAATCGCAGTCTGCGTTTGTATGGAGTAGTTCAGTGGCTACAAAAATTAATAATATTAAATTTTATTCAGGTTTTGACAAATTTATAAAGCTTTTTACAAATTCTCACCTGTGCCTGCTGCTTTTGACTAATAGGGCCAGGAGCGTTTGCTGACTCTTTTCTTGCAGGTGCGGCCGGAGCAAATTCCGAGGGCAGGATGTCGTACTTGTGCAGCTCCTTCTGGAGGTCATATTCCTGTCTGACCAGTTCAGCCACCTTCTGCTTTTGCTCGGTGAATTCTCTCTCAATGGCCCAAAGAGTTTCCTTCAATTTGTGCTCCTGGTCGGCGTCGGATTTCATCTTGGCACTCGCCTTTGCCACTTCAGCAACTAGTTTCAGGTTGGCCTTCTCCTGCTCAATCTGCGCCGTGGTTTGCTTCAGTTCTGCGTCAAACTCGGCCAGTTCTCTGCTGCTTTTCACATTGAGCTGCTGGATCCGCTCTTGGACCAAGTTGATCTTGAACTCGTGGTCCTTGTTTGCGTCCTTACCAAAGAGATCCTTTTCTCGCTCGATTCTAGCGTAATATCGCTCGGCGGCTTCGTTTTCCTTTTTGAAGGACTCCTTCATCCCTTCGATGGTTCTTTTCAACTCCTCCAGCTCTTCTCGCATCTCCTCCTTCTGTCTCTCTCGCTCCTCTCGCTCTTTTTGTTCTTTCTCGGCGCGCTCGTTCTGAAAGAAGACCGAGTTTTTGCGAGCGTTGTTCATCCGTGCCAGGATCGACTGGCTCATCCTGTCCGACTCCTTCCGCGCCTCCCTGATCTTCCGTTTCATCTCCCGTTCGTACGCGATTGTCCTTTCGATGGTCGACTCGCCCTCGGCCTTCTTTTCGGCACACTCGTTCATCAAACCCTGCAGCTCCTTCAGTTTGGCCTTCTGAGTTTTTTCCAAAGCGTCCCGCTCCTCAGCCACATCAGCAAAGTCCTGCGTCAGTTTGCCACTCTTGATCTTCTCTTCGGCCAGTTGTTTTTTCTTCATTTCACGCTCGGCAGTCAAACTGGCTATGTGCTTTTCCCTCAAGGCTGCGTTTCTTTTGTTGTCGGCGATTTTCAGGTCCACGGCCGACTGGCTCTCCTGGCTGGCTAAATGCTCCAACTGTGCCAGTCCAGCCTCGAGCTCACTCATCTTTTTGTTAATCGATTTTCTCTCGTCGGATATTTTCTGGAACTCGCGCAACAAACTTTCGCACTCGAGGGTCAGCTCGCTGACCTTTCCCAGCTGCTCTCGTTTCTCTTCAAGTTGTCTGGCCTTTTCTGCCCGTGCCTGATCGTTGCTTTTCTGCATTTCCTTGATGCTGGCCAAGTCTTTCTCAGCATCCAACTTGTACTTAGCCTCGAGCGCTTCCAATTCTTTGGCCACTCGTTCCCTGTGCCCTGCGATGCTGCGTTTCTTCTCTTCGATGTGTCCTTTGTATTTAGCCACCGACTCCACAAACTTGTTTGCCAAAGTCGTGTTCTCCTCGTCTTTCTGCAACAGCAGACTCAGCTCGCCGCTCTTCTTCAGCTCCAGCGCCTTCTGCATTTGGCCGATTTGACTATCCAACGGGCCAATGCTCTCGGTCAGCATGGTAATGCCGGCCTTCAAGTTGCCAATTGTCTTCTCTTTTTCGCCGACCACTCCGTTGAAGTTCTCCACGGTGGCCTTAAGTTTTCGCAGCTGGTTCTCGTACGCTTGGGCATCCTTGGCCAATTTGCGCCGCTGAATCTCTTCGCTGATTATGTTCTTGGGGTCTTCATTGGGGTCAAGAGTCTCCACTGGTGGAAGAGTGCTGGACGAATTCGCAAAGTCTTCACTGGTTGTGTTTGTCGCATCCTGCGGCGCGATCGTCACAGTGGTTTTACTCTTAATAAGAAATTTTGAGTGAGAATCTTCTCCTTCCATGATTCGAATCGCAAAATTTGTGACTGTGAATTTTTTAAACTTTTGTTGCAACTGAATCAAACAATAAGATTTTTTTTAAATATTCAAACTAATTGTTGATTGTTGCAACAATATCGCTTTTTGTTGTTATGTAAGGGCCAATGGGTATTATCCAACAATGCTGTAAATTTCAATTTAATTATCTACATAAATTGAATGAAAATGATTTTATTTTTAATGTATTTCATAATTTATCTCTTTATTTACAGATCAACGGAAATGGTCTGAGTGGCGAATTTTCGATATTCGTCAGAAGCGAGAAGAATAAAAAAGATTCTATGCGATTCAGCACAGAGTATCGAGCTGACCTACTTACCGACCTATTAATTCATCGGCACCAGTTCAATGGAGCTGAAAAACAAAAAGATCCATCTTGCGTATATAACAATACTTCTTTTTTATATATAAAAAATAATTTTTAAAAACCATTTCAGAATTATCCAGCATCAAAGCTGCACTGGTCAGGGATCAACCTGCCAGTTACGCTAACTGTGGCTCCAGCAAGTTTGGAGCAGAGAGATGTAACAAGCAACGCCCTACTTGCCAGCTACCCTTACAAAGACATTGCATGCATGAAAAGGGTCATGGGCTGTCCAGGTTGCCATGGTTCAAGTGAAGCATGGGCGATTGAAATGAGGCAGACTGGTAGAATGGTAATGCGCTGATTATAATATTAAGGAGAAGAAAATGTGATCGCCGCTGTTTGCAGCACTTGTTTGCGTGTTCAGATTGGTCGGGCATCAAACAGAAGATAACCAAGTTTGCCAGCCAATATTTAGGGCTTAATCTTGTATTGACCAGCGTCCAGCAAAGTGAATCAATGATTGAATGGGAAAATTGGAATAATGTTAGATTAGGAAAGTTTAGGTACTGTCCTTCCAAGTTTTGCTTTGGTGTTTATTGAAATACTTTAATTTTAGTGGAGATGATAGTCTTACTCCAATTGGAGAATACACTGTGATGAAGACATCGCCAAGACATAGCGAACCAGTGAGAAGAGTTCTCTGCCTTTCGGAGCAGTGTTTGATTGACAGAGACCCTCAAACCTACCAAGTAATGTCTTAATCAGCTCTTTACTTTTCAATTCAGTGGCAATTTGATTATCATAGGTGTGCAGTATTGCTCCATTGGAACATGTTTTCTGCTTAGTGCGCCCCAGAGATTCGGCGCAGAACTTCACAGTTCAGTTAGATAATGGACAGAGCAAAAAATACACATGCCATGAAAGGTAATAAATTAATCTGCAACAAAATATATATTACTAACTCCTTAATATATCTTAGAGACTCGGTTTTAGCATCACTGCTAGACACCATAAAGGCTGCTGGAAATAGGAACGTTCATGTTTCTACAAATGGTACTGCTAGAGGTATGCGGTGGCTGCCTTTGTGGGCCACAATTGATGAGGAAGCAGAGAAAATGGTCCTGAAGTTGATTCAGCCGCCACTTTGTGACAAACCATATGCTGAACTTTTAGAGAGGTTCAGCGCCAATGTGCCTTACAATGGATTAGCTCATATCACAGCCCCGACGGTATCGTCTTTTGTTTGAAGCTGACGGAGTAATAATGCCTGATCGGATTGCAGGGGATTTTCGGAGAGAATAAAGACAAACAAGTCACTGGCGCACTGGAAACTATCATGATGAAAGAGGGTGACATATCAACCATTCCACTTACTGAACTCGAGGTTCAGTTTAATGCCCTAAGGAGACTTTTAGCCTGTCGAGTTGGTTATTGCTCTTTCACCACTTTGCCTGGGTAATTTAGAGCATGCTCTTGTTATTTGCCTGGACAAAGTAAAAAAAAAAACATTATGTTTTTAGGCTCAGAGAAAACATAGGCATGAGAGTTGTGAAATCTCTTAGGAGAGGCGACGAGTCTGTTTCACAGCTTGCTTTGGAATTAGTCTGCTCCCTCATGATTCCTTTACACCAAGCGTGGGATATACGACAAGAGCAGCTCAACAAGGCTTCACTGCTTTCAAGCCCTAAGTTCTTGGCAAGTTTGCTTGACATGTGGGCTGGCCATGTGGTAATAACATTACCAAAAATAAATGCTGTTTAAAATATTAAAATTTATTTTCTTGCAGACAAGAGGAACAGGTGCTCTCGTAGTAGCTGCCATGCTCGACGTCTTGACCTTTGCACTTTGCGTACCTTATTCAGAAACAACTTCAGCTGCTCACTTTGATCAGTTGCTGGGAGCACTTGCTGAAAGAGGCAGATGTCTTTATAAATTATTTCAGGTAAAATAACGTTTAAAAAATGTATTGCTGAATGTGTAATAAATTGTGATTCAGCACCCCTGTCTGGCAATTGTTCGAGGTGCTGGCTTGTGCATGAAGGCCTTGATTGAAGAAGGGTCCGAGGAAGTAGGAGCAAAAATGCAGCAACTAGCTTTGACTGAGGGAGCCTTGCCAAGGCACTTGCAGAGCGCGCTTTACTTGCGTGGCCCAGAACCAAGAATTCTAGCTTTGAGGCAACTATCCAGACAATTAGTTGCACTATGGTGTGTAAACAATGATGAAGCAAACAACTTGTTGCGAAGAATATTGGTATGCTCCAAATTCCAGCCTGGAAAAATAGACGCTCAAGTATATTTCACGTAGCCCAACGGATTATTAAACTGGCTTGAATCTGACGAAAAAGCCCCTGAAACCAGTGAAGAGCACCTTAACACCAGAGACAATTTGCAACTGGTCATTGATGATATGGAATCATTGAAACCTAAAGGAGTACAAAAAGTAGGCTTGACGGTCCAGAAGAATTTAAAAGTAGTAGAGCGCCACGTTGAGGTGAGTAGCTGCAAGTATATTAAACAAATTGATATTGAACTAACCAAAAAAAGCATGCTCTTCAACACTGGGGAGCAAGGATGGGCCTTGAGAGACTCGAAAGGCTTGGTGTTAGTGGACCAGGGATGGTCGAAATTACAGATACCAGCAATTTGCCAAAGCCAGTTGCTCTAAGGCTTAGGAGAGAGCTGGTGAAGTCAAAAGCCAATTGGCCTCTTGTGTACTCTAAATTTTGGCTTGACCACGCTCTTCCCGACCTAATCTGGAATCATAGAGTATGTTATTATATTTTTAATATTTTTAACATTAATTAAAAAATATATATGATTAGACGAGAGAGGAGCTGAGAGAAGCACTTCAACAAGAACTGACCAATTTTGCATCCGAAGCTGATTTGACGGCTTCGACAATGCCAGACGCTGAAGACTTGACTGTTTCCTGGAACTATCGAGAATTTGAGGTTACTTATGCCAGTTTGTCTGATGAAATAAAAATCGGAGACTACTATTTGCGATTGCTACTGGAAAGAGACCACGAGGCAACGTTGCAAGCAAGTCTCGGTGAAGGAACTGCTGTTGGTTCTGGCATAAAGAAAGCGTAAGATCACCTGCTTTAATTTAGGAAAAGATAATTTAATTGGTCAAATTACAGATCCAAGTTGTTCACGGAACTTTATCACAGATTTTTACTAAGCACAGCTAGAGCCGATATGCGAGCCATGTGTCTTCAAGCAATGTCTATCGTTTACGGTCAACATTATGAGGAACTCAAGCCATTCTCAGACATGAAATTTCTTGTTGCTATGCTTGACAAGGTAAAACCATTAATTTGAACCAATGAATTTTTAAGCATGATAAACAATTAGAGCGTGGAAAGATCAGAACGAGACAGAATCGTTCTCTTCCTTAGACAACTGGTACGACAGAAGTCAAATTGTCAATTGATGTTAGATGCCGGTCTTGTAAAAAGCCTAGTGGACCTTGTTACCTTGTCCCACCTGCACACAAACAGGTTAGACTTTGATCTGAATCTAAAACTCTGAATTCAGTACTAAAAATTTTTCTAGAGCAATGGTGCCTTCACAAAGTAACGTCTTGGAAGCAGGACCTGGCATGACGAGGGACCAGGAAAAAGAGTGGTACTACGAAGTAAATAATGAGAGGAGAGGGCCCGTGAGCTACAAAGACGTAAGATTGAGATGCTTAAATTAAAACAAATTTTTATTTGTGGTTTAATTTTCAGCTAAAAGAGTTGTTCGCTGCCCAAACAATCACAGCCAGAACAAAATGCTGGGCACAAGGAATGGAATCATGGCGGCTTTTGCACCAAGTGCCTCAGCTCAAGTGGGGGCTCCTTGCAAGAGGTGAAGCAGTTCTTGATGAAAGTCAACTTGCGCATCTTGCTCTAGGCATTTTAATTCAGCTGTGCGAATATTCCCCATCAAGAGAAAACGACGGATCTGTCATCAGGCCTTTGCCGAGAGTGAAAAGAGAAATTTCGGACCCAAGTTTATTACCCCACGTTGTTCAATTGCTCTTGACGTTTGATCCTAAAATTGTTGAGAGTGTTGCTACCATTCTAAATCTGGTCATGGCTGATAATCCAGCCGCCACTCGGCTTTACCTCTCTGGAGCATTTTACTTTGTACTGATGTACACAGGATCCAACGTCCTGCCAATTGCGCGCTTTTTGTCGACCACCCACACACTGCAAGCGTGCAGTAGAGTACAAGTATGCTGATCAATCAAGTTTATAAGTAGTTCTGAAATTTGTCGTCATTTTCAGGGCACTGGAAGTATTCTGTCGCCTTTGTTACCAGATGCCATGGTCCATTTCCTAATCAATCACGGGCCTGAAAAATTTGCCGAGATTTTCCTTGGCGAGTTTGACACTCCAGAAGCCATTTGGAGCTCTGAAATGAGGTACTTTGAAGTTTTCTTTACTTTACTATTTTATATTAATTTAATTTTTGTTGCAGACGTCATTTGTGTGAACGTCTCGCAGCTCACTTAGCTGATTTCTCTCCCAGACTTTCATCCAATACCAGAGCAATTTATTCTCACTGCGTCATTCCAGAGATTCTTTACCCTCAACTAGACAGAGAGTTGTTCTGTGGTTCATTCTATTTGCGCCACCTCTGTGACGAAATCAAGTTCCCTAACTGGCCAATCGCAGAACCTGTAAATAAAATGCTTCAAGGAAATGAATGTTTATTAACATTATTTTAAACACAGGTGTCTCTGTTGAGAGACGTTTTGCTGTTGTGGAAGCGAGAAGTGGAGAAGAAACCCCCAGCCATGTCAACAGCAGATGCCTTGCGAGAACTGGGCATATTAGATGCTGAAAATGTTCAGGAATCTGACATTAGGAAAGCCTATTTTGTGAATGCTCAAAAGTTCCATCCTGACAAAAATCCAGCAGGCAGAGTACTTTCTCTAATAAATTTTTATGCTGCATGTAATAATAATACTTTGGTATTCTAGGAACGATTTGAAGCAGTCAATAAAGCATACGAGTTCCTGTGCAGCAAAGATTCCAGGGAATTTTCAGGACCAAATCCAGACAATATTGTGTTGATTTTGCGAACACAAAGTATTCTTTTTAGGAGATATAAATCAGGTTTGTTTGGGTATTACAAGAAAAACTTTATATTAAAAAATTTTCTAACCATTTCAGAGCTGTCTCCATACAAATACGCTGGTTATCCTCAATTGATAAAAACTATCAAAATGGAAACTTCCGACGAGGGACTGTTCTCAAAGCAGGTACCTTTGTTAGCGAGTGCCAGTGAACTTGCCTACTACACCGTGGACTGCTGCTCGCTGAATGCAGAGGAGCTTCGACGTGAAGGCGGAATTGATGTAAGAAAACCCTAAATCGCCACCAAAATTTTTACATCTCGTATTAATAAAAAAAAATATAGTCCTTGTTAGAAGCTCTCTCAAGATGTGTAGCTGTTCTCAGCAAAAGCGCTAAGCCACAGGATGTGGCTGTCAAAGTATGCTGTAATGTTGTACAAACGCTGGGCGTTTGTGCAAAGTCTCAAGCATGTCGGGACAAGATGGTCGAGCTTCCTCGCCTTGTCTGGGAGTTGTGCAGTATACTTCAGTGGCAGGTACGTGTGTTAAGATTTTTCCAAAATGCTTAACTGGAAATAATTTGTTTCAACTTCAGCATTTGATTGAGTTGGCTTGTCACACATCGGCTTGTGTCGCTTCTCTTGCTGCCGACTCGATTCTTCAAATGGCTTTAGTGCAGTCGGGAGCTATGTGGCCTGCGTTGAAATCTATATTTGGCTTCGACTATACTCTCGAGGAGGGAGGTGTTACCCAGACAGAAAGCACGAATAATCAGGTTTCATATTTCATTAAATTCATTTAGAAGAAAAATAATAATTCTTATAAATACCAAGGCATTGGGAAATCGTTTGGCGCGTTTGTCGTTGAAAGTTTGTGCTGCACTGAGTGGATACCCTCCTCCTTCACCCACTACTAGTCAACCACCTAAAGAAGTAGGCAAGAAAATTGAAGAGCTTTATCCAGCCAACCCAGTTGCCCAAAAGGCTCTTGACAGACTGCTGACGCCTTTCATTGCCCATCAATTAAATAGCGACACCCCAGATGAGGTTTTCTTTACCACGATATTTACTTTGCAGCCTCTCTTACAACAAAATTTATAGATTCTGAAGATTCTCAACAGCAACATAGAGAATCCTTACTTAATTTGGGACAATGGCACAAGAGCTCAATTAAACGACTTTGTCGAAGAGCAAAGAACATTGAGGAGAGATCCTAATGATCCGATCGACCCGTCGATTGATCTAGCTCCAGTATTTGATTTTTCCGCTCACTGTGACGAGCTTGTGATAGGAGGGGTCTTCATCAGAATTTACAATGAACAGCCCTCATTCCCCATTCAAGTAAGTTGTCATAATTTTCAACGAATGTGTAAATTAAGAGGTTAACCCTTTACTTCTAGAAACCAAAAGGCTTTGTTTTGGAGTTGCTGGAATACTTGAGAAACCAGTCAAAAAAGTTGCAGTCTGTGCTATCCGATGATAAAATTCATATCCATTCACACATGGCCTTGCGATCTCTAGCAAACGTTTTAAAATGCAATCCAGGTAAAAACGGAATAAATTTTGTTAAACTTCATATAATATTCCTGCATTCTCAGGTGTTGAACTACAGCTGATTGGGCATTTTAAGCTTTTGTCTTGGCTTCTGGTGATGCCTAATTTACAACCGGATTGTCTGCAAGTCTTAAACACAGCGTGTTCAAATCTAGAGTGTGTCAATGATCTGGCAGTGTCGGAAGTTTTGCATCACATTTTACTAACTTTGCTCGGAGAGGAAGATGAAGTCATCTCACTTTGCCTAGACTGCCTGCACACACTTGCCTCCTCTCCGAAAGCTGTCAAGGAAGCTCTTGCCAAAGGTATAGTAATATTATGCATATTGATGCAAAAGAGAAAAAAATTTATTTAAAAAACAGGAGCTGTGCTTTATCTGCTGTGCCTTTTCTGCAATTCTGGAAAATCTGAGGAAGTAAGAGGACGAACCGCTGAATTGTTATCGAGGCTCTCGGCTGATAGACTTTCAGGCCCCAAAGTCAAACTTGTTCTCTCACGCTTCTTACCAGCAGCCTTGTCTGATATAATATTAGGATCGCCACGAATGGCGATGGCGCTCTATGACGGAAATCACGAAAACCCAGAGCTCGTCTGGGGATCAAATCAGAGGAATTTGCTGGAGAAGCACTTAAACGAAACTCAAAAAGAGTAAGTTTTTACTGAGCTAATTTTAAACTACGTCTAATTATTTTAAATAGGTTTTCAGACAGGCAAAGAATAGATGTAAAGGCTGAGTGGAAGGCACCAGACACAGACTTTAATTACCAAAGCGAACAGTCAGACGAATTGGTGGTCGGTGGTGTTTACCTGAGACTCTTTTCCGCCAATCCAGGCTGGAGTCTCAAAAGACCAAAGCACTTCCTAGGGGAGCTTCTGGACACCACCATTGAGCTGATGGCAAGGGAAACTGGAGAGGTTAATTTGAAAATATTTCGTAAATGCGAATTTTAATCGTTTCTTCTAAAATACAGAGCTCAAAAATGGACCTTGCTATTGTCTCTCTAGTCAGCTTGCTTGCAACCCAACCAAAATTAGCAGAAGTATTGCCAAGCTTGGGTCATTTGCCAAAACTAGTGCAAACCTTGGTTGGCTGTGTCAACAAAGGTAACAACCAGGCAACCATTGGTGCCGTCAAAGTGTTCCTGCATCTGTCAAAGAGTCAAGTACGCATTTGAAAGTAATTGTGATAAATTTTTCTATTATTTTGAATTAATTTTAGGGCTGTGTTGAGGCTCTGAGAAATACTGACTGTGTTTCTGCTCTCAAGTTGGCTATGCAGAAATACCCACAGTCTCAAGGTTTTGCCTGCGAAACCTTGGGCAACTGGTTCAGTGCCATGGGTTCGGAACCAATCATAAGACAGGCAAGATGAATGAACTTTTTTTGTCCTGATCGATTCCAATTTGAAATCTTGTTAGGCTGTTCAAATTGAATTAGTGCCATACCTACTTGGCTTGCTGCAGTCACCGTCTTCAGTACTATCTGCGGCGCACAAAGCGCACTTAGTGCATGCGCTCAAGGCGCTTAAGAACACAAGCAATCCTCAGCTTGCTGAAAAAATTTCTGCCATGCTGGACAAGTGCCCCGGCTGGGCCGAATTCAGGGACCAAAAGCACGATCTTTTCCTAGGAGGCCCTAACGAACAAAAATATTTAGGTGAGTGGATATTTTTTTAAGAAAAGTTGTAATAAATTATTAATTTTTATTCCAGAGGCTCCATCTGGAATGATGGGTTACTTGACAGACGGCCGAGGCGCTGCAAAGTTGCCTGACCAACCTCCTCCTCTTATGTCTCCCTCTGAGAGCCCATCAAGTTCGTGAAGAGAGGGGAAAACGTTGAAGAGTAACCACATTGTTGTGCATTAATGAAACTCCATTCCTTTAAAGATATGCTTTGTAGCTACACATTAATATGAAATGCGATAAATCATTAATTTGAGGGAAATATTCATTATTCCTTGTGATTTTAGTTTGCTTGCGTTATTTTCCAAATCTTTCCATTCCAACTTATTTTTGTACTCTTTACTTGCAAACATTGTATAATATGAGATAATATTAGACTTGCTACAATATATGCTCCGTTCTGAAATTTGAATAATCAGAAAAGGAACTTTTACCGTAATTCGTAAAAAAGAAATAATATTAAAAATAAGTGCGAGTGAACATATATACAAATAAAGTAAAGAATATTTCACTGAAGTCTCTACTTTCGAATTATATTTTCCTATAAACTATAAATGTAAATTTAAATTTAAAAAAAAAAATGAAACGAAAAAGTTAAGGTAAAACTCTGGATTAAATTTGATTCGCGCCACCAGGGGCTCCAGAGTGGTCCACGATTGCCCGCCACCTAGCAGGAAATTCCGACACACGCACCCCTCCACTGCTTCCCCTCCTCTCGGTGCTCGCGCGCACGAATGGGCTGTCGCGCTGACTCCCCGCTGCTTACACGGTTTCTCGTTCTCCATTCTCCTTGAATCAAACATCAAACACAGCGCAGGCAGGCAAATCTTGAACAGCTGCACGCAGAATAATAATAATTCGCGATTGCGAGGCAGAAATACGCGGCCTGATTGCGCGGCATTGCGGTTCAGTGATCGAGCGAGGCGGGTGGTGGTTGGCGCCCCTGACATGTGAGCGAGTGCGGACCGAGACACGGCCCAATTCCACGCTCTCGCGCCGGACACAGCGAGGATTTCGACTCGTCTTGAATGGACCATAATAGACACTTAGCGGGGCACAAGACGTAGTTTCGTCGGCATGGCCACCAACCTGGTCAAGTGGTGGAAGACCCGCTTCCTCAACGGATACAAGCAGTTCACAGGTGCCCCCTTATTTTTTCCACATACTTTTTTCCGCCGTGCATGCCTTTGATCTTTTTGAGAGGGTCCGCGCGCGTCAATTACTTTCCCATCTAACGGCAGCTCCAGAGAACAGGGGAATGCAGTTCGTTTTCGATGGAGGGTGTATTTCGCAACCCCAATAGCTGACGGAACATCAAACGAGTGTAGTTCAGCACAGGCTAAAAAGGGGTGCGTTTTGTAAGAGAGATTTTGAGTATTGCTATGAGGGTACTTTTTAAGGGTTAATTGTTCTTAGGAGGGTAAAAATATTTAAAAAAAAAAAAAAAAAATGCTTTCAAGTACAAAAATTTAAAATTGGAGTCAACTCAATTTGAGTGTGGAGCAGAGTAAATTATTATTTGAGGAAGTAAACATCACCTAATAATTTTCAGTGCGTGTTTTTTCTTTTTTCTGTTCTAATTAGTGTAGAATAGTGTATTTTTTTGTGTTGTAAAATGTAAAGCAGTTTCAAGGTTTAACTTTTTAGAGGTTTTTACGAGGATTTTCTCGCACAGTTTCAGTAAATGAATCCACATAAACTAAAAAACTCAAAAATTTGGTAATGATCAATAATTTTCATATTTGTTTACTGTGTTTTTGCTGCAAATTTTCAATAGTATTTTTAAAAAATGTTATAAAAGGTTCAAAAAATTACTTTCCTGATAAACAAATATTTAAAGCCGCTAAATATTTTGTATTTTTTTAACATTTTTTTTTCATAATATTAAAGTTGATGGTAAATTAATTAATTGGCAGCTGTTCAATGAATTTATTTCAGCAGAATTAATTATAAAATAAAAACACATTATTTCCATAAATTTTTGCTGTTTTAATTTTTTTTTAATTTGCTAGTCAACAAAAAAATCATTTACATCAAATCTATTTTGCCTTCCGAATTCTGTAAAATTTTATCGAATCCATAGTTAAAACTCAACAAATTTTAGCTAAATATTTTGGAATATTTTTTTTTTAGTCTGAATTTTTTTAAGTTTCTTTCTAATATTTTAAGAAACTCTTTATTCATTTGAACAAAGAACGGAGAGGCTGGCGATGATTTTTGCATGGGGCCGTGTTTTGCGACGCAAGGTGATTTGTGCAGCGCGGATCGCCGGCAGCGGCGGCAAGTGCGGCCCACCGCACTATCTTGCGGCAGCGTCGCCTGCTGCCACTACTTGCTTCGTCCTTTGAACACGCCGACATGCGAATTATTCTCGTACGCTCGCTCATGTACATGGCAATTAATTTTCTTTCTTTCCAACAACTGCAAGCAGCAATTTTGACGCGCCGCGATCGCGAGTCGAATTCGTATACTTAATACGCGCGCGGCCTGGCAACACACAAATTCATAATGCGTTTTTTGATGGTGCTGGCAATTAAAATATGAAACTCCCTTGCCAACAGATCAAAGGAATCGCGCCGCGCGTAGGAAAAGCAATTTCCTCAATGAAAAAAAATAACAGCTGCTCTGAAATTTACAGGGTGTTTTTACATTCGTCCGACTTTATAATTTAAAATACAAATACAAGAAAGGTTTTGAAATATCAGCCTTTTTTCATTTGTTTACAAAAAAAGCAGTGAAAATAAAAAATTCATTGGGAAACAATCAATGCAATTTTAATCTGATTTAGTTAAAAAGATGGAATTTTTTTATTTGTTTCTTTTTAAAGCAACGAAAAAATTAAATCTGCCTAAAATTTTTGGAAAATGAATCGGTTTCCATCACTTTAAGATTGATTTGTTTTATTAAAATTTTCAGTAAAATAGTTTTTGCTTTTAAAATTATCCTTTTCATTTGAACACAATTTAAACTGCTGAAAAATGGCCTGCCGATTCTTTTACAAAAATTGCGGTGAAAATCAAGGCACAGCAAAAAGGGCTCGACCAACTTATCTAAAGGACGCCATATTGCATCAATAAACCTAACAATAAGCCCTGATTTAACTATAGCAGAACTCAATCGTCATATTTTCACCGAATAATGAAAAAATCTCATTCACTCGTTTATAAAGGCGATTTTTTGCTCATCTTCATGGGCACCGCAAATTTCAGAATATCTTGAACGTTTTTTTTCTGTTCTTTTCGAACGGGCCAAGCACGAAATTTTGCAATTCGGCTGAAAGGATCGAGCGTGCCAATTTTCGGCGGCGGCGCCCACTGCCAGCGAGCAGACACTGTGCCGCTGCTCATTCGATTCGGAATGCGCGCCGCTATTATAAAAAGTACATAGGTGTATTGTATGTGCCGTGTCTTCGGGGAGGAGGAAGGAGAAAAGAAGAGAATTTCGGTGGAAATGCACCTTCGAGAAGAGAATAAAGAAAAAGCGCGGCGGCGGCGGCGGCGGCAAAGCGATCTCGAAGGAAGAAAAGCAGCGGCAAAAAAGAAGGTTTTGGAGCGCGGGTTGGATGTGGTCGCCTGCTGCTGCTGCTGCTGCCGGCCGAGGGGGAGGGAGGGGGGCCGCGGCGGCGGCGCCTTTGATGCCTTTCAAGAGAGCCGGTCTCTGTTGCCTGCCAGCAAACTAACAGCAGACCCGCCTGCCATTGCCTTTGCTGCCTGCTCTCGCGCGGTACAGTGCGTCTCAAAACTTCTCGTCATTCCATCTTCTTCATTCTTCAGCACGATGGATAGAGCAGCGAGCGAGATGGACCTTCCTTTCCTCCTCCTCCCAGCCATAAATTCTTGCTTCTTCTCTATGAAGAGGAGAGAGAGAGAGAGAGAAAAAATAATAAAAATCGCTAGATGAACGAATTTTATTTATTTTTTTCTACGTTTTGATGCCGCCGCTGCCCGTCATTAGTCAAGTGCCAAAATTTCGGACCAACTTTTGCTTTTGATCTGGAATATCGCGAACGCGCGCAGTTGGCCGCGCGAACGAGTTAATTGCAGAGAGGGAAATGCGCGAGCGCTCACTTCAAACGCGCGCACCTCTTGTTTATTTTCGTCCGAAAGAAGCACGGCTCGCGTGACACTCTCGGAAAGATTAATTCGACGGGGAAAAAATATGATAAAATCGCTTTGAAGGGCTCTCGCATGCTAATGTGTACCTGTGTGGGGGAGACCAAAGGAGTTACCCCTTTGAAAATGCTTCTAAATAGCTTCTTTTCTTGGGGTTATTACGCCGGAAAATGCACTTTTACCCTGCTGCAGCTTAAATTGAACTTCCGTAAACTAAAATTCAGGAATATTTTGAGATCTGCCCTTATTTGAGCTTGTTGGTATAAAAAAATTGCACTTCCCCTCATAAATTGCTCAATTTTTCACTCTTTTTTTTACCAGGTTCATTTTTCGATTTATTTATAAATCCCTCTGTTAAAGAACAAAATTTTAAATATTTACTTGATTTAATTTTTTTTTTATTGTTGTCTCTTGCCGACGGCTGGAAAGGGCAAAGGTTCCAAATCACAAAATAATGTCCCAAGAACATGCACAAAGCCATAGAAGATAAAAGTTATTTTTTTTTCATTTCAGTTTTTTTAGTTAGACTATCAATGAGGGGGGCATTGGACAATAAATATTACATCTTATTTGAACTGAATATAAAGAGCCCTCTCGCCAATTTTGAAACCTCGAACCGGGGGCGTAACCCAAAATTTTGAAAATCACTCAAGATTTTTTGATTTCCCATAACTTTGGAACGGTTTATGTTAGAACAATGATCTTAACTGTTTCTGGCATAACATTTCACGCTTAACAACTTTGCTGTTGACATAAAAGTCGTAGACGTAGGGAAATGTCACTATTTCAAATTTTTTTAATAAAACTCGAAATACAAAATAAGTCTCATCGATTTTGTTTTGTTGGTTTAGGAAAAAATGTAGCCCGTGAAATTGTACATCAACCCTGTAATTTTCAGAATGACAATTTTTTCCGTTCTCAAGATTACACAGTGAAAAACGTGTTTTTCAGAGGTTTTTGGGTCAAAAATTTGTAAAAATCTGAAAAATCAATCAAAACCACCAACAATCAAGTTTTTAAGACTAAGAAACAAGTTGCTTATTAATTTTTAATATCAAAATTTTCAATCCGTTTCTATTTAATTTTTTATTAATAAATAAAAAATAATATGGCTTCTATAATCAAAATTGCACTTTTATTCACACAGCACAGACTATATGTTTTGGTCTTTTGGAGACGGTCCGTGCATTAGTGAATTTGCAGAGACTTGTCGCAATAATTTACGACAGCACTGTTTTCATCTTCAGTTATTTAAAACCCGCTTATGATGCACGCGTTGTTTTACGCCTCGAATAAATAATTAGACACACTTGTATCTCCTGTCTGCAGGCACTATTCGTTCTATCGAGAAAAGCCATCCATTAGCGTAGCCCGAAAATGATTGCCTCTCTTTAATCATTAAAAACGCTTACTCCGTTTAACCAACGATCTCTCTCGTAGCGGCAACTTAAATTTTTTACCGTCTAAAGGCGCCGGTCTGATGCTGCACGGCAAACAAGACTAAAAAGAAAGTACCGCCGCACTTAGCCTTGGATTACGTGAACCAACACACTGAAGAGTTTTTAGCTACAAGTTTCTTTCTTGCAAGGGAGCAGTCTCGCTCGACGTCGGTTGGTCTTTTATAATGCAGGCAGGGGCGAGTCATTTCAAAGACAACGCTTTGTCGGCGCGCTTTGCTCTTCGCCGCCGCCGCCGGGATTCTTTTCCTCCCAAACGAAGCGCGCCTAATGAAACTTCTTCAGCGTGCAAGAGGAAAATATAATCGTATATGGGCCCCGAGAGAAGAATAATCGAACACTACTTTTCATAAATAATAACTCCTCCTGTTCGAACAAGAGATCTTGGATTGGAGCCAGCTGAGGTTATTTCAAAACGGATTTTTTATTTCTGACCGGCACAACAGAAAGAATAAATGTAATTTTTATTCCATAAATGAACGAAGTTTAATGTTTCACTAAAAAAGATGACGATTTTGAAATGCGTGACGAAATGCGAGGTTTTTTTCTTCTGAAATACAAAAGATAGAAGAAAGATTGCAGCGTTTTATTAGCTCTGATTGAAGGCCGGCGCGGATGGCAAGAAAGGCAATGAAAATTCTATTGCACGCGCGGTCGTCGCCGGGCATGATAAGAGATATTTTTTTACTCTACCTACCCCTGCTCCTCGTCAGGGCCCTCAAATCGAAAATCAAAGGCAGCCGCGGCGCACAAAAGAGGGACGGACGCGCTCTCACAGCTTTTACGTCCTCCCGACTTTTAATATGAAAATTTATTACAAAAAAAAAAGAATATGCCGGTGTTGTTGGGCGCTAAAATTATTTATGAGCCGCACAAGCAGGCAGGTGGCGTGTGTTTCTTGCTCGCTTTCGTCCGCCGTTCTGCCGAGCGAGAAGAGAAATACCAAGTAGTGAGATGTGTGTGTGTATTATTTGGCTTGGGTCAATGCCATCCACTGACGTGCTGTGATGGTGAACGGGTGGGTGGCACTGAAAGCCGATTAATTACGCTCGCAACGCCGTCGACCTAATAAGACCGATTGAATGAAATTTCTCAATTTATTAACTTAATTTTTATTAAAATACTCTGTTTATAGAAATTAACGTGTTTCAATTTGGCCAGGATGCTAATTATTAATTAGCTCGGTCTCGGCGCCATTTCATTAACAATGTTGTCTTGCTTTTGTAATAATAGTTCGGTCCACATCTCCACATTGTAAAAAGCATCTCAAACTCTCAAGCGGTGCGCCATCTGCAGCTTCCAGTCTCGAACTGATGGAATTTTGCCTAAGCTGTAGGGGCGGCTGTAGTAAATCACCTACCTGAGCGTTCTGGTAGTTTCCTTCCGCTTGTTATTTGTTTTCCAATCGGTCGAGTACGCACCTTAGCCAAACATGCGCGTAATTTATGCTTTATTTAAATCGTTCGTCTTCATCTGTTATTATGGCCTGTTATATTTACGCCGGCGCCGATAGAAAAATAAACCGTGGGCCCATTGATCGAGGAAGTGGGAATTTTTAAAGTGATTCTGGCTAGCATTTTCCTATTACGGTCATCAACACTTGTTTATTTAGGATTGCATTATTTTTTTTATTGAACTACTTGTTTACGTGCATTAACAAAATTATCTTTTTTTTCCAGTGCTGATGCCTGGTGACTCGGCGAGTGAAAGTGGCAGAGAAACAGAGGAACTCCTGTCCTGCCATTCGGCGCCCCTGTCGCCACCACCGCTCATCCCCGAGCAGGCGTCCATGCCATTGCCACAGACTCAGCAGGACACGTCATGCTGCTGTGGCAATCAACCAGATCTCCCGAGGAGGGAACTTAAATTTGAGGTACAAATAGAGGACTTTAATCAATAATATAAATTTATTAAAAAAAGAAGAAAAAAAATTAAAATTTTTGCCCTTCTCTATTAGGAGTTTGAGTGTGATGTGGCTGTGGAAGGAAATGACGAGGTACATGAAATAGGAGTTGCTCAATCAGGTGAAAAGTGTAGGCAGTGCGGGCCACCCAGACAAGAATTTTCCTTCACTCTCTATGATTTAGACGGCCACGGAAAGATTACCAAAGAAGTAAGCAATATTTATTTATTGATTATTTTTGAATTTTTATTATCAATAAATTTCAAGTTTGAAACTAAATTTGAACTCGTTTCCCAGGATATTGCTGGTCTTGTGACTACAATTTACGATACGCTTGGAGCAACAATCCAGGTACCTAACTCGGGCAGTAAAACCATCAGAGTTCGGCTCACAGTGGCGCCTGAAAACCGGTCTGATTCGTCCACGCCGCAGCAAACAACCCCCCAAAATTCTAAAACTTGCCAAAACAAAAATCTGAACAACATTTGTGACCAGCCGGCTGAAAAATTGACCAAGGAATCTCTTCACCGAAACCTAGGATCTGTCAAGCTGTCTGGCAATGCAGAGCAGCTGTACCTCAACCTATCCCCCTGCAAAAAGGTATTTTATCCAAGCCCGAATTTTGACATAAATAATTATTGTGCGTCTTCCAGGTGTCGGTTGAAACTGCGCTATACGCAAATGTAAATCACCTCAACAACAACTCTACTAAAGAAGACATTAAGAGAAACAATAATGAGACTGGACACTCGATAGTTAATAATACTCCTCACATTGCCAAGAAAATTTCACGCCATGAGAGTTTACGGAGAGACAGACTGCCCAATCCCAAAGTTTCCGCCCTGGCCACTGGCGCCAGCGTTTCCACCCCTAATTCCCCACTAAGAAACACCTCCACCCCAAAGGCCACTTACGGAATGCACAGCCCACGATGTGGCGGTAAATATATATTTGTAAATTTTAGTTTGATTGCTAATTGCTCAAAATTATCTCACAGGCCGAAAATCAAACTCCCACAATCCATCACCAAATCGACCTAGAAGAAGAGCGACTTTTACTGCACCTGCTCCACCACCAAACCCTCCGGAGAACATCAACCAGGACAGAGCATACTCTGGCACACTGCAGAGGCAAGAACTGCTGCACATAATCCAAACGAACATGGAAAAAAATCTTCTGGCCCTTCACCACAACTCCACTCATCACAGGTAAGAATCGATTTATATGTTTTCCAAATAATACCAAATTATAAATTTAGAAATTGCTAATAACATAGTTTTGTTAATAGTGACAAATGTTCTAGGAAACGTGGAGAAGATTTTTTGCAGCGGCAGCCGCAAATGGGCAGTCCGAAGTCGTCACGCAGCCAGGGCAAGCGAACCCCCAAGACGGCGCCGCGCCTTCCTGCGCGCAAGACGACCAAGACCAGTGTGGATTGCAACAACGTGCTTTCATGTTCGCACTACTACCTCGACCTGGCAGGCATGGAGGAGGCAAATTTGTGTAGCTACTGCGACCGTGGGGACCTGCCAAACCAACACGTGCTGCGCCACAAAACCAGAGAACTGGACCACGCTCGCGCCATGGCCCAGGTGGTCGAGTGGCTGCAGGGAGGCCGCACAGGTGGTGGCTTCAGCCTGCCCCCGAAAGAACCGTCCCTTGTAGAGAGCGAGGACGAGGACAGCTCGGACGCGCCCACTCGTCTCACCCACCGACACATCCACGAACACGTCCACCACCACTACCATCATTACACGGAGAACGACAACAAGAAGCAATAAAACAATTTGCAGTTACGGCTCAAAAGGAAATTTTTTGTCCTTCGCAATTTGAATTTTGAATATGTACGTCCAAATGGAGAACTTTGAACCTCATTGGAAGTTGATTAGAAATGTGGCCAAGTCTTGCCATTGTATTATTATTCTGGTGATATTGATATGGACGCTGTCTTGTTAAAATTGAATGAAAGTTGGCAAGTAGAAATTAATCTTGCGGTAGTTGATATATATTTAAAGGTCAAAAATATTAGGGACATAATTCGTTTTTGTATGAACTTGTTATTTAAAAGCCTGGGTAATGATAACCGCCGCTTGTAAGCCTAACGTATGAGCTTGGAGTTGGAATTCCAGAATGTGTGTGGAAAGGAGTTGGTTAGTCTTCTTTTATACAAAACTCAATAATAAACAATCTACCTCACTGATTAAACTTTACTTAGGAATAGTTTGGCTTTAGGCCGGAGCTTCTTGTTGCTGCTGATGTAAAGTTTAGCAAACAAATAGTATTTAAACATAGATCAATGTTATTTATATACAACCTGTATACAGTTTAAAATCAAATGATTTTGATGTAATTTTTATATATACAACGCGACAACACTGAAATATTATTTATTGACTCTATTAAAGATAATTACATGACTTACATTGTTTTCGAATATTGAATTTTGTTACGAATACAATAAATATCTGTAATATTATTATCTAAATTTTTATCTTTTACTTCTGACCTGAAAAAATATTTCACTTTTAAAATAAATTGAAAGCATTTTTTTTTTCAAATTCTAAAATGCGCCTAAAGTCTCTACGCAAGTTTCTTTATTACCTTTTAATAGGCATATTAGCAATATAAACTGCACATTCATAAATTCCACATATCGTAATAAAAAACGATGTATATGCACAATAATGGAAGCGTTTGGAAAAAGAACAATAAAATTGTCCACATTACGGTGCAATATGCATTGTTTCTATACCATGTCCATAAATATTCATCCTCCTGTGCACTAAATAATTGGAGCCATTTTTTTGGTATAAAGAGCGAGGAAACTTCTCTGGCAGCACATTCAACCATCCGCCTCAAAGGCTATTTTGTGCTTCAACTCGGCAACAGAAATGCAAGTAAGTAAAAAGCAAAATTTTCTAAAAATTTCTTTTACTTTTTAAATTTTTTAAAATTTTTTTTTTTCAGCCAATAAGTGTTTTCTCGCTGTTATTGAGTGCCGTGGTTTGCTCACTGGTGCTGGCCGAGCCACTCAGCCACTATCACCACGATGTCAGCAGTTCGAGCAGTGGCAGCGCTAGTGGTAGTGGCAGCGGAAGCAGCAGCTCGGGGTCTGCATCAGGCGGCTATCAATACAAAAAGCCAAAGAAACCCTTCTACCTTCCACCTTTCAAGTCATCAGCCAGCCATACAAAGATTAAAATCATCAAAAACCACGGCCTCGGACACAAGAAGATAATTAAACACCACAAGCCTAGCACCAGCTACGGCACCAGCTCAAGCTCCTCTGGTTCCTCTGGCTCAGGAAGCTCGTCCAGCGGCTCCTCTTCCTCCTCTGGGTCAGGACCAAGCGGACACGGCCACCACTTCCACTACAAGCCGGCCCTCAAAGTTATCATCAAAAAGCACGGCAAGGGTTTCCACCATGGCTAAAGAATAATTTTCACAGAAAATATCCATCTACACAGTAAATTCACCTCTTAAATTTTGCACTTGAATTTTTTAACTGAGCTTTGTTTTGTTTATATTTGGAGCACTATTTGCATTACACGTTTTTAATATTAATTTTTTTCATAAATAAAATAAAATTTGAAGGTTCGAATGAAAAGTTTTTTTTATTGCATAGGATTCATTAGAAAATGTGTGTAAGCCAATTGGCATATAAACTGGAATATACTATTAAAAATTCACTTTTGACATTAAATTTCATAACTATCTGTGCCTTAAATCATCATCATCTCTGCTATTTAAGTATTCTTTGGCACGTCGCTCATCGAACTACACTGGTTATTATTCTTGATTGAATTCTGGGCTTCACAACATTTCACAACACGCACAAACTTAGAGTAGAATGGCAAGTGGCTAAATTTAAAATTTCATAGCCAAAATCATTTTAAAATAAAGTTATTTTATAAGTAATCTCAAAATTTTAACCGTTGGCGTGAAAATAATGTCTTGTTGCGGCTGCGTAAAAATTCACCGTTAATTGTTTTACATTAGATGGAATTTATATAGATGTGTAGCAACACATATGATTTTACATTGATCTCGTTGGCTCACATTGACTGATACGATTAGTTCTGTTCTCCACGCTTCCTTATATTAATTTTCTTAAGCATAACTACACTTTTGTCTCAATGCGTTTTGTCACTCTTAAAACGAATGAATTAAGCTCAATCTATAGTAAATATGAAAAAGCCAGCCGCCTCCTTTGCTGGACTGGTTTATATAATACTCTTATCAATTATGTGACTTAGCTGGACTTGATTTTGCAGCTGCCCAATAATTTCTACATTTTGATCCAAGCAGCCCTGTCTTGGCTTTGCGCGTCGTTTGAGATTTCCACCCTATTCTAAAAACCGCTGTTAATGCCCACCCTGCAAAATGACAAACTCGTGTGCGTTTATGTAATACTGCGCAAAATATTATGTCTTTGGCGTTAGCCGATATAAATAAAAAAAAGCGTGGAAATGTTCATTAAATATAAAAATGTAGCTCTTTTTTTCGGGAAACTTGATCAGACAAAATAGGAATGAAAAGAACAGAAATCTGTTCATAATGCATTAAATCTGGAATGCAAATTAATAACCGATGCTTAGATTTGAAAGCCAATGGAAAATTTCCTCTGAATTTGGCTAATGCTTGTGCATCAATTAATCAAATAACAAAAAGAAATAAACAATATACAAAGTGGAGAAACTTAAGTTGACGTGACTCCTTTCCGTGCCACCAAAAGATTCAGAACAGGATGCTTCTTAATGTAGTCGACTGCTTTTTTATGCGTCACCATGGTAAAATCGTACCCATTACACTGGAAAGATAAGTGAGAATATTATTTAGTTAAAACTTTCCCTTCGATTATAGAGTGTTTTGAAAAAAGCTGTCTTTCTCCGACAATTTCTTTTCCTTTTTCACGTGAAAATCTTGTAAAGAATTGGAAAAATAATCAACAAAAATAATAATAGGGAAAGTACTTGTAATATTTTGTCGTGCATCCGCAGCCCTGCTTTTGCGGCTGGACTCCCGTCGTGCACTTCCGTTACGTATATACCCTGCGAAAAAATTAATTACATCACAAATTTTGAAGTGATTTTAAAATTTAAATAAACAATTACATTGTCTGTGTATCCCTGAGGACTCTTGCGGTAGTCCTGGTCGATTCCTCCGCCGATCCTGAAGCCGCACTTCAGCACCTCCTTTCCTTCAGAGTCCTGGCCACTCTCTTTGTGAAGAGTGATGGGAATCTGAAAGATAAATACAGTTCAATAAAAACTAGCCTGATATGTATTTGGCGTGTGAAGGGAGTGGTTTGCAAATGCAAACAGGGAAAGATCGTTCTCGAGAAAGCGATGATATGTTTATTCAACTTACACTCAAGCACTCCATAGCGGTGCCCGCTTGGTGCTGAAATGCCATTTTTGCGCACATCTTGGTGAGGAATTGGTTAGCCTTGTTTCTTCAGGAAAAAGCGCAGTATTAATGTGACTATTTGCGTATAATCTGGCAAAATTATTCGCTTCAATGGGCGAAGAATGTCTTTTGTTGTCGATCGCTCTGGCTCTGCTTTTCACCCAAGAAGGTTTCCACCGACGCCAGTGCTGCCAACATGATCACGTCAAACTACCATGAATTAGTTTTTCCTTGTTCGATAATTTTGCAGAATATTTTTTATTTTATTTCTATATTCTACTTTAGAATGAATGGGAAATAGAATAAAAATCGGATCAAATTCATATAATTATATTATTTTAATTTATTTATTTAAGTTCGACTATGACACTTTTTAACCATCCTTATTACAAGCAAAATTAAAAGCTGATTAAAAGGAAAATTTAAATTCTTTGACAATTTAAAAGCAGGTTTGTCCATCAAAAACTAAAATCACAAAAATACAATGTTATGAAGATTTGAGAGTACCGTATATTTGGGTATATTATTTGAAAATTATGTAGAAATTTCCAGGACATAAAACTTAAATAAAAAGAATTGTCAATGAGTGTAATAAGAACTTCCAATTTTTACACAGCTAAGTTATCTCAATTTCGTGAATTACAGGAAAAAGGAGATTCCAAGAGACTAGATTCTTGTTCTGCTCACAAAAAATATGATAGTGCAATGCAACTGCTCTTCATTGCTTATGATCACAGTTGATTGCAGGGAAAGCATTTTAATTGAGGAAGTTGGAATAAAAATAGATTAAATATGGCGTCAATCTATGTGGTTGAGACTGTAGGAATCTCCTCTGAGCTCTTCGAGGCTTCCTCCGCAGTCTCTGCCTCTGGCTGGTCCCTCTGGTTCCCCATGGCAGAGCTTCCGGTATTGCTGGAAACTGGCACAGAGTTCGGAGAAGTCCTCCTTCTATTTCGACGGTACCGTCTGCGGCTCACATGAGGCTCCGCAAAGTAGGGAGGCGGCGGCTCTCGGAATAATAAGTAGGGCGACGGGCCTGAGATGTTCAGCGATGGCCTCATGGAAGGCTCGGAGTTCCTGTCCATTGTGCTCTCAACGGGTTGGCCGTACCCAAAGAAAAAGTAGGAGGTAAGCAGAATGAAAATCAAACTGCACGAGAGGCATCCCACAATCGTCGCAGTTTCAAATGAAGTCTGAAATTTCAAACATTAAAACATTAAATTAGTCATTTCTTATATTGGTACATATACATTTTAACGGGGAAATATTTAAAAATAAATTAAATTGCTCAATTACATTGACACAGCAATCCTCGTCTGAATGATCGTTGCAGTCATTACTTCCATCACAGACTTTGTTACTCGGGATCCATTTGGACCAATCGTCGCAAAGGAAGAACACGTCCTCTGTGCTCTTGCAGTTCAGCTCGTCTGTCTGGTCATCACAGTCAACGGTCTGGTCACACTGCTGCTCTCGCAGGTAGCACGCCTTGCCGTCCTTGCACAGGGTCCAGCCCTTGTGTTGCGAAGCGGGGCACGACATGAGTCGCGAGCAAACATTGATTGAGGCGTTGTAGCACACCATCGGAGACTCGGGGCAGCTCGTCAACCCTTGCTCGGTGCACCCTAAACATTGAATTGTAAAATCGGTTTTTTAATATAATTTAAGCAGCCCAACTAGAGTCACAGTGAGATTCATCTGATTTGTCTGAGCAGTCATCTTTTCCATCACAAATTTGCGACTGCTGCACACACTGCTGACTGTCTGAGCATGAAAACTCAGTGCTTAAGCAAGGATGTTTGGCCACATGCGGAACTATTAAGATTTTTTTCTTATAAAAAACTTATTTGTCTTAGTTTTTTATTTGCATACCAACAGCATATTTGAGCTTGAATCCCGAGCTGCTTTTGAAATTTTTTGACGAATGGAACTTGATGACCGCTATTTTCAAGGTGTCGGGAAGAAGGACGTCCCTGTTGTACTGCATTCCATTGCAGAGCAAATGTGGCACCTTCACACCGTGACTAATGGCTGGGATTGAGAGCCAATTGCTGGAGCAACAACTATTCGTTTCCTCGCAAGAAGGTGGACTGTCATTAGAAATGTCCAAGTCCACAATCCTTAAATTGGTAAAATTCAATAAGTTATTTATGTGCTGTGTTGTTTTAAATGATATAAAAAATTAATTAACATATGTAATTATGTACCTGATGGATAGTGAGGAATTTTTCGGAATGCTAATGAACCAAGAGCACTGCGCAAAGTCTGGATAAGGGCCTGGATGATGTGGGCTCTCAATGTAACCATTCTGGCTGTTTAAATGTAGATTTGAGCAGTTGTAAATTCCATCCACGGTATCTGAAATAATTGAGACAAAGTTTAAAGACCAAAAATGGGGAAAAAATGATGTTCATAATTAACGCTGGACTAGACTTCATCTTCGATATCGTGCGTTTCGTGCATAAAAAGCGCATTTGGCCTTGGCAGACTTTTTAGATCAAAAGTGTAACTCACTGAGCCAAACAACAAGAAGAACGAGCAGAATTTTCTCCTGGTCCATCGTGAAGATAGTTTATTATTGCTTCACTTCATAGCTCAGGGGTGGAAAAGTGGTCAATCGAGCAGATTTAACAAAGATAATTTGCAATTTTTATGATTTCTACACAAAGGGAAGGTTGCAACAACAACCAAAAACAACTTCGCAACTCCACCGTCACTTTTTGAGTTGGTGTGCCTGGTATTTTTTGTGCTATTTTCACCGTAGCGTTCAATTTCGTGCGCTTAAGCATTAATTCAACCAATAGGACTTCTTGCCAATAGGCTTCTATAGAGTTCAAGACGAGAAGGAGAAATACAAGAGAAATACAGGGAGGGAAAGAGGGGAAACGCAGCAAAGGGGGCGGGGCGGGACTGGCCCAAATTAAGCGCCAAACTCTCCTTGTTCGATTTTGCCTCTTTAATTTTGTTGCAGACCTTCAAACAGAATTTCTCAAGATTAATCTGTTTTCTGTAATTTCTGCTGCAGTGCCGTCACCATTCTGCCTCCTTTTGAATCTCTAAAGGTAAAAATACATAACAGCGCATGAACTTTTAAAATTAAGAATTAATATCTATAATCTTGTATGTAAGTTTCGTGTGTTAATTCGTTTTAAAAGCAGCGCTTAGGGAATAAAATCAGTTTTACAGAAAATTTATGTAACACAGATCACATAAATTATTATCAACAATCCAGTGTTTCATAGTTAACCAAATGTTATCGAATTTTTCAGGATTGAATAATGAATAAAGCTGGAAAAATGGCAAAGATGACAAATCTTGCAGAAGGTATGTATTTTAGTATGTATGATGTGTGTATTGTGTGTGCGGACACAATTTATTATATTTATATCTATGACATAAAGCTGTACCGACTCGCACTCGGAGGTTTGCCACATTTCCTCCGAGCCACAAGCTGGAAGAACTCAGCTTGTGTGTGGCGAATGCCTGCGTTTCATTGCAAGACTGCAAGTAGTCCTTCGTGGCAAGGCCGGGGCAAGGTCTCAAGGGGGTTGGGGGCCCATGCGAGCACCACCAAATCTGCTAGAAAGCCCCCGACAAAGGGTCAGGTTGGTTGGGAAGCACAATTGTGCTAAGGGTGCTCGACTTCGGCAAGAGACCAACCAGCCTAATAAGCTCTCGGATCATGGGTGCCATATAAGAAAAACAATTAAAATTATGTTTTTTCCATAAAGATTTTCTTATCCAGATATGTTAAAGTGTTGATAATGGTCAAGCTTTATGTACTTTTGCTAGAGACCACCTTTATTTATGTATCATTCGTATCATTTACGCATACTTAATCACAATAATTGTTTTGTAAATTTTTGATAATATATATTTTGATTTGTCCTGCAGAATGGTTTGATGCTGTTGAAAGGTTGACCCTTGCTGATGGCAACGTTGATGATGATTCTTCGCCGCCGAAAAAGAAGGCTCGTCTTTCACAAGAGCCATCATCTAGCAGTGAAAGATCAGCTTTGAAAGAACAAATTTTCGCAGTCTTGAAGGACGAGATTAACCAGTTTTATGAAATCTTCTGTGCTAATGTCCTGAAGACAGAAGAAGAAAGATGCCTCATTTTGGAAACCTCTCAAAGTAATGCAAACTCATATTTTTTTTAATTAATTTTTTTTTTTTTAAATTTTGCTTAAGCTTTTGTAAATTTACTTTGTATAATTTTACATACTACAATTTTTTTAAAACTAATAAAATTTATGTATTTTTTTTTCTCGAAACAGCTCTTGTGCAGAAATTGGAGAGAGACAGACGTGAGGCTCGCCAGCAGTACCTGACTCAGATGCAATCTCTTATCAAGCAGGTGAATTTTGTGGCTGAAGTTGAAAAGCAGTTCTCCACGATTGACTCCAGTCTTGCTGAAGCTCAAATTCAGGACCAAGTATAATGCTTAAATTTCCTCCGATTATAAGAATTATTTATCAAAAAAATATTTTTACACAGTTTCAGGTCTTCCTCAAAGGGCTTTCAAATGCAATTGAAGCATGTCGCCGTTGCAAGAAAGAAAAGACTGATTACATTCAGACAATGACTGAGAAGATTAAATTCTTGGAAAAGGTAAATCAAGGTTATTTAAAATCTTTTAAAACTTCAGGCTTGCAGCAATTTACACCAAAATTAACCTTATTATTGTGCCTGCAGTATTACCTTATATATATATATATTTTTTTTTTAATTTTTGTAGATCATTGAAGAGGAGGAAACTGAGCAAGACATAATTTCCAAAAGCTAAGTGATGAAAGCTGTTCTTCCTAAAATTATAAATCTGGTGTAATTCTTATTTATCCACAATGCCAAATATTGCAGGAATTCTTAAAACTTAAGTTCTTTAAAATTTTACGTTTTTAAAGGTATCGGCTCTAAAGAGAAGACACATTAGAAAATTTGATTTGGTTTTGATCTGAGATCATAAAACTCTTAATCTTTTCTTTGCCTGGCTTTGGAGGAAGCTCATAATGTAAAATGCATATTTACCTATTTACTTTGAACTCACTAATTTTGTTTCTATGTATGGTCTGTGAATTATTAAATAAACTCGGAAGATTGAAAAAAAGTCTATTTAATGACTTCCTTAGAAATTAAAATATGAATAGTTGGTATCTCACGCACCACGACTAATGCGTCCAGCCCTTCTAACTTAGGATCCCACTGTTCTTCAACTCTGAAAAATTAATATTGCAAGATATAAACTATTTTAATTTTTTATACATTATTAAATTTTTTATCTTACTTTTCATAGCAAATTTTATTTTGCTGGTGCAGTTGCAAAGCACAGCGCTTCCTCATGATCTCGGCACAAGCGACAGCCTTTTCTGCCGAAGGACCAGATCCGCTCCAAATGATGCATTTTTCCGAACCGTCATTGAATGCTTTCAGAGCAAATTGAAGGATGGTACCTATTTTTGTTCGTGGGCTCAGTTTCATCCACAAAAATTGCTCTGGGAGATTTTCTATTGGAATTTTGTTACGGGCTAAAACTTCCTCTCGATTTACTCCTTTTGAGTAGTGCTTCATCATTTTGATGCCTATGCAAATATATTAAATGTTATTATTAGCTTTTTTGGTTAAGAGATCATTAAATCTTATTATACCGACCGTTGATCTATATTATCTTTACATATAATAATTCCTTTAGCGCGAACGAAACCAACGAAGATGAAGACTAGAGAAATATTATGTCCATCATGCTGTTTGTTTTTGTTTATCTTGTGATTGTCAGTCAGTTCAGCCAATGCTGCCAACGTAAGTCTCAAACAATTTTCAAAAATTATATTTCACATATTAAGCGCATTAACAACCTTAAAATTTAATGAGAAACGCTTGGAAATTTATCTGAGGATAAAAATACATTTATCTGTTTGTGGAACAAAGAAAATTTTCTATTTTTGCATTATTTACATAAATTTTGCATAAATTCACATTGCCTGATTTTATAAAAGATACAAGTAAATTTACATCAGGTGTATTAAATAATTAATCTCCTAATTCCATCACTTCATTGGACTCCTTCATCTCAGTTTCGAGAGGGAGTTCCAAAGGCATAGCAATGTCATCCTGATCAAGATTTTCTTCAGGCTCTTTCTCGTCTTCTTTTTTCTTCCCATCTTCAGGAATCATTGACGCCTCATCCTCCGGTGTCTTAATCTCTTCATCCTTCTCCGTCTCAGGCTTCTTGGCAATGTCATCCTCTGTTGAAGATTTTCTAACTAAACCAAGAAAGCCCATAATGCTGCCGTCGTCTGATAAAGAAATTTAATAAGTGGATTTTATCTTTCTAACCATTAATTTCGAACCTGGTTTCTCTTGCTTTTCTCGATCATCATCATTGCCCTTGTGCACATATGCCTTCATCCACTTGTCATTTTGATCCTCTTCGCTGACACCTTCGTCGAGGTTGACCAAGGGTGGAAATGAGGCCGATTGTGCTTGAATACTTGGTTTGGGGTATGCCGACTTCTTTTCACACTCTTCCAGATGGTTGGCTGCAAATAATTTGTTAATTACCACTATTCACTAACAATGGAGAATAAAATGTACCAAGTTCATTGCCCTTGCTGCTCTTGAAGCCGCAAATGCAGTACATGGGGGCAGGCAGAATGGTGTCCCTTTTGTACGGAACCAAACTTTTCTTTTTGTTTGAGTGATAGATTTTGGTATGTTTGTCCATGGCATTTGAGCAACACGTTGAGAATCGGCATAGCAGGCAGTTCATGAAATTGCTGCATAAAATAACTCAAATTAAAATTCAATTCTTATTGTTAGAAATATTTATAAATTATTTCTGAATGTAATCAAAATTATTACTTGAGATGGTTGCGCTGATTGAGAGGCTGCTTGCACTCAATGCACTTGTAGAACTCGTCTACTCCAACGTAGAGTTGGGGGTGCTGTTGCTTTTTAGTAAAGGAAGTGCTACTTGAACTCTTTGGCTGCAAAGAGCGGGAACTTTCGCCAGCCTTTTCGGCCTGCGAAATTGGAGGTGGCCCAGTTGGGGTTGGAATTATTATGGTGGGGTTGCTCTCAGTTGAAACGACTGGCACAACACGAGCCATGTTGCGCATGGAGCGATGATACTGATCCTCGTGGTCAAAGACATGCTTCTGTTGCTGGAAGATGAGGACGCAACGTTCGCACTTGCGCCTGTTGCTTTGCCGACGGTGGCCCACCAAGTGCTGATAGAAAGCCATCAGATTGTTGGCCGAGCTGCGGCTCTTGGGCCCAGTGGCATAGAAGACCTTCAGACACAAAGGGCACTGCAGGGAGCAGCCTCCGGTGTGTGTCTCATGGAAGTGATCAACAACCTGAAATATTTGGTTCAAATACAAGATTTAAAAATATTCTATAAAAGTACCCTCTGATGCACGGAGGATCTGAAGTTGCAAACGTGGCAGCAGTAGGGAATTTCAGAGGCAACATGCATTTGGTGCATGTGCTGAATCAGTTGCGACCGAAGAGGAAATTTCTTCTGGCAAATGCTGCAGCTTGTCGTCGCCGTGTTCAGCATGTGACAGTCTTTCTTGTGCGTGTTTAAGTGAGCGCTTGTTGTCAGCTTTTTCAAGCAGTACGGACAGAATTTGTTTTTATCTGCCTTGGTTGCGTCATTTGTCTCATAGACAACGTGAGAGATCAAGTGTTTCATCAGGGCAAGATTGTTGTAGAAGTTGCAAGAACATATGATGCACTTGACATTGAAAGTTTGGTCCTGAAAGAGTAGAAAAATAAGTCAAGTTGTAGTAGGTTGGTTTGTTTCAATTCTCACCTGATCAGTCAGAACAAGAGCTGGTTGGCCTTTCATTTCTGCATAGTAGAAAGCATCCAAGTAGGTTTGTGCTGAAGTGTTCAACTTGACCCTCTTTATGGCCGCAGCAGATGAAGAACTTTGATTCTTTGACTGATTTTCATTCATGATGGGCTGTGGCGTTTTCTGTGCTCGTGGCCGCTTGGAATGAGCTGGGCCAGGGGCATATTGCACTTCGCAGAGAGATGTGGGGGTGACATCAAACTCTGGAGGTGCGCTGGTTGTAGGAGCAGCCAGAGTTGCAGGTGTGTTCACCAAGACTTTATTTTGTTCATTGTAATTCCAAGACTTGAAGGGGTTGACAGCTATCTTGCTCAGGCGATTAACCATCTGCTCTCCATAGTCCACCTGGAGTTTCATAGATTAAGATTTAAGATAATAATATTATCAAAAAATTTATACTTGCCTTAGTTTGCTCTGCAAGGTGGGAGATGATGTTGTCAAAGGTGAGTGGAGGTGAAAAGCCCCATCTCTCTCGCCAGGTCAACTCGTCCAAGAACTGCTGGATGAGGGCTCGATTCAGCAAGGAAAGTGTGTTCAGGAACATCCTTGGCACCACTTTTCGCAAGTAGTCCATGATGTTAGCATTGTTGCGCCTAAGGATAAAAATTAATTTATCATATTCGAGTAAATAATAATAATAATAACCATCTTCCTCCGAGCATTACGCCATGATCAGTTGCATTGTTCTGGTAAACGTTGTTGAATCCCAAGGCCTGCAAGGTGGACTTGTCAATGCTGAAATCAGTCAGGATGGTGGACGCAGGGTGCACCCAGTTGGTGAGAGGCTCCAGGATTTTGCTGAAGCGCTTGCGGAGGTTTCGGTCTGACTCGGCCATTGGCTCGACAGCCATCAAGCGAACCTTCTTTGATTCAAAGTCCATGACTCCGAGAACTTCAACTTTGACTTGGCGTTGGTGGCCATCCTGGGACGTGGTGCCCAGACTTATCACTCCAACTTCAACGTATTTATTCAGTCCTCCGATGTAACCCATCTTCGTGTGCACGGCAGCTGTGCAGACTGATCGGAGCAGGGTGTAGAAGTTTTTCACGTAGAAATTGTCAACCTAGGATAATAAAATTTAAAATATCTTCTTAATTGAGGACGAGTTCAATTTTACCTTGACCCACTGGACGACGTTGTTCACCGAAGTTTGACAACACCAATGGTAGACGAGCTTTAGTAGCACTGTGGGTGGATGAGGAGAGCTCTCAAACAATGACCCACTGAAAACAGAGACAAACTTCTGCGGGCAACATTCGCTTATCCAAACATATCCTCCAGAGAAAGGGAACTTGGTGTTGTCAGAGTACATTCCGAGCTTCAGCTTGTAGGGGTTGTTGTACTGGTCTCTGTGTGTGCTGCACACTTGCTCACTCCTGACAAGACCTTGCTGGATCAGCCACTCGGTGAACTTGGTCGGAGAATGTACGAGGACCGTTTTCACTTTCGAGTCTGAAATAAAACGATAAACATTAAAAATGAATTACTTCTTTCAGAGTAAATAAAATACCTAGAGTAGCCCTCTCTCGAGTGATGGCAGATGGGGTCATGTCTTTAGTTTTGAGACTTGGTCTTGCAGTGACGACCAAGGACGGGAATGTTTTTCCTGAGAGCTTGTTGAACGAGATTTCACGAGAGTCAACAGAGTCTTCTTCAGTGAGATCAACAACAGCGTCCGAAGTAGCTGTTGGGGCAGCAGAAGTGGTTGGCGCAGCAACTGGAACCGGGATCTGTCCAAGTGGAATATTGCCAACATTCGGAATAGGAGCGGTGGTCTGAACCGGTGTAGCAGGAGTGGTGACAATTTTGGCATTGGTGACAGATGGGGCAAGGCGAACTGTTGCTCCAGGGGGGAGGGTCCTCAAAACCGTGTTTCCAGTTTTTCCTCCTAGAGATATAAACTTTGATTAAACATAATCAAATTATTGGTAATTGTTTTTACCTGGCAGCAAGTAGGTGACGTTGTTGGTTTGGGAAGGCGTGGACAAAAGAATATTTTGCCTATTTTGTGTGCGCAGAATGTTCGGCTGGGCACTGATGATCGATGGCGTCACTTTGATGGTGGCCTGAGTAGTTTTGGGCAGGGGGAGTTTTCCAGGAGGTCCTCTGAGAGGTACAGTTGGTGTTGACGATTGCAACACCATGGTATGCTTTCCGTGAAATAAAATCTGAAATTTTGTCTAAAGATTTTCAAAGTGGATTTCAAGTGCGAGCGATATTCACCGTTTGATTTTTTATCATTTCGTTGATCTTGTCATGGGCCAGCTTGAACTCCTTTTTGTGATCCATCTGAGCTTGCAGCTGCGCCTCACTCAGATCTTCAGCGTCACATTCCAAATAGAGTGAGGAGAACTGGGTAATGTTGGAGTTCTTGCTGGTCGAACGAGTTGTCTTGTTTGCCATCTGAAGCAAAATAATCAAATTGTAAAGATTCTCATAATGATACGGCAAATAATATAAATTTGAAGAAATGAAACAGTATTACTAGCCAAAAGAAATTTTTATTCAAAATGAAAAGTTTATTCTGCTCTAAAGGGACATTTAATCTTCATTTTGTAAAAAAAAAATTAATGATTCAGAGCAGAAACTCTTAAAACCATTCGTCAGAGTGCGGCTAAGTTGATAATCCTGCCATCATAGCGTTGACTCTTTTAATTTGCGCCCCCTTTCTTTTAAAGAAGCAAGGGTTGAGCAGAGATGAATCGCCAATTACCAGAGCATAGTGGAAAAAGAGCATCGAATAATGTGTGCGCGCTTAATCCACCCCTTTTCAACCCTCTCTTCACGCAGGATGAACAAAATGATCCCTGTGAGCGGGTGGCGTTGGCGCGCGCAATAAGGAAATATGACCACGAATTCCCCAAGGAATAATTCATAGTTTGCTGTTGTCTTTTTCGTAATTATGATGGACCTACCTCGTTACTGAGAGCGTAATCCTCAGACTTGCCTTTTAATTATTGCTTTGTTTGGAAGGTTTTAATCAACTAGGATAATTAAAACAACGCAGCAAGTCGCCTTCGCTGCCACCACCGGGGATGAAATTTTTTTTCTCAGGAAAGGGTAAATTATATTAAAATCAGCGACGCGAAAAACTTGTTACCCAAAAAGCGGTCAAAAGAAAGCTGAGAAAGCAAATAGGCTTGTTTAGAAAATCATAAAAATTATTCTCCGGGCCAATTCTTGATTTGATTTTTAAGCAATTAAATGTAACTCAATAAAGATGAAAACTAAATTCGCTTTAAAATGGCAGAAAAGTGTATTAATTTTCTAAATTACCATAAATAAATAATTTCTAGAATTCATTATTGTGTCTTAATTGAAATGAATTATTACTTTATATTGCTGAATTTCATTGTGCTTCTGATAAAACAAGAGATAATTTATATATTTACACAAGAGGCACAGAATTTGACTTCTTGATTTTCAAGCGAAGATATTTCTGATGGAAAAACATTGAGCATATTGCCGAAGAATAGAATTTCAGCTTCTTTTTACAGTTTATGACTTTTTTCTATTCTCTAAAAAATTATTTATCACTCTTCATAGAAGCTTTTATGCATAAAGTTTGACTTTTGACCGAATTAACTGCTTCAAATTGAAAACAAAATGAAATAAACATTTAAAGCTTGCATTTTTTTTTTTCAAATACCTTACAAAGGTACTGGAACATTTGTGGTTCTCAAAGTAATATAAAGTCAGAAATTCAATAGTAAAATTCATTTTTAGAATCAATGAAAGGTTAAAATCCTGCAACCCCTCCTTAATAAAACCTGGTGAAGGAGTTGCTGCCTTGAGAAGATAAAAAGGCCTGATTTTCATGAATGGGTTGAGGCTGACCGGTGCTCAACATCGAGATTGTGCTGACCTTAGAGAGCACCAAAGGCACCAAGATTGCTTTCGACAATCAGGTTCCGTCAAATTCTGCACCAAGAACGCTAAAAAACCTTAAAATTATCTAGATTTTTAGCACAATTGCAAGCGTCAAGCTCACTCGAAAACAAATACACCTCCCCCTTAATTCCCTCCCCTATCGTGACGTCACTGCAGTGTTGCCGCTCCTTCGGAGTCGATCGTGGAAATAAAGAGCTTTGCAATAAAGTTTGCAAGGAAAGAACGTGCAAATAACGAACTAAAAAAATCAATGAATCAATGATTCTGGGATAAATTATTCTAAAATAAAAAAAACTGACCGTGTCGATGCTTTCGTAAAATCCACTCCTCAGCCTGGTGGGCTCAGGCAACTTCTGCCGGACGAAGTCGCTCTTGTTTCGAGCCAAAACGTCGTCCTTGCGAGGCCTTCCGCGGCGCCGCTTGCGGTTCCGCAACCTTTCGGCCAAGCTCAGCTCGGCTTCCTCATCAACCCCATCGATGGGAATAACTTCCGGCTCGTAGTCAGGGTCTTCATCCTTGTTCTCAGGCATGTCCGGCGAGTCCAAGTCCTGCAGATCCAGCGGCTCAAGCACATTTTCGTCGGCGGGCAACGCGATCAAGTCGGCGGCGGCGACCTCGGCAGGGTCCATCGACGCCTCCACCAACTCTATCGGCGCCACCTCAACGGGAGCGTCGTCCACCTCCATGTTCACCTTTGAAGGTGAGTCTTCAGCAGATGCCGAAACGAATCCTGCGGTCGAGGACCAAAAATGCGGCAACTTGGATCCGCCGCCGCCGTCTTTGTTGTTTATGTTTATAATGTTTATCCGCGTTTCGCTAGTACCGAATAAATCCGCTAGATGGCTGGAATGGAATATCCTCGGTCGAAGCGCGCGAGGTCCACACCTTGTTGGTCCACACTACATCAGTTATATTTCCCAATTTAGCGTTTATTGTCTGAGACCTTACTTTAGTCCAGCCGAAACGCTTTGATATTCAACACTTGATTTAAAAAAAATTCATATTTCATGCATTTTTGATATCTGAATATCACTTTTCTAGGCAATTAAATCGGCACATTTTACAAAAATCGTTTCAGCGCGGCTAGCTGCACATCAGCTATATTTCCAAAATTAGCGTTTATCGTCTGAGACCTTTTTTTAGTCCAGCCAAAACGCTTTGATATTCAACACTTGATTTAAAAAAAATTCATATTTCATGCATTTTCGATACCTGAATATCACTTTTCTAGGCAATTAAATCGGCACAATTTAAAAAAATTGTTTCAGCGCGGCTAGCTGCACATCAGATATATTTCCAAAATTAGCGTTTATCGTCTGAGACCTTATTTTAGTCCAGCCGAAACGCTTTGATATTCAACACTTGATTTAAAAAAAAATTCATATTTCATGCATTTTCGATACCTGAATATCACTTTTCTAGGCAATTAAATCGGCACAATTTAAAAAAATTGTTTCAGCGCGGCTAGCTGCACATCAGATATATTTCCAAAATTAGCGTTTATCGTCTGAGACCTTATTTTAGTCCAGCCGAAACGCTTTCATATTCAACACTTGATTTAAAAAAAATTCATATTTCATGCATTTTTGATATCTGAATATCACTTTTCTAGGCAATTAAATCGGCACATTTTACAAAAATCGTTTCAGCGCGGCTAGCTGCACATCGGTTATATTTCCAAAATTAGCGTTTATCGTCTGAGACCTTATTTTAGTCCAGCCAAAACGCTTTGATATTCAACACTTGATTTAAAAAAAATTCATATTTCATGCATTTTTGATATCTGAATATCACTTTTCTAGGCAATTAAATCGGCACATTTTACAAAAATCGTTTCAGCGCGGCTAGCTGCACATCAGCTATATTTCCAAAATTAGCGTTTATCGTCTGAGACCTTATTTTAGTCCAGCCGAAACGCTTTCATATTCAACACTTGATTTAAAAAAAATTCATATTTCATGCATTTTTGATATCTGAATATCACTTTTCTAGGCAATTAAATCGGCACATTTTAATAAAATTGTTTCAGCGCGGCTAGCTGCACATCAGCTATATTTCCAAAATTAGCGTTTATCGTCTGAGACCTTATTTTAGTCCAGCCGAAACGCTTTCATATTCAACACTTGATTTAAAAAAAATTCATATTTCATGCATTTTTGATATCTGAATATCACTTTTCTAGGCAATTAAATCGGCACATTTTAATAAAATTGTTTCAGCGCGGCTAGCTGCACATCGGTTATATTTCCAAAATTAGCGTTTATCGTCTGAGACCTTATTTTAGTCCAGCCAAAACGCTTTGATATTCAACACTTGATTTAAAAAAAATTCATATTTCATGCATTTTTGATATCTGAATATCACTTTTCTAGGCAATTAAATCGGCACATTTTAATAAAATTGTTTCAGCGCGGCTAGCTGCACATCAGCTATATTTCCAAAATTAGCGTTTATCGTCTGAGACCTTATTTTAGTCCAGCCGAAACGCTTTCATATTCAACACTTGATTTAAAAAAAATTCATATTTCATGCATTTTTGATATCTGAATATCACTTTTCTAGGCAATTAAATCGGCACATTTTAATAAAATTGTTTCAGCGCGGCTAGCTGCACATCGGTTATATTTCCAAAATTAGCGTTTATCGTCTGAGACCTTATTTTAGTCCAGCCGAAACGCTTTCATATTCAACACTTGATTTAAAAAAAATTCATATTTCATGCATTTTTGATATCTGAATATCACTTTTCTAGGCAATTAAATCGGCACATTTTAATAAAATTGTTTCAGCGCGGCTAGCTGCACATCAGCTATATTTCCAAAATTAGCGTTTATCGTCTGAGACCTTATTTTAGTCCAGCCGAAACGCTTTCATATTCAACACTTGATTTAAAAAAAATTCATATTTCATGCATTTTTGATATCTGAATATCACTTTTCTAGGCAATTAAATCGGCACATTTTAATAAAATTGTTTCAGCGCGGCTAGCTGCACATCGGTTATATTTCCAAAATTAGCGTTTATCGTCTGAGACCTTATTTTAGTCCAGCCAAAACGCTTTGATATTCAACACTTGATTTAAAAAAAATTCATATTTCATGCATTTTCGATACCTGAATATCACTTTTCTAGGCAATTAAATCGGCACAATTTAATAAAATTGTTTCAGCGCGGCTAGCTGCACATCAGCTATATTTCCAAAATTAGCGTTTATCGTCTGAGACCTTATTTTAGTCCAGCCGAAACGCTTTCATATTCAACACTTGATTTAAAAAAAATTCATATTTCATGCATTTTTGATATCTGAATATCACTTTTCTAGGCAATTAAATCGGCACATTTTAATAAAATTGTTTCAGCGCGGCTAGCTGCACATCAGCTATATTTCCAAAATTAGCGTTTATCGTCTGAGACCTTATTTTAGTCCAGCCGAAACGCTTTCATATTCAACACTTGATTTAAAAAAAATTCATATTTCATGCATTTTTGATATCTGAATATCACTTTTCTAGGCAATTAAATCGGCACAATTTAATAAAATTGTTTCAGCGCGGCTAGCTGCACATCGGTTATATTTCCAAAATTAGCGTTTATCGTCTGAGACCTTATTTTAGTCCAGCCAAAACGCTTTGATATTCAACACTTGATTTAAAAAAAATTCATATTTCATGCATTTTCGATACCTGAATATCACTTTTCTAGGCAATTAAATCGGCACAATTTAAAAAAATTGTTTCAGCGCGGCTAGCTGCACATCAGATATATTTCCAAAATTAGCGTTTATCGTCTGAGACCTTATTTTAGTCCAGCCAAAACGCTTTGATATTCAACACTTGATTTAAAAAAAATTCATATTTCATGCATTTTCGATACCTGAATATCATTTTTCTAGGCAATTAAATCGGCACAATTTAATAAAATTGTTTCAGCGCGGCTAGCTGCACATCAGCTATATTTCCAAAATTAGCGTTTATCGTCTGAGACCTTATTTTAGTCCAGCCGAAACGCTTTCATATTCAACACTTGATTTAAAAAAAATTCATATTTCATGCATTTTTGATATCTGAATATCACTTTTCTAGGCAATTAAATCGGCACATTTTACAAAAATCGTTTCAGCGCGGCTAGCTGCACATCGGTTATATTTCCAAAATTAGCGTTTATCGTCTGAGACCTTATTTTAGTCCAGCCGAAACGCTTTCATATTCAACACTTGATTTTAAAAAAATTCATATTTCATGCATTTTTGATACCTGAATATCACTTTTCTAGGCAATTAAATCGGCACATTTTACAAAAATCGTTTCAGCGCGGCTAGCTGCACATCGGTTATATTTCCAAAATTAGCGTTTATCGTCTGAGACCTTATTTTAGTCCAGCCGAAACGCTTTCATATTCAACACTTGATTTAAAAAAAATTCATATTTCATGCATTTTTGATATCTGAATATCACTTTTCTAGGCAATTAAATCGGCACAATTTAAAAAAATTGTTTCAGCGCGGCTAGCTGCACATCAGCTATATTTCCAAAATTAGCGTTTATCGTCTGAGACCTTATTTTAGTCCAGCCGAAACGCTTTCATATTCAACACTTGATTTAAAAAAAATTCATATTTCATGCATTTTTGATATCTGAATATCACTTTTCTAGGCAATTAAATCGGCACATTTTAATAAAATTGTTTCAGCGCGGCTAGCTGCACATCGGTTATATTTCCAAAATTAGCGTTTATCGTCTGAGACCTTATTTTAGTCCAGCCGAAACGCTTTCATATTCAACACTTGATTTAAAAAAAATTCATATTTCATGCATTTTTGATATCTGAATATCACTTTTCTAGGCAATTAAATCGGCACATTTTAATAAAATTGTTTCAGCGCGGCTAGCTGCACATCGGTTATATTTCCAAAATTAGCGTTTATCGTCTGAGACCTTATTTTAGTCCAGCCGAAACGCTTTCATATTCAACACTTGATTTTAAAAAAATTCATATTTCATGCATTTTTGATACCTGAATATCACTTTTCTAGGCAATTAAATCGGCACATTTTACAAAAATCGTTTCAGCGCGGCTAGCTGCACATCAGCTATATTTCCAAAATTAGCGTTTATCGTCTGAGACCTTATTTTAGTCCAGCCGAAACGCTTTCATATTCAACACTTGATTTAAAAAAAATTCATATTTCATGCATTTTTGATATCTGAATATCACTTTTCTAGGCAATTAAATCGGCACATTTTAATAAAATTGTTTCAGCGCGGCTAGCTGCACATCGGTTATATTTCCAAAATTAGCGTTTATCGTCTGAGACCTTATTTTAGTCCAGCCGAAACGCTTTCATATTCAACACTTGATTTAAAAAAAATTCATATTTCATGCATTTTTGATATCTGAATATCACTTTTCTAGGCAATTAAATCGGCACATTTTAATAAAATTGTTTCAGCGCGGCTAGCTGCACATCGGTTATATTTCCAAAATTAGCGTTTATCGTCTGAGACCTTATTTTAGTCCAGCCAAAACGCTTTGATATTCAACACTTGATTTAAAAAAAATTCATATTTCATGCATTTTCGATACCTGAATATCACTTTTCTAGGCAATTAAATCGGCACATTTTACAAAAATCGTTTCAGCGCGGCTAGCTGCACATCGGTTTTATTTCCAAAATTAACGTTTATCATCTGTGACCTAAACTTAGTCTAGCACAAACGCTCCGATATCTATCATCCTTGGTATGGCCTTTTTTTAAAAAAAAAATCAGATTTTAATATTTATCTTGTTAATTTTCAAATATTTACATGATTT